ATTAAATGATTATGCCAACACCAATTAATGATCCAATTGCAGAAGGAACTTAAGAATTTCTATATAATGGAGACATTTTAATAGAAGGAAATAAGATGTCTTTTGTAAATGAAGTATTCACTGAAGGTAAACATACTGTAGTAGATAAATATGTTCCTAAGATATTTAGTAAACCTAGAGAAGAGGAAAGAACATATGATTTAACACAATATATGAATAAAAAATAAACATTTTGGAGTTATGAAATATCTATATTTAAAAACTATTAACCTGATAATGAAGAATTAATTGATGAATGTTTTGAATATGATTTTTAATCATCTAAAATTAATAGAATTGTTCGTGATCCTAATGAATTAATGGAAATAAAAGAACTTCTTAGAGAATATTATCCTCATATATTTGCTAGTTATAAATTTTATGCTTCTACACTTATTGGGTCTAGTGTAATTATTATCAATAAATATTTAGATTCCTTGTATATCATCTAATGCTTTTTTTGATTTCATTGGATAAACAACTATAATGACAGATAAATTTAGACCTGGAGATATAGATTTGAATTTTATATCTACATCTAATGTTAAAGATATTTTATATCCAAATGTATATGAAAAAGCATTAATCAGATATTAATTTATGGAAGTTTTAGTTAGAATAGCATTGGATAAATATACAAGAACTGGAATATGTAAATCAATGAAATTAAGTGTTTTGAAATTATTTGAAGATGATTTAGTTAAAATAAGATTATAAGAAATTGATAGAGCTTAAGATTGGAGAGATTTGAGATTGTGGAATGAATAATGTGATCTATTAATAAGTAATTTTTTATTTATTTATTATAGAGGATAGATTACCCATGCTTAAATTATTGTTTAAGTTTACATCTAAATTGAATTCTAAATTAAAATTTTATAAATAAACATGGGTTTAATTTAAAGATTTCAGAGATTTATTATTAAAATGTGATTTATATTGTGATACTTTTGTGGAAAGAGATGCATATATTGCATATTTATTGTCCATGCAAACCTAAATTGATGAATTGTATAGTCTAAGACATTTCTAAATGGAATTTTATGAATTCATTGAAGCTTTATGTAGATGTGCTGAAAAACTCTCTTTGATCAGAACTAAAGAAATTATGAATGTAGATGAAAGAAGAGTAGAACCACTACATAAAAAAATAGATGCTTTATTTTTGATTATTTATTTAAGAGCAGGTGATGCTATCAAATAGTAACTAAAAGAATCTGAAGATTTTTCTGATTTTGATAGATGCATGACAAGAAAGCAAAAGAATCTAAAATAATAAATTGAAGAAATGGGTAGTGATGATGATGATAAACCTTATAATCCAGTTGTAGAATTGAAATACTTAGAAGATCAACTTAAATAAGCTACAGTCCAACCTGTTTAATCTGGACCCAAGTTAAAAAAGGCATTGTCATTATTCACTGTCTTAAAGTAGATGCAACAATAAAAATAACTTAAATCAAATTTCTTATTGACTAATGTTGTCTAATACTTTAAATAGAGAGATGAAGAATATATGTAAAATTAGATTGATGAAAATTGAACTTTGATTATATTTTTATTTAATTTAAAGATTGAATAAATATTAAAGTAATTAATATGTGAGTATTATAACTCACTAAAATACTATCTGTTTTTGAATATTATCTAGTGTGAACATTCTTCAAATTTAACTTAATTCAATTATTTCCTATACTATAATGATCCATTCATAAATTTATTATTTTTTAGAAAATGATTGACAAATTATAGTATTACTATAATTGCTTAGCTAGAAGACTCATTTTTAGATCTAATTTATAGATTATTCCATAAAAATTTATAATTAAATATAGAATTTAAACTTAGATTTTCTAATATCATTTCAAGAATATATAGAACATAAGTAATAAGTTTCTATTTTATATATTTAAAATCTCATGATTTAAATAATTATAGTAGATTTTGGATAATTAAGAATACTTTATTATGAAATCATATACGGATTATTATTACTGAACAGAAAATTTGAGAACACATTAGATGAGATATATACATATATATGAAATTTTATCCACTATTTTTTCAAAATATTTTTTTATACAGATAATACAATTCAATTAATGATGATAAAAGATCATATAAAAAAGTGAGATTTTTGCTTTGATAATTATGAATTAATAAAAAATCTTAATATTACTTTTTATCAAATTAGATTTCAATCTTGGAAGGATAAAATTGACTATTATTTTAATGTATTTAATATAAAAATATACACACATGTTGAATTAATTTACTTATAAATATATATATAATTCAAGATTAAGTTGATAAGGTTTTTTTGTGTGTTTAAAATGATTTGAGAGTGTCACTAAATTTCAATGGTTTTAAATGTATCAATTCAATCCTTCTATAACTAAGATAAGGGATGAATTCTTTATCCCGAGGAGATTTATAATGATTGGGAGAACATATAGGTGTTTTATTGACAAAATAGCGGAAATTTCTAGCCTTCATTTGAATTTCTTTTTTTTGAGTTTCTTATTTTTGAAAATATTCTTTTAATTTGTGTATTGATTCTTTGAGGCCAGTAGATTCTTTTGGAGTTGCTTCTACTGATTCGACTTATTATTATTCAACTTTAGTTTTTCTAACTTGATCAAATATAATAGTACGATATTTGGAGAATGTACTGTTTTTGGCTAATTGATTATAATAATAATATAATACTTTATCTCCTCTTCTCAACTCTTAATGAAATTTCAATTTTCTTTTTCATATTAGGTACATGTTTAAGATTCATATATTTGTACTAGAATTTACTGAGACTTCCACACTCATTACAATAACAACTTTTCCTTCTTAATGAATCCTTTTAAAATATCAATCCTTTCATATTGAATATATTTAATTGATTATGAGGTTGATAACTAATGGATCTGAATTTAATTTTAATTTTCCTTTTTGCGAAAAGCGACAATGATCTGTATTATGGTGAAATAAATTATTTATAATCTAAATTGTTCATATTAATATTAAAAACTTTAAGTTTTGAAAGGTAATGCTATAATTGTCATAAATTACTTTCATTTTAAAATAAAGTAATTAAATTGATATAATAAATCAGTAAATTAAGAGATCTAGATTGTAAACTCATACTTCTCTTTTATGGATATAAATTTTATAATATTATCATATGTAAATGAGTTTATAATTAATAAGTAAATATATAATATATAAACATATAGTACACCTTCTAATTGATTTAAAAATCATTAGTCCATAATGTTAGTAGTTCTGAGAGATTTGATTGTTTTAGCATCTAAACTTTGATTACTTTTTTTTAATGGTTAATATTGTTGTTATTAATTAATTACCAATTATTGTTATAATATTTGATGTTCAGAAGATTTATGTTTTTCATTATTTTATTGAAAACCTTTAAAATAAGGATGTTAGAGTGCTTATAAAGCTGTGATTCTCATAACTGGATCAACTTCTAACATTTATTTTAATAAATCAGCAGCTTCTTCATCCTCTACATATTATTAAGCATTGTACATCTTAGATTTAAGCATAGGTTAATTTGTGATTCTAATATAGTTAAATAATAATACAAATTAAATAACACAACACCAACACTGAACATATCAGAATTAAAACTTGATTCTTTTTATCTAAGTACTTCAGGTGCATAATAGCCTGGTGTTCCACATACACTACTTACAGATCCAAATTTCAAATTAGCAGCAAATCCAAAATCAATTACCTTAATTGAACCATCTTTCTCCACTATTATATTTTCTGGTTTAATATCTCTATGAACAATTCTTAGTGATTGTAAATAACTTATAGTATTTAACAAACTCTATTGATATATGATGTTTATATACACTCATTATCTTCTTTATCTATTCAGTTGGTAGTTTTTATTTTAAAATATCACTCAAAGGAGTTCCTTAAACAAAATCTTATACAATCCAAAATGTCTGGTCATTTTCATAAACCTCAAGTACTTTGATAATGTTTGGATGATTTAGAGATTGCAATATTTGTACTTCTGTTTTGACAATGTCCTAATTAAATATTATATTAATCATTTACTAAAGCTTGTTCTTCTTTTCCAAACTCTTGTTTAATCATTTTTACTGCTACTGCCTTTTAACTTTATTTCTCTATGCTTCTATACACCTAAATTTTGTTATTTAATTAAGTAACATACCTTTGCTGATAATCCTTCTCCTATAAATTATGTTGGTTCATAGAATGAAGCCATATTTCTATAGATTACTCTTCCACCAATCAATTTTTTGAATTATTCTAAAAAAACATGTTAAGCTTCAAAATATTTGATTTTATTTTAGTAAAATATTCCAAATGCTTTCAAATTTTACTTTCCCATTTTCCAAAGAATTTAGGTTGATAATTTGAGTTCAAGACAATATTTAGGATTCTTGTAATTGTTGAACTAAATAACAAGGTTAGGTTACTGCAGATATTATAACCTCATCATCCAATACTTTTAAATAATATCTTTTAGAAAAGATAGTATGTGGTCGTACACAAGAAAATGAGAGCAAATCCATTCTATTTAAGAATTGTTTCTCTAACTAAATTGATTTATATTATTTAATATTTTTATATTTCGATAGATAATAAATAAGTAACTAATATTTTTATATGATTATTCTAAAATCTGAGACTTATTTCTTATATAATAAATAATATCAAATTTGATATGAATGTATTAAACCTAAGAATTTATAAATAAAAAATATAATCTAACAATTAATTATTATATGTGTAGTAAATATTGATCATAAAATTATTTCTAATTTTAAAGTAATTTTTAAGTATTCATAAAGACTAGTATTATTTGTTAATTATATATACATATATATATTTATTATTTATACTATAAATAAAATATATACATATATACTTATCAAATTAAAGTATAGACCTAAAGTAATTAAAATCAGATGCATCATTTTAAACAATCCAATAATATTTATTCATTATAGATAAATAATAATTATCAAAAAATCAACTGTTTTTAATTAGAAAAAATTAATTCCAAAAATAAAATTTTTCAGCCTTGAAAAAGTTTGCCAGAATTTTACACTTCAACTCTATATTAGTCTTTATTAAATTTCCAAGGAGCCACTTTAACAATCATAAAGTAAAATTTATAGGTTATATAAGAAAGAGATAACAGGACAAGAAGACAATTTCAAATTCTAAAATGGAATTGAAGGTAATTACCCCTTTTTAAAGAAAATTAAAAAATTTACTCATTCAGAACGAAAAAATCATTTTTAAGGTGATTCAACTCTTATATTGAATAATTCTGACTTTTTAAAATTAAGGATGACTCAAATTCATTAAAAATGTTAATGTCAAATATTGATTTTTTGAGTAAAATATTAATTAATGATACAATTTATGATGAGAAATCTTACCAATTAGAAAAGACTTAGAATAATTATTTTACATTAAGTACTTATGTAATAAATTAAGGTAAAAAGAATTGGAAATAGAATCAAAAATTATGTATTAAGCAAATAAAATAATGCTTTTGATTATTTATTTTACAGTTTTATAAAAATAATCATGCTATTTACTAAATATGGAAGTTTATATATTGAGGAAATTACGCTTTTATCTAAATGTAAGGTAATTTAATTTAAGAGATTGATTTTCATAATAAATGTCTTGTAATACTATTTTGATTCACTTTATCTATGTTATATTAGATGATCTCTTATTTTAATTCGTTTAAAACTCTCGTTAATTTAATCAAAAAGTAAAAGATAATTTCAGGTAATTGTATTGAAATAATAAATAATTGTTTCTTTAATAAACAAATATGTAATCTAATATGAAAATGTTTGTTTATAACACATAATTTAGCCAAGTATGGAACATTTAACATAAAAATAAGATTGCTTATTGCAAGATAGTCTTTACTTTTCTTGTAGCTTTCAAATAATTAATTAATTTAACTATTTGTGAATTTATTTAATTATCTCTCCAGCAATTAATTATAAAAACAAATGTTATCAATAAAAATACTTATTAAGGAATAGTAATTAAAAAATGATGAATCTTATCTAAATATATTTAGCTTTGATGAATGATTAATTTAAAAAGATAAAAGCCAAGGTTTTTGGATAATTTTTAATTATGACGCATCAATCAAGTGTTTATATATGATTCTTATGATTAAAGGGATCTTACATTTATAATTAATGAATATATCTGAAAGTATTCATGAAGAAAATCTTTAAACCAAGGGGGGATCTGGAATCTTGTTAACTCCAGAAAAAAAGGACCTTAGACCTCGTAAAAATCTGATTCCTGGGATGTTATAGGAATAAAAAAGAACCTACATTAAAGTCCCTAAAGAATCTAAGGAGCAATTATATTAACTTGTATTCAAGGAAGGGTTTAAAATAAAGGAAGTATGATACTGGATTAAGTTTTAAATAGGCTGCTCGAAAACTTTTAATCAAATATGCTACAGCTAAAACTATTGTGTTTCATTTGAGAAAAAAGTGTCAGAAACAAAAGAAACAAGAAAATAAATTTAGCAGATATATCCAATTATAGGAGAACATCATTGTTAAATTGAAAATCATTTCAATTATCCAAAAAAAGGTAATGTCATGTGTTGAATACAGTATTCAACATCCATCAAATGGCTAATGCTATTTTAAATTGCAGGACTGATTATTTATACAATAATATATTTTAATTCCTGCCATATTTGACTAGAATATTAAAAGTTTATACTAGAATTAATAGGTGAAAGTTTCATTGATCCTTTAAAAGTATTTATCTTGAATATTATATTTTTTGAAAAGATCTTTATTTATCTAAGAATAAAAATTAAGGAACTTTAATTCAAGATATTAATTAAAGTTGATTATAATTAATATTTAAGGTATTCCAAATAAATTGTTAAATATTTCATTCTTTTAAGTATTATTAAAGACAGCTGATTATAAAATGAAACATTTTAAGCATAAAATTTTTGAATTCGAAAATATATGAAAATGATAAGAAAAAAGTTGGAAAAGAAGGGATATTCTCAAAAATAAGCAAACAGATTTTTAAAAAACTCAATTCTTCATTTGAGCCATATGTTAAAAAAGAATAGTATTTTTTTAATTAAAATTATTTTTTATAACAAATACTTTTCGAAAAATTAACATTATTCATTAAATGCCTTTAATTTTTTTGATATATATTATCATTCTTTTCATTCTTTTATTATGAATTTATACATTGAATAGACTATTTATGAAATCTAATTAATTGTTAACCTTAACCAAAGCTATTAAATAACCAGATAAATAACAATTAAACTACAAAAAAAATCTAGAATTCTTTAAATAAAGAAATAATTAGAGAGTTAAAAAAATTAAAGGAGATGATTCACTCCAATCAATAAATTCTTCAAAATTCAAATATACTTAGTATCAAAGGAAAAATAATTATAAGGTTATAATACTCGTTTTGCATAATTCATTGTCATTTCAACTTAATTTTAAGTAATTATAATAATAATAAAGTAACTAAAAAGAGAATAATTAATTCAAAATAACAAGTATTACTCAAATAAATTAATAAACTGATAATAACAAATCTAAATAGAAATTGAATAATCAAAATAAAGATCAAATTATAAGCTTTAATAGTATTCCAACATCTTTTGTATATACCTTCTAATCAAAGTAAAATTGAAAATTGTTTATACACAAAATGAGTTTAATTTAATTTTCTATAATAAATAAAGGTAATTTTTGATTCAAATTATAGGTATTAAACTAAAAATATACTAAAATTATTATCTAATTTAGAAATGTCTAAAATGTATGAGAACTAGAACAACTTTATATTATACTATTAGTTTAGAAGTATTTATATAATGAATTATGCTTAAACAAATATTTTGTTATCAAATGCGTACCAAATTTAGTTGAAAAACCAAATAAAATTGTGACACTCATTTAAGCTTGCAAATATGAAATAGTTTCAAGTGAAGATAACAACAAAATTCAAAGAATGAAAAAAACTTATTATAGACTTAATCAATCCAAGGCCCAATAGAAGTCCTAGGAGAAGTTTTAAGACAATCAATCCTCCTTCTTCAAAATAAATCAAAATATAGACAAAAGTGTACATTAAAATACAAAGTTTGAATTGATTTCTCATTGCAAAAATAAATAAGAGTACAATTTATAGTTTTAAATATTATTTCTTAAATTCAATTATAAAAACTATAATTTCAATATAATTTTTAAATGAAATGGTATATTATTATTTTAAATTTAAAATACTAGAATTAATTTAACTATTTAATTTAAATACATAATTACATGTTTGCAAACCTAAATATGTTTGGCAAATCAAATTAACAGAATACACTTTAAATTGGAGCTCCACCTTCTTTATAAACAAATCATAGCAATATTTTTGGGACTATGCAATCATAACCTATTTAATAAATGCCTTAACTTTTTGGATAGCAATAGTAAATTGCGCCATAAAATTAATCTTCTTTTGGTATTATACTTCATTTAATTAGGATATGGATAAGTATAATAATAGGGATAGTAAAATATAGCGCCGATTTTATTTGGTCTTTCTTAAAATACAACTTAAAATTATTATAATTAATAATAGTAAAATACATTTGGCCAGAATCCCATTTAAAATTAATACCAATAAATTTAAGAACCTTATATGAATCCTTATCAATAATAATAAAATTCTATTCTATTTCAATTAAATGATGTGAATGTATTTAAAGAAAAATTTAGTATGTTGATTTAAAAATTGACAGATTTAGAAAAATAAAAAAGTTCTTTTAAGTAGATTTATTAATAACAATAATGGCAATAAATGATTTAACCATTAGGTTAATAAGTATTTAGTATAGACACAACAAGTGTACTTGAGACATCAGAATAAGTATTAGCAGGATAAAAGGAATTATCAAGGAAATTAGATAATTATATTGCTACATTAGGATTGGTTTAAAAAATATCAGAGGATGGATTGGAGATTTTGAAAAAAGAGGAAGCTTAAATTGCTAATTATTAAAAGGTATAGTAATAAATGAAAGACTTTCAAGAATAATTATAGGGTGTGAATAGTGGAAAGCATAATTTTACTACTCCATAATAATATTAAGAATAAATAATACGTGAATAGATGGAACATTTAGATTTATTATAAAATGCAATAGACAAAATTATTCATGGTTATGAAAAGGAACCAAATATGAATCAAGATGAAATATTATAATGTAAATATCTACATTTACAAGCATTAACTCGTTATCTATATATGCTTTCCTTGAAAATTCGAAATATTAATGAAAGAAGTATTTTAAGTATATTTAATAAGCTACTGCTTTTGAAGTTAAAGTGTTATCATAATTTTAGAGTGATAAAAGATCTGATGATTTTAGTACAATAGAGACATAGAAAGAGATTTTGGATAGAATATTAAGAGAGGATATATGATTATTTTAATAATTTTATAATATTAATGAAAGTTTTTACAGTTGCGAGATTAAAACCAGGGGAAACTAAAATAACAATAGATAAAAATTAATTAAGAATTCTTGATAAATCTTATGAATTTGATGTAATTTTAGATGAATAAACAAAATAAGATGATTTATATGTTGGATTAAATATAAGCCAATTACTTGAATAATTTAAAAATGGAATTAGTTAAGTGATATTTTGTTATGGTTAAACAGGATCAGGTAAAACATATACAGTGAATTAATTAATACCTATGATTTTGCCATAGATTCTTGAAAGTAAATTTGAAATTAGTTTTTCTGTTCTATAAATTTATAATGAAAAAATATTGGATATGCTTTATAAATAGTAATTAAAATTAAGATATAAGAATAATGAATTTGTACCAGAAAATCTTACAAAATTAATATGTCACTCTTAAGAAGAATTAGTAAAATTATATAATAAAGCTAATAAAAACAGAATAATAAATTCTCATTCATTAAATGATTTTTCAAGTAGATCTCATTGTATATATACATTTCATGGTTAAACTACTGATTTATAATGTGAATTTAATATTGTAGATTTGGCTGGTTCTGAAAGATTAAATTAAACAAAAGTATAATAAATTCATGAGAGTGTTGAAATAAATAAATCTCTATTTTATTTAAGATAAGTAATATAAAATTTAGCTGATAAAGTTTAATAAATACCTTATAGATAATCTAAATTAACAAGTATATTAAAGAAAAGTTTAAATGGTAAATCTAATATTGTAATGGTAATATGTTTAAATCCTTCTGATGAAAATTTATAGTAATGTTAACAATCTGCTTAATATGGTGTTAAGGCTAGATAGATTATTTTATAACCTGAATAATAATAAGATGATTAATAGAGATAAATAAAAGAATTAAAATAATAAATAATAAATTTAGAATAATAATTGAAGATAGCTCAAAATACTATAAAATCATTGAAATAGAATTAATAGAATTAATTAGTATAATAATAATAGAATAATATTTAAATGGAATAAATTAATTAAATTAACAATCTTTTGGGATAAAATAAAAAATTAAGGGATTAATTATAACATATTAATGATTAAAATTTTGTATTGTCATAATTGAATCATTAAATGTAAAATGAAAATTAAGATTTGAGAGATAAGATAAATATATTTGAAGAAATAATTTCTGAAGATTTAAAGAAAAACAAGGATCCATTTAAAAAAGATTGGATTGAATTATTCTAAGGTGAAGGTTCAAATTATTTAGAAATAATTATTAATAAATTATAATATTACAAATAATTGTAATGTAAACAAAATAATGAAAGAATATTAATGAATCCAATACATTAAACAGTAAAAAATAGTAGAAATTAAAGATCTTTTTCTATTGGTAAAAGAGAATTTAAATTTTGATTTGTTTGTTTTTATTTTATTGTTTAATTACAAAACAATATTTCATCTCGTAGATCTACAATTAGGACAGAACCATTTAGTCTTTTCATCTGGAACATCAGATAATCCAACACATACCAAATGAAACCATTCTATTTAACAATTTTTTGAATCACATGCAACCATAGTCCCATAACTAGGTTATTAACAAATACAATATGTATGTTATTAAGCATCTTCTACTTATTCATCTTATAATGGTCTTTTAGTCTTTTTTATTTTATCACTCTTTTACACCATTACTGGAGGTTCTACTTTTACATCCCTTTGAGATTTACGAGATATATCTTCTTATTCTCTTGGTAATTATTTGAGTTCTTCTAAAAACTTTTCTCCCTCTATATCAAGTGTTGCTATATATTTTTAATAATTTTATTAAATAATTTCTAAAGCTGCAATTCTTTCTCTATGCAAAGCCAATAATTATAAATGATTTCTTTGGATTTACTCTTTCAATTATAAGATAAATTTTTCTTTTTCTGCTGTTGACTCCACTGATTTCAATTGAAATACTAGTTTTTATGTGGACACCAAACTTTCTTCATATTTTTTTTCTAAATTTGCCAATTCTCTAACTTTACTAAAAGCCCTTCTAACATCTATAGGAGCATAACTAATTAAATCTATAAATTCTTCAATATTTGACATTTTCTAAATTTGTATATGTATTTTATTATTATATATATATTATAATGATTAATCAATTTTTAAGAAATATCAAATTACTTTAGAATGTAAAGTAATTGGTTTTAGGTAATCCTACAGCTGACATGGATTCATGTGTTGGATCTATTCTTTTAGCCTATCATCTAACTTAATTATAAATTCCAACAGCACCAATCATTAATTATAATAGAGAATCATTTACATCTCATTTTGAGACAGCTGAATTATTTGATGTTAATGATTTGATATTTATTAATGAAGTGGATTTATATTAATATGATTTGATTCTTTATGATCACAATGATATCAAATATACAAATAATTAAATTGGATGTATTGATCATCATGAAGATAAGGGATAATAATTTAGTCAATTTAAAAAAATAGAAAAAGTAGGTTCTGCAGTAACTTTGGTAGCAGAATATATGTAATTAGAAAAGAATTATAAATGTAAATAAGAAATTGGAGAAATAGCATAATTAATAATGAAAACCATATTAATAGATACATTTAACTTCCAATAAAATCAATATCAAATTAGATGGGTATAAAAAGACAAAGAAATTTTTGATTTATGTCATTCCTTCAATCCTTAATTTGATGCTAAACAAGAATATTAACATCTTACAGATTTGAAATATGATGTGAAATTGAATTTGTAACTATCACTTAAATAGTAATTGCTTAAAGATTATAAAAAATTTTATACTATTGGATATAGTGTGATATTTATCAAATTATAAGATTTAATGTAAAAATATCCAGAAGATCAATTAATAAATGAATTCAATTAATTTATGATCAAAGAAGAATGCAAATCTTTAATTATCTTTTTTGTCCATCTACAAAATGACTAAATATAGAGAAGTATGATTATATATGGAGAATATCAATAAAAAATACTTTAGTAATTGACTTAATTAAAATTTGAATTGCAATAGAGTCCAATTTCTAATTCATTATTACTCAAAGATATAGATAATATTTATAGTAGGAAAATAATTGAACCATTAATATCATAACTTTTTCAAAATTGAATATATGATATTTTAGATATCCATTTTATTATCATTTTATTATTAATTTTTTTCAAAATTATCTCCTTATTTATAAAAACTATCACTTAATTAACTTTGAATGGAATCTCAAGTTCATACATCAGGTCTTATTTAATCATAAATATTAATTCATTTCAATATCTCATTTTTATCAACATTTTATTTATATACAGTAAGTGCTTTTACAACTTAAAGTTTTTCTATAAATATAAATCTAAATCATTTTGATTCATTTTATAATTCCTAATTTATATATATATATTAATTAATTAATTTTCGATTTTTATATTAATGAAAAATTAATAAATATGTTAAAGTTATTTGAAAAAATAAAGGATTCCAAAATTATTTGTAATATAAGTAAAATAACTAATGAGTCATTATTATCACATTATAATTATACATTACTTTGATAGAACTTGGGCGATTAATTATATAATAATAGATTGAACTTTTAAAATTATTATATATATATATAATAAATGGAACTTCTACTATTATATATATTAAATAGACTTCTTTTATGACCATTTCCAACTGTTACAATTATGTTTGTGAATGCTTCTATTTTTCATTTTGTTTTTATTTAATGAAAGTTGAAGACAATTTATATTATTTTAGATTTTATAATATGTCAACAACAAGACTCTGATGAAATAAATATCTTCAAATATTTATTATTTGAATTTCTTTTCAATTTTAATTCCTAAATAAAGAAAAACTTTGTCAATTAAGAGAAGAAATATTTATAGATCACTTAAATCTTAAATAATATATTTTGCTTAGATGTAAAAGATATTTGATATAAGAATCAATTAAATTTCTCATTCTATATGATTTTAGGCAATATCAACGCCTTTGATTTGTTAATTTACGAAAATTGAGTGGTTTTTAGTGAACGTGCTGACTAAGAGAAATATGTATTCATCATTAAGAGTTTTTTAGAGCTTTTTAGGGTTCTACTACTAGTAACAGGTTCAATTAGAGGTGATTTAGTTGATGTAGGACTTTAATCATTGAAAGTTTTAATATTGAGAGATTTTACCGAATGATTTTCTGAAGTTGAGGTATTTACAAAACCACTTCTATTTATACTTCCTTTTCTAGATCTTTCTTTGCTTTCAGCTATAAATTACTGAACTGTATTTTGCCTTTAGTAATTTTTACTAAATCCATGAATCTCCAAAGAAAGTCTTGCTTTATTATTTTCTAATGATTTTAATGATTGTAATCGATAAAATATACTTCTTCGTTCTATTATTATATAGAGTTATATACATGTTGTTTAGCTGGGAGTCTCTAAAATTTAAGGCTCAACTTTTTCCACTGATGATTATTTTTTATAATAAGGAACATTCATAGTATCAAACTAAAAGGCACCTAAATCACCACATAATTAACAATGGCAACTTTTTCTTCTAATTTTAACACTATGTTCTATTTCTTTTGTTTTTTTAGTTTAAAAGTTTGTATTTCGACGAATTCTCTTCCTCTCATTTAAGACTAAATTATAAGTATCAATTAGAGCTAAAGCTTAAATGTTTTAAGAGGAGTAAGTAGATGAATTTTTCATTTTATTTAATTAAGATTAATAAAGGTAAAAAAAGTGAAATATATAATTCAATCACGTTTACGCATTAAAGATCTTCTTTAAGATAATTATTCATCTTTTATTTTATAAGTAATTGGAGGTAATTTTGGAGCAAAATTTCGAGGAGGGGAAAGAAACTTTTTAGGAGATCCCAAATATGGATTTAAATATACAGCATTTAGTGTATTATCAAAGGAATTCATTTTAAGTTATTATGGTGATGATTATTCACTTAAAGGTGAATTTTATAATTTAGGAGTCAAAGAAAGTCTAGTATCAAAATTAGGTAATTTAAGTTTAGATTATTTGAGTAATCTTGTTGTTGTTTTAGATGTTTAATTATTAAACTAATACATTAATGCATGATTTTATTATTTAAAATTCCTAAAAAATTGACTCTTTGTTTCTAAAATTAAAAATATTTATTACACATGTTAATGTTCGATATTAATTAATGGACTTTTCTTGAATTTTTAGAATTTTTAATGGTAATTGGTTTGAATAATGGTATATTTTAATTTCTTACTTCATATTATGTCAAATTACCACATTCAGAACAATAACAACTTTTTCTTCTTTTTTTAGACATTAAATCAAATTTTTCAAAATCTTCTTGATAAGTTTTTAATCTATTTTCTAATTATTCAAGTCTTTTAATTTCTTATTATGTTGAATTATCTAATTCATTATTATTTTATATTTATGTCCATTATAAAATCTAAACATCATGAAACCTTATTTAATATTCACTATCTTTTCCACATTAATTACAAGTACAGCTTTTTCTTCTACTTTTAAGATTAATATGAAATAAAAGATCTGGTTCATTATTCTATATACTTCCTGATCTTTTTTTATATGGATTAAATTCTCTCATTTTTATTTTTAATTTGTAATTAGGATAAATATTCAATAAATTGCTTAAAATAATCTAAAACAGATAAATACAATAAAATCATAAAAAGTTAGAAAAAATATAATCAATTTTAGACTTTAGAATTGAAAAATATTTTTTTATTTGTTTTCCTTGTTGAAGAATTACTTTTCAATTTTAAAGGTACTAATAAATTGAAATTAATTTATCTGAAACTAAGATAAGGAGATAATTTAGGTATATTTTTAGGTGATGTTAGATTGTTTTCACAATCAAATCCTACTACTGTCTTTATTCTAACACCAGGACTATCTATTTAACACTTTTGATATAAAGTACGTATACTAGTTGGTACATGTATAGTCTATTGACTTTTTGGATTAAATGAATCCTCAACCATATTCTTTTTATTAGATTATTATTAATATGAATTTTTTGAATGTGAATTCTCCATTAATTTTTGAACATTTATTATTGATTTTCTCATTACCATTTATCTAATGAACCATCCTGGACTCTTTGAATCACCTAAATCATAAGTAGGAGATTTTAAATTTTCAACCTTTTCTGAATTTTTTTAAGTGTTCCTACGATAAAATAAGCTACGATCTTTAAATACTTAATTTATTTGTACTTATACTCTAAATATTAAGTGTACATCTTCTATCAATATTACATTATGCTCTTTTATTAATTATTTAAGGTTATTTAGATAATTTTAGATCCATGAATTACAATTATTTCTTTCCCATATTTCCACATTCATTACAATAACAGCTTTTTCTTCTAGAAGGACCATGAATAAGAGTAATATTTTATTAATCAGAATCAATAGCCTCTTAACTTTTAGGTCTAGTTTTTCTTTTTTTAACGAGTGATTTGATATAAAACATGGGTTTACAAATTTGTTTCTATAAAAATTTGATTTAAACACCACTATCTAATGAATATGATGGAGTATCTCTTATCATCTTATTTATTAATAATTAATTTAATTATTCAGTAATCCTATTTTTGATTTCATGATGTTTAATTAATTCTTCATATTAATAATAAGAAAATTGATTATAATAGTACATCTTAAATAAAAATAGTTAATACATATTTCATATATACAATATATCTCATTGTGAATTTTGAACTGTTTATTGTACAATCTCTTAATCCCACAACATTGCTAATTATACTTTTAAACTCTTTAGTAATTGATTTAATTAATCATCATTTTTTATTTAAGGATTTAATAAAATATTTCCATACAATTTTGTTATTAATTGAAAGAAGACTTCCACTGGATATTAATAATTATCTTTCCAATTAATACCCAATAATGATTTAGCTCTACCTATTAAATCAAAATATTGTGGTTGTACTCCTGCATTTGCTAAAATCCAAATAGATAATAGATTATTATACATTAGATTGGAGGGTTACATAATTCTAACTTTTACAGATTAATTTTATATATAGAATCTACCTAATACATCTTAATTCAATTCTATGATATTAACAATGAAGGATTTTGCAACTTAGCAATTCTTATAAGAATTCTCCATAAATTACATAACATAAAGATAGGCATTCTCTATTTAATCAATTGGAAGAGATTCTTCAGTAAGTTTCGAGATTTATTTCCAAGAGGGTTAATTATATTAAATCTATTCTTGAGTTTATATTTGCTCTTCCTTCTTAAAATAATTTATGATCTTTTCACTAACAAGTACTAGAGGTTTTAAGATATTAGCAATAGGTCTAAGTTCTTCTTATTTAATTTATTCAACTTATTTGAAAGATTCTTGAGAAGGAGGTCTGCTTAATTTCATTTTAGACCATAATTATTAGGCTGAGTAGAAGAATCCATCAAAAACTGGTCTAAAGTAGACATTTTCTAATTTAAATACTTATATATGATACCTATTTTGTATGGTTATATTCTTAGAACAGCTTTCTCATAAAATTCTTCATGTTAACAATCTTCATTTTCTAGCCATGTAAATAATAGATTTTCAAAACAAAATTACCAAGCTAAATAATTGATAGAGCCATCTAATTCAATTGATATTGAATATCCTGCATAAATTCTCCATTCTTCTCCCAATGTTTATAGAAGTGCCTTTATAAACTTCTCCTTTTTTATTAATTAAGAGGTGTTTTCAAATAAGTTGAAATTACTATAATAACAATATTAAGTATCCCTGGATTACATATTTTATTATAACATCTCTCAATTTCTTTAAAATATATAATGGATTAAACAAATCATGAAATACTTGAATTAAAAATGGCATTTTTAACTTGTATGAAGAATAGTAAATATTAAGAAGCACATTTAATTATACAAAAAAGTAAGATAATAAACATAATTAAAGTATTGAAGATTGATCCTAACAATCCATTAATTGGTAAATGCAATAAATTTTTGACTGAATTCAAGATTAAATTGGAGGAAAAAGAAAAAGAATTAAAAGAAGAAGAAGAAGATGATGAAGATGATATAGAATAATAATAATAAGCAGAAGATGATGAATCTGATGGAGTGGATCCAAATGATATACCTGATTTAGAAGAAGAATTAGGAATATAACATAATGAAGTAGAAATATAAGAAAGGAAAAAACGATTATTTCAATTATTATAAAATGTTGATGATGGAGATAAAGAAGCTGTTTTGGATGCAATAAGAAAATCAAAATAATAAAAATGATTATATAATAATTTATATGGGTAAATCAATGTCTTGGATTTCAGCAGTTATTGCATCTGCATTTTGTTGGGCAAGTGCAGACACTGCTTTCGATGTCATTTTGGATAGTTAAGAATCAGATTTGCCATAAAAGAAATAGTAATTACCATTAAATATTCATCTTACTCATTCCTAAACAATGTTATTATGTGCTTTAACTACTTATATTNATTGGAAGAGATTCTTCAGTAAGTTTCGAGATTTATTTCCAAGAGGGTTAATTATATTAAATCTATTCTTGAGTTTATATTTGCTCTTCCTTCTTAAAATAATTTATGATCTTTTCACTAACAAGTACTAGAGGTTTTAAGATATTAGCAATAGGTCTAAGTTCTTCTTATTTAATTTATTCAACTTATTTGAAAGATTCTTGAGAAGGAGGTCTGCTTAATTTCATTTTAGACCATAATTATTAGGCTGAGTAGAAGAATCCATCAAAAACTGGTCTAAAGTAGACATTTTCTAATTTAAATACTTATATATGATACCTATTTTGTATGGTTATATTCTTAGAACAGCTTTCTCATAAAATTCTTCATGTTAACAATCTTCATTTTCTAGCCATGTAAATAATAGATTTTCAAAACAAAATTACCAAGCTAAATAATTGATAGAGCCATCTAATTCAATTGATATTGAATATCCTGCATAAATTCTCCATTCTTCTCCCAATGTTTATAGAAGTGCCTTTATAAACTTCTCCTTTTTTATTAATTAAGAGGTGTTTTCAAATAAGTTGAAATTACTATAATAACAATATTAAGTATCCCTGGATTACATATTTTATTATAACATCTCTCAATTTCTTTAAAATATATAATGGATTAAACAAATCATGAAATACTTGAATTAAAAATGGCATTTTTAACTTGTATGAAGAATAGTAAATATTAAGAAGCACATTTAATTATACAAAAAAGTAAGATAATAAACATAATTAAAGTATTGAAGATTGATCCTAACAATCCATTAATTGGTAAATGCAATAAATTTTTGACTGAATTCAAGATTAAATTGGAGGAAAAAGAAAAAGAATTAAAAGAAGAAGAAGAAGATGATGAAGATGATATAGAATAATAATAATAAGCAGAAGATGATGAATCTGATGGAGTGGATCCAAATGATATACCTGATTTAGAAGAAGAATTAGGAATATAACATAATGAAGTAGAAATATAAGAAAGGAAAAAACGATTATTTCAATTATTATAAAATGTTGATGATGGAGATAAAGAAGCTGTTTTGGATGCAATAAGAAAATCAAAATAATAAAAATGATTATATAATAATTTATATGGGTAAATCAATGTCTTGGATTTCAGCAGTTATTGCATCTGCATTTTGTTGGGCAAGTGCAGACACTGCTTTCGATGTCATTTTGGATAGTTAAGAATCAGATTTGCCATAAAAGAAATAGTAATTACCATTAAATATTCATCTTACTCATTCCTAAACAATGTTATTATGTGCTTTAACTACTTATATTATAGTAATCAAATAATAATGATATTTAGATATTTGTATACTTTATTTATATAGAATTGATTGGTCCTTAGTATTCAGAATTAATAGGCAATTATTCAATTTTTGGATCCATTTAATCATTACCACTTTTGATTATAAGTGGAATATTCTCCTATTATCATTATCATTTTATCATCAGAGCATTTGAAAATTCATCTAGTACAGTCATATTACCATTTTTATAAGTATTTATATAGTTTTAATTAGTTTTCTTCAATTTTTGCATTTCTATTCTCTATTCTACAAAATTATCTGTCTAATAGGCCTTATTTATCTAGTTATTTGCATTTATTAGCTTATTTTCTGATACTTCTTGGAGGTTTAGCTCCAGCAACTGATGGACATTTGATAAAGATATTTTAATATTAATTTTGGTCTTAACCATTTGTTAAATTTGCTATCATATCAGATATGTCACATGCTATATACACAAATATAATAAGTTATGTTGGTAAAGGAGAAAATGAAGGATAATAATATAATATATATGGAAATATGGAATTTTTTATTCTAACACGTATTATGTTTGTTATCATATAAACTGCTAAATTGAATTTCAATAGATAAATGTAATTAGAAATGATATAATTATTTAACAAACCCAAAAATTTAATAATAGGTACTATTATAGGTGAGATAATGACATTATTTGGTTATTTCAGTTCTGTTTATGCTTATTAAACATATTATTAAGTAAATAATTCAAGTAACATATTAGGCTGGTGTTGTTAGTGCTAGTGAATCTTCATTGAATTTAATAATAAATTTATTCTTAGCATATTTACTTAAGAAATACTTGAATATTGGGAAATAGGCATCATTACACAATTTAGGATTGAAGATTGTATCATGTGTAACAATAAGCATTGGATTAACAATTGCTACAATATGATTTATTAATTTGTTTATAGTCAAATATTATAATTCATGGTTACTCTTATAATTAAAGAAGTTGCTTCTTTTCTTCTAGAACCTTTTCCTTGAATTACCTTAAATATTATTAATCCTATTATAGATTGGAACGTTCTTTTAGTATAAATTAAGCCAATTATTCTACGGCATCAATTTATACATTTAACTAACACTGTACTTTATTTTTATTTCTTTGTAGACTCAATAATTGAGATACAAATGTATTCAATTTCATTTGTAGTTTTTCCATTTCATCTCTTCTATTATCTAATTGATTATCCTATTGAATAAGAAATATTTATACATATCTATATTACTCATCTTAACATTCATCTGTATTTTATTATTACTTATAATAGTTTTATTCTTATTTAAGTAAATTTTATTATTTTTGTTAGAGCAACTAAGATTGTTAATTTAATTTTCTTTATTTATCATTAAGTTTCTTTGTATTTTCTAATACTAAGTTTTTTTCTCTGTTAATTTATTCAATTTCATTACAATTTTTAAGGTATTTCTCTCTTTATTCATATTGTAATTATGTAATTTGTTTTTGCAATTTTGAATTATCCCTTTTTAGCTTTTAGAGATTTGTTTCATTATTGAATATTTCTTAATTATCTTCATCATAAATAATTGTTTAAATTTCTTCATTTTCAATTTGTGAACTTGTATTAGAACGATGATCATATTTAGATTTTCTTCTCTTTTTGAAAGCAACTTGGTTTATAAAATTCTTTTCTATGGCTTATAACTTTTTCTAAATTGCAGATGTTGATTATTGAAGAGGATTAACATTTTCTTTTTTTTATTAGATTATCTTTGCTTGAGTTGATAGTATAGTTTATAAATGATCATCTTTATTAGATTCTAGTGTTCTTTAAAAAAGAATTAAGAGAGTCTGTTCTAAATCCATATATTAAATTAACGTATATATATTAATTATAAGATGTCTAGTTAAATTATCTTTAATTTTAAGTTGAATGTAAATGTATATAATAAGGAAATTTGATATTACATTTTTTGTATAATAATGAGTAATTTAAGAGATATTAGTTTAATTAAAATTAAGGATGAGTAATTAGGACGGCATTAACAATAATGCTGTATTTTAATTTCCTTCAGATTTGAAAATAAGAGAAGAGAATCAATTAGATTCAATCTAAAAGAGTGAAGATGAAAAACTATAATTATTGTAACCACATACCTAGAGTTCTTTACCTTCTGTTGAGTAATTAGAGATACTGCAAGCACCTTAATTGTTATAATACTTGTATTAAGTATAATGATTTGAATAGTTCATAAATGTCAATCGATGATCCTTAGCATTAAATAAGAAAATAGATGTCTATTGAATTGACTAGTCCATCTCCTTTGAAAAAGCAAAAAGAAAAGACTTAATAAACTTTTATAGAAATAAAGTAAATAGAAAAAGAAGAAGAAGTACCTCACATCTAAACTAGAAGAAAAGTGAATAAAACAAATTATAATGTTGATGATTCTCCAACTGAAGAAGATGATTTCAAACCTTGTCATTGTGCTAAAACTCATTGTTTATAATTATATTGTTCATGCTTTCATAATCGAAGATCTTGTACTAATGAATGTTAATGTAATGATTGTTTTAATGATGGTAAACATGAAGAAGAAGTATTAAAAGCAGTTGAATAAATTAAATTAAAAGAATAAAGAGCATCTCATCATGATTTAGATTCATTTGATACAAAATAAGTATGGGGTTGTAAGTGTAAAAAGACTAAGTGTGTAAAAGGATATTGTGAATGTTTTATTAGAGGAAAGAAATGTACTTCTCATTGTTAATGTACAGAATGTGAAAATAAAAGATAACCTAAATAACAAAAGTAAAAAACTTAAGGGGAAATAACTAAAAAAATTAAGAAAAAAAAATAGTCATGATTATTTTTTTGAAATTTTCAATTTACCATGTAATTCATTCAAAATCTTGTGAAAATCATGATGTTATCTTCTTGTTTAAAATCGAGATTAAGATATCTTACTTCTTGTTACTAACATCTCTTTCTTTTCAGCATAATCAAAAAAATCTAAACTTTATCTTGTAAAAGTCCTTTTTGTATCATTTGTTGTTTTAGTTATTTTACTTTAATGTGTTCTTGTATCTGTTTTTAATCTTGAACTTAATGCTTAAATAGAAAGATCTTCAAAGAATTTTTGATTATTATTAGATTCAGGAGTTAAATAATCTATAATCTCTTTTTTTTATTATCTTGAAAATTCAATTTAAATTCCTTATTATCTTTTTTATTAATTTTGTTAATTTATTAATTCTTATTCATGAATCTCTTATTAATATTTACTCTATTTGATTTTTTCATCATAATAACGTAGTGAAGGTGGTAATTTAGGTGATAATTAAGGCATCTTTACATTATTACATAAACTAATTTTTCGTTTATTTAAAAAAGAATCTTTTAATTTCTATTGATTTCCTATAGGTTCTTTCTTTGTTAGAATATTAGTTAATTTATAATTCTTATTTAAATGTTTTATTGAATTTTATCTTAACATATTTTCTATATCATAAGCCTTTCTTTTTTCAGAATTTAATTAAGGTAATATCTATTAAAGTAATTCTAAAGAAAATAATATTGTTGCTTTTAATTAATTTTTCTCATTTAATAATGATTACCATTAATAAGGAGTTGGATTATGAATTGAAAATTAACAAATTTAAATAAAATCTGTTGAAAATACTTTTATTGTATCATCTATGCATGCTGATATTAATAGTTAGGTTTTTTTATGAAATAATATTTCATATGGATCAACATAAAGGAAATTTAATTATATGATCATATCATTATGAATTTAATCTACAGTTTCAAGTTATTCATCAAATGAAAAAATTGAATCCTTTAAAGTATGAGTAATATCTAATTCTGGATTATCTTTTAATCCTTTTAATATACTAAATCTAATTAATGAATTCCTGAATTTTTATTTAATTTTACTACTCTACTCAAATTTAGATTCTCTCTTTTTAACTTAATCTTTAATCAAACGATTTTGAACTATTTAATAATTATCAATGAAATTCCCTTATAACTTATTATAAACAACTCTATATGGATTATAATTAGGTCTTTGACTAATCTATTCAAGTTTCTTGGATACATTCTATAAATTATTATAAATAATATATTACTTTCTTCTCAAGTAATTAAGTAATATTAAATACTAAAGCTGAACCTCTATTTGTTGCAATATACAATTTAAGTTCTTCTTTATGAAATTGTACTAATAAGCGAGATGCAAAAGATCCATGAGTCATTAATTTATATTTATTATTAAAAAGACGTTTAACTTCAATTTATTCATCCCCTTCATCATATAATTCTATTAATTCCATTGAAGTTTTTGAAAACAAATTACTCATTATACTTATACGATCTGGATAAACACTCTTTAATTTTTATATCAAAACAGCTTTCACAATATTTAAATGACCTTCTAAAGTGCATTACAATTTATCATTCTTCTAAACTAATTAAAATATAAAGATATCAGCTTAATTAGTACCTATAATTAAGAGTGGAAGAGAATCACAAAATATCATTGATGTAACAATAGCATTATCTTCTAATTATATTTATATTGATACACAATAGTATTCCAAATTCCAAATTTAAATGAAATCTTCATAACTTATAGCTAATAAACCTTGTGCAATTGAAAGTTAACAAATATTAATACATATATTAACTGAAAGTTAACGTATTGCCCATTTATCCTTATAGATATTATCTTTACAAACATTTAATTGAGTTAAAGGTAAACATTTTAAAATTCCTTAAATAGAAACAATATGTAAAATTTTATAAGCTTCATCATATTAAATCTATATGATTTCTTCTTAATAAAATGATTCCCATTATTATAGAATTTAACCATGTTTTAATGAAACCTTATATAAATCACCTTCAACTGTACCAATTATAATTGAATATCCATGTTCAATTAAACATGATGCAGATATCTCATTTTAAAAATCACTCAAAATGTATTAAATCTTACCAGTTATTATATCCTATATACGTATATCTGCCTTAGTTATTATAATATTTCTTTTATTCCATTGATCATAGATTACTTATAATAATTTTATTTATTTATTAAGATGTAATTATTTTTCAAAACTCAAAGTTTATAACATATTTGCTACTAAACATAATTTATTACAATAAAACATTAATTATTTAGTTAGAATTCTTGTTTATAGATTTATTGTTTAAGTCTATTATTATGATCTAATGTCCCATAATATAATCACATTTTTAGTATCTATAGAAATTAATAAAGCAGTCTATTCAATATGTTCAATACATTAAACAGTTGAAGAATGACCTACTAATTAACATTTTAGATTATAATCATTATATTAAGCATGTAATTCATAACAAGATATATAATTATTAAATCCAATAGTAAAAATCAATTAAAATTGTCTACTACATACAACTTAATAGAGTATTTAATGTGATACTTAAAATTTAAATAAAAATTTCTATTCAAACATATCCCAACAACTAATTATATTAGGATTTGATGCTACTAATAACATTTATAAATGTATAACTTCTAATAATTATATGATACCTCCAGAAAATACTTAATTTTATAAATTTTAATATTATCCTTATTCCAAATTCCAAATTTATAAACTTTTATTAGCTGATGTTATCCATAAATCTTACATTTCTATATAAGCAATATGTTATAATTCTAATTAAGTTTCTATTTAATAATCATATGTATAATTATCTCTTTTATCCCAAAAAATTAAAGTGTTATTACGTAATACTACACCTAATCTTTATTATCTAATTGAATAATATCCATAAACTACAAAATTTCCATCTATCATATTTCTTGGTTATAACATCTTTTTAAATTAAAATTCATGTAACATACAAACACTTTCACAAAATTAAAGAATCAAGAATAAATCATTTTCTCCTTAGATTCCATATATGATTTAATTATTCATATGAATATTTTCAATTTTGAGTTGTGTTTACAATCTTCTTAACATACTAGGATTCAATCCCAAGATTTCAGGAGGTGAAATTTCTATATCAGTTAAATTACGTCGAGTTAGTTAAATTTTATTATTTTATGAAGGTAAGAATTTAGCATTAAAATATTCACTACATATTTCTTGACTACTTATCAAATAATCAGTTATATGTTTTAATTTAAGTATTTTTTCATTTTATTAAGACAATATCTCTTGATATAATTCAATCAGTTTGGATATCAATATTAATCCTTCAATTCCTTATTCATCAGTTTTATTAATGAAAAACACAACAAATTGCTAAATGTCTACTTAAGCATTATGATTCTCTTTAAAATGCTCTGCCAATTCAAATATATATTATTAGACTAATCCCAATGTATCAAATTCATAAACTTAATTTGATATCTATGATAATATTTCATCCATAGTTTATTAAATATATTAATAATTATCATTATTTATGTCTTTCTGATTCAAATATCTCTCTCAGATCTTACAATCCAATCTTGCCATCTTTATCAACATCTAAACATTCTAAGAGTATTTCTTAATCTCTTTTATCTATTTTCCCATAACCTAAAACACTGAACACTTCTCCCAATCTATTAATATCTAAATTACCCTCTCCTTTTGGATCAAGAAGTGAAAAAGCCTATTCAAGAGGATCAAAATCTTATAATTCATTCTATTTGAGTAATTCATAGAGATCTTTACTCTTCAATTCTGGTTTACCTTAAGTCAATGCTTTGTATTCACTCTTTGGGAAATTAGGATTAATAGCAGGAATTTTCTTTTTTAATTCAAGTAATGAAATCTTTGTGCCTTTGTTCTTTTCATCTAAGATTTTAAATGCTTTTTCAATTTCTTCTAATGTGATTTTAACTCCATCAACTTGTTTGCTTTTTTCATTTAATTCAATTAGTCCTGCATCTTGTAATGCTTAGAAATTAATCATTTCTCTCATTGGAGAAACAGATTTTAAGGGAGAACCTTAGCGAGTTTTTTCTAATTCAAGTTGGGCTCTTTGGAAATGAATAAGGGTTTTCTATAATTCTTTGTAGTCTATATTGGATGCTGGATTGAGTTTGGTTGGTTTAAGTGGTTACATAAATGGAACTTGAAATTGATATTTATAATTAATGAAACAACATCAGGTGCAATTATCAGGAATTGAATTTTAGCCAATTAATTAGAAATACTTTTTACATGAGAAAGAGAAGTTAAGACATGATCCTTTTGCAGATAGTTTAGAAAAATATTTCTCCTTGTTTAAAAGGAGGACAATATGTCATTTCTTGCTGTGTATTTCGAATAAGTAAAAAGGCTTATAGCTGTGTTCTTTATTGGTCTAATGATCCCTTCTATCATATTGCAAGCAGAGTATATTGAAGTTGATGTTGATGAGGGCGTAGGTGAGTTTTAAATGAAGGATACATGGGATCCACCAATCAGTATATATATGTTTTCGAAATCTGATGATTTATTGTTAGATGTTCAATTATATTTGAATGATGAACCAATAGAAGAATTCACCATTCAAGAAAAATTGATAATTAATACACAATACATTATAAAAAGTGAAAAACCTTAAACCTTCAGTAAGCTTATTTTTAACATAAGGACAGCAGTTAGATTGATGTCACAGTTTGATTTCGTTCCTGCATCTTACTTAATTATCACTGTAGTGATGCTTGTTATATCACTACTCTACTCAATCGTAACATATGCTCGTTACAGATAACACTGAATTTATTTATTGTATTTAGTTTCTACTTTTGTTTCAATGTAATTCAATTCTTATTCTTTATTGTCTTATATTATTTCAAGTTTGTAATCACAAAAAAAATCAAACAATATCAAAGTATTATCTAATTGCCTTCTACCAATATAATATCTTCATTACTATTATAAAATGATCAATAATCATATTATAACAAGAATTAAAAATATTTTAAATCTAATATCTTTAGAAATACTAAATAAAATACATTCATTTTTTGCAAGTAGTAAATTTAGAATAAATTTTGGAAAAGTAAATCATAATTTTATACTTTAATAAACTAAAATAACAAAAATAACTAAATAAGTCTTATAGAACATATTCCTAAATTTATTTGAATTAATATTTACCAAACGCAAAGCAACTTATTAAATATTTGACAAAAAAATGATTCAAAATATCATAGTAAAATTACTTAAAGTATTTGAGTTCTTCATCAGATTTCTATCTCCATATGGTGATAATAATCATTCACAATAAATCTATTAAATATCTTCTCTGTTCTAAGTACAATAAATCCAAATATTTAGTGTTTTATAAAATTCAAAATTATTATTATTTGTAAATACTAAATCAAAATGATGAAATTTTAATCCTTAATTTATAATTCATCTACTTAAAAATAATTGAAAGATTTTAGTATTGAAATTCTTAAAACTAATAATACTGTTTAAGTATTAAATTAAATTGCAATAAGTTAAGTTTCCTTAAAAATGAAGTTCAGCATTGAATTTTGGGCTAATCAATAATTCAATAGTTGGAATGAAGACTAGTCGGGTTGAGTATTGAATACAATCCTTCTTAAGGATGATCAAATTAAAGAAGCATATATAAAGAGTAAAAAAGTTAAGATAGAAGAGGTAAATGAAATTATAGGATATAAACTTAAGTAAGAAATGATGATCTTCATTTTTACTTGTCAACTACATATATCACATAACAGGTTATTATAAAAATTTAGATTTAATTGGAATCATTAAATTAAATAGAAATCTTAGATATGAGGTAAATTGTGTTTCATTAAAAATTTTATTTGAGAAAGTAAAGAAAGAGAGAACCCTAAATAAAATAAAGATTATTAATGAAATGTAAATTAAAATATTGAAATCAAAAGAATGATTATATTAAGAATTCACAATATTAATTTATCATGAATGTCTTTTTACAAAGAGAATAGAATTAATAAATAATATCAATTGTTTTAACTCATAATATAAATAATAATGATATCAAACCCACAAACAATTGATAACTATATTGTTCAAAACAGGCAAAGCATTTATTATTATCAAATCCACAAGTATTTCCATTACATAAATATCCAAAAGCAATGCTTTAACAGTTTTTATAATAACATTTATCGTGATCCCATTAACATTCATCAATAAAAGTACAAGAAATATTGTCCTATTTTTTATATTAAAATGAAAATACCTTAATATCTGTACATACTTATGGTTAACATTTTGAATCCACATAATTACATTAAGGGAATTGGCTTAAACACATAAATTCTGTAGTTAAGGATTTACAATCAGTCATTTCTTAACATTTATTATTGAATGGATCTGCAACACAAGAATTGCCATTTTATAACTTCCCATTGCATTAATCAATTTTAAGGGATGAACAATCTTTATTAATTGCACATTTTAAATTTGTGTAATCATAATAACAGCCTTAATATTAAGTGCATTATTAAGGTAATAATGCCTGACATGTTTCTTCATATGCTTTGAATGTAGAACATTTATCATCTTTCCATAAACAGAGAGGTGATTTACACTTCTCTTCATATGGAATGGCTTCACATTTTTATTCTGAACAAACTCCATTTACAAATAGACAATAGCCATATGCATAACAGGATGATTAATCTGTGAATTTACTACAGCTGCATTATCCATTTATTGCAACGAATAGTATAAATAAAGTTATTGTTTTCCACATTTATTTAATATTTATTATTAATTTAGCACTCCATAAAATTTATTAATCACATATTTCTTATCTATATTCTTTATTGATTCCAAATTGTATTTAATGTATATTCATATAATACATTTATTAACAACTCATGATTATACTCATTAATTTTTATGTAATAACCTATAGAAGAAATAGATTAATTTATTCTTGGCTTCAATAATCAAACAAGCAACTCTTTTATTTAATCAAATATTAATTAAGAAAAACTACTAGTATAAAATACAAGACTTTTACAATAATTGAATGAATAATAAAGGATGCTTAATTTACATAGTCTATTAACTCAGAACATACTTTAAAATCCATATCCTAATCAATAAACCACACACAAAAACAAAATGATTAAGAAAGCCAAATCTAATTTGCAAAATATTCAATCTAATGCCTGTTTACTAGATTAACCACTTTAAATTTAAGAAATTAAAGGGAATGTTAAAAATGCCTATATAAAGAAAATCACATCTTTGTTGAGTGTAGAAGGAGACAAATTGCTAGATAAGGATTTACAAGAGAACTTAGAAGAGGNGCAAGTAGTAAATTTAGAATAAATTTTGGAAAAGTAAATCATAATTTTATACTTTAATAAACTAAAATAACAAAAATAACTAAATAAGTCTTATAGAACATATTCCTAAATTTATTTGAATTAATATTTACCAAACGCAAAGCAACTTATTAAATATTTGACAAAAAAATGATTCAAAATATCATAGTAAAATTACTTAAAGTATTTGAGTTCTTCATCAGATTTCTATCTCCATATGGTGATAATAATCATTCACAATAAATCTATTAAATATCTTCTCTGTTCTAAGTACAATAAATCCAAATATTTAGTGTTTTATAAAATTCAAAATTATTATTATTTGTAAATACTAAATCAAAATGATGAAATTTTAATCCTTAATTTATAATTCATCTACTTAAAAATAATTGAAAGATTTTAGTATTGAAATTCTTAAAACTAATAATACTGTTTAAGTATTAAATTAAATTGCAATAAGTTAAGTTTCCTTAAAAATGAAGTTCAGCATTGAATTTTGGGCTAATCAATAATTCAATAGTTGGAATGAAGACTAGTCGGGTTGAGTATTGAATACAATCCTTCTTAAGGATGATCAAATTAAAGAAGCATATATAAAGAGTAAAAAAGTTAAGATAGAAGAGGTAAATGAAATTATAGGATATAAACTTAAGTAAGAAATGATGATCTTCATTTTTACTTGTCAACTACATATATCACATAACAGGTTATTATAAAAATTTAGATTTAATTGGAATCATTAAATTAAATAGAAATCTTAGATATGAGGTAAATTGTGTTTCATTAAAAATTTTATTTGAGAAAGTAAAGAAAGAGAGAACCCTAAATAAAATAAAGATTATTAATGAAATGTAAATTAAAATATTGAAATCAAAAGAATGATTATATTAAGAATTCACAATATTAATTTATCATGAATGTCTTTTTACAAAGAGAATAGAATTAATAAATAATATCAATTGTTTTAACTCATAATATAAATAATAATGATATCAAACCCACAAACAATTGATAACTATATTGTTCAAAACAGGCAAAGCATTTATTATTATCAAATCCACAAGTATTTCCATTACATAAATATCCAAAAGCAATGCTTTAACAGTTTTTATAATAACATTTATCGTGATCCCATTAACATTCATCAATAAAAGTACAAGAAATATTGTCCTATTTTTTATATTAAAATGAAAATACCTTAATATCTGTACATACTTATGGTTAACATTTTGAATCCACATAATTACATTAAGGGAATTGGCTTAAACACATAAATTCTGTAGTTAAGGATTTACAATCAGTCATTTCTTAACATTTATTATTGAATGGATCTGCAACACAAGAATTGCCATTTTATAACTTCCCATTGCATTAATCAATTTTAAGGGATGAACAATCTTTATTAATTGCACATTTTAAATTTGTGTAATCATAATAACAGCCTTAATATTAAGTGCATTATTAAGGTAATAATGCCTGACATGTTTCTTCATATGCTTTGAATGTAGAACATTTATCATCTTTCCATAAACAGAGAGGTGATTTACACTTCTCTTCATATGGAATGGCTTCACATTTTTATTCTGAACAAACTCCATTTACAAATAGACAATAGCCATATGCATAACAGGATGATTAATCTGTGAATTTACTACAGCTGCATTATCCATTTATTGCAACGAATAGTATAAATAAAGTTATTGTTTTCCACATTTATTTAATATTTATTATTAATTTAGCACTCCATAAAATTTATTAATCACATATTTCTTATCTATATTCTTTATTGATTCCAAATTGTATTTAATGTATATTCATATAATACATTTATTAACAACTCATGATTATACTCATTAATTTTTATGTAATAACCTATAGAAGAAATAGATTAATTTATTCTTGGCTTCAATAATCAAACAAGCAACTCTTTTATTTAATCAAATATTAATTAAGAAAAACTACTAGTATAAAATACAAGACTTTTACAATAATTGAATGAATAATAAAGGATGCTTAATTTACATAGTCTATTAACTCAGAACATACTTTAAAATCCATATCCTAATCAATAAACCACACACAAAAACAAAATGATTAAGAAAGCCAAATCTAATTTGCAAAATATTCAATCTAATGCCTGTTTACTAGATTAACCACTTTAAATTTAAGAAATTAAAGGGAATGTTAAAAATGCCTATATAAAGAAAATCACATCTTTGTTGAGTGTAGAAGGAGACAAATTGCTAGATAAGGATTTACAAGAGAACTTAGAAGAGGATAGTTCCTCTTAAGAACCTTCTAGAGATAAATATGGATTAGCAGGATTGTTATGTAAGGATTTATTGAATGAGGAATGCAAAAACAAACGAATAAGATAGAGTGCTAAGAAATCAAGATTGAGAAAGAAGGTTTATGTGAAGTTATTAGAGAAAAAAGTATAGAAGTTTGAATCCTATTTTTAGGTTCTTGATTTGGATCATAAAATATAAGAATAAAAATAAACTACAAAGCAATCATTTGAATATCTGACTAATTGTTGATATCACATCCCATTTTCAATAGTATGGTTATTGGAAATGCTAATGCTATTGATTAGATTGCATAATCTAATCAATCTGATTAAGCATAATTGCTTATTGATTCTTATATAGTAATATTATAAAGAAATATAGTTCAGATAAGATTTGGTACTTGTGGAATTAAAAGAAAAGATTACATGAAATATGCAGTCAAAAATATATAGAGAATTTTTTTAAAGGAAATTATGGATTATTGTTAATAAGTACTAAATAATGAAGTAAACAATTGTAAATATAATAAAATTAATATATTTATTTAGATGATGAGGAATTCAATAATTATGTTGAGATTGTTAAGTAATATACAAAATTGGAAGATAATAATTTGATATACAAGTTATTACCAATTATAGATAAATTATTGAATCATCGCAAAGTGTCTTAAAAGTTGTTTTATTATACAAATATTTAGTTATTTACTCCAATTAAATATAGAAATTAAGAATTTGAAATTAATATAATATGAATTAGATGAGACTGTGTATCAATTTACACAATCATTAACATCTTTATAATTAGTGTAATTTATCAAAGGAGTAGAGCGATTACAGAATTTTAATAGATCTCTATTATTTTGATCATAAATATATAAATAACTATGGAATTATTAAATAATGAGGAACGAGAATTGTTGGCCAAATACAATAGATATTTGACAAATGACAAAATATAAGAACCACTGAAATACTCAGACATCTTTATAGGGAAACATGATTTAAAGGAAATTCCTTAACAGACCAAAGAAAAATAAATTCAAAATTCAAAATTACATATTAAAAGTTCCTCTGCCAATAAGCGTGATTAATTTAAAAGTATTATTAATGAATTGAACAATGTATATGATATCTTTCATTCTTAGGTTCAAAATAGAAAATTAGATAATATTTTTAAGAGCAATTCTGTTTGTGAAGATACTTAGAGAGAGAAACAAATTAGTTAATCTGAATAATAGATTATCAATTAAAACCCATAATAAAATACCAATAAGAATTCAGATAAACCAAAAAAATAAACAAAATTATAAAAATCATTGCCTAAAAATTAAATATAAAAGAAATAAGATAAGAAACAAAAATAAGATACTCAAGTATCAAGTTAATAATCTACTATTGAAATTTAATAATAATTTAATGAGTATGATAATTATACTTAAATTTTAGGAAATTATTATAATAACTAAATAAATTGAGCTAGTTGAAGAAGATAGATAATAAATTTTTTATCAATTTAATTTCTAAACATGTTAATGAATGCCCTTCATTTGGCAAAAGAATAAAAGAAGAAATAAAGGAAATATTAAATTAATTATTATGATTGTATGAATTATTCTGTGTAAATTCTATAACTTATATTCTTAATAATAGATATTCTATATTATCTTTAATTATGAAAGATATAAGAATATATGAATAAATATATATATATATTAATTAAGACAAATAAAAAAAAAAGAGTAATATTATAATACACAAATGATTATTAATAAACAAATATTTCATTGGATTGACATTTATTAAAAATATTTATTTAGATCCTCCTCTTTTATAACAGGTATTTAATCTTAATCTTCTTCAGATTGCTCTGATTTCTTTTCTTCTTCATCTAATGTTGGTTTAAATACATTAAATCCATTTGCAGAAGTACTCACTATCATTTCATAATAAACAGGATGATATTTTAATTCTTTAAGATCTTTTTATCCTTAATGTACAAACATTAATTAATCTGGTACATCATCTTCATTATTATTTTCATTTTCAACAGCAAAATCCCAAATAGACAATTTATGATCTTCTGATGATACAGCTATACTAGAATCACTATTTGGTTAAAATTATATAGATGTAATAGCTTTATTATGGAATTAGATTTCAGAAATAGCATCATTTTTAGGATATTTTAAATCCCATATTTTAAAGCATCCATCATCAGCTCCTGTTGCAACAAGAGTAGCTGATACTTGATTCCATGAGATTACATTAACATCACAATTATGAGCTTTAACCAAGATTTAAGCTTATTTATGTTTTCCTTCTCTTGTATCAACAATACATAGAGTTCCATCAGTAGAACATGAAGCAAATACAAAACTTTCAATTGGTGAAAATTATAAATCTTCAACACTTCCCTTATGATATTCATAAGCTTTATTTTCTCTAATCCAATCATTATTATTTAATTGATATAAATAAATTTTACCATCAACTGAACCACTTAATAAATCACCTACTTTTAAACGACTCCAATCTAATGCAAATCCTTCATGTTAATTTTTAAATACTTTATGATGTAATTATGATAAATTAAATTAAGATTATTAATTAGATTAAAGTTTTTTATATAATGGATTAAGATCTAAAATATTAACATCTCCATTTTCATTCCAATAAGCAGCAATTGCTTAACCATTCATAGTTTTAATTCTATTGACTCCACATTTTAATCCTGTAACACTACTCAAATGTACTTAACCTTCTTCATCATTACTAAGATTATCATCTTCACTATCTTCTTCTGATTAAGATGCTTCATCATCATCATATTTAGTTTTATGCATTTTTGATAATTTTAATAAGTATATTTAATTTTTGGTTGGTTATGCTGCTTGAGTACCAGCAGCTAAATAAACACTATATGGATATTTATTCATTTTTTGATATTCCTTATTTTTATATTATTATTATTCTTCTTCAGTTAATACAAAATCACAAGATAAACAAGGCCATTCAGTTGTGACTCTATGTAACATATTATAAGCTCTATTATCAAAATCTAAATTTTCAGCTTCATCATAGAACCATACTCTCTTTTGATTTTCTTGATTCTCTTATTCCATACCCTTCTTCTTTCTCTTGAGTTTTGATTATTATTATATGGGTTATTATTATTATTGAGTTTATTATGATTATTCTTAAGATTACTCTTCCTTTTCTAATATTTCTTCATCTTCACTATCTATATTGATTTCTCCTTCTTCACTCTCTAACTAAATTATTTTGATAATTTACCATATTCATCATCAAATTCATCTTCATATTGAATATGTTCATCTTCCTCCATTTCACTAACATCCTCGTATTCAGAATCTATTTCCTAAGTTACATGAGCATTGTCTTCTATTTTACTCTTTTTTTGAATGCATTATTTCAATATTCTTCTTCTTCTTTATGAACGAGATTGCATTTATAAATATTAATATCACACATTAAATTTTAATCTCTAAATTGCAAACATTTTTATTGTAATAAATTGATGAATTAAATTAATAATATATATTGATAATCATTCATTCCAACTTTTATTGATTAAATATAAATACAATAAGTTAACATAAAAATCTTTATATTATTATGTTAACTTATTATAATACTCCAAATTAACTATATCAATTTTTAATAATTTAATTATTGACATTTATCTATACATTAAAAATGAATAGATTATTAATTACAGAATTGGGGGATGCTATGAGATCAGAATTAATTCAATAAGAAGAACTTAAAAAGAAAAAGACTATTTTAATAAGTAGAGATTCACTTCCTGAAATCAAATAAACAGGAATAATAAATTCTTTATTACTAGACATAGATGATAATCCATTATATCGTAAGAGTCTTTCAGATGTTGCTTTATTGAATCTAACAAAAGCAGCAAATATATCATTAAATGGATCTCAAAGTAAAGATATCTTAGAAAAACATATAAGAGAGGATTTATAAATTCCAAAGAGAAATGATTATCTTAACCATTATCTTAATAAACAAGTCGAGAAAATAGTGGATGATAAAAGTAAATGCATTTGAATTTATTAAACTCTAGATTCCATGACTAAGAGAAGGAGATACTTATTAGGTGAATTAAAAAGGATCGAAATAAAAGAGACCAACCTAAACATTAAAAATAGAATATCAACAGATTAATCTAGATTAAGTACTATTGTTGAAGACATTGATAGAGAGAATAAATTGATGGCTATAATAAATACAGAAGGTAAGTTACTTTAATTGTAAAAGAGATATGATAAAAAGAAATAAGATGATGAAATCTTGAAATAATAAGTGAAATCTAATTATTTCAAATATAAAGATTTAGAAGAAATCCAAATTGAATCACTTCCAATNGTAATAGCTTTATTATGGAATTAGATTTCAGAAATAGCATCATTTTTAGGATATTTTAAATCCCATATTTTAAAGCATCCATCATCAGCTCCTGTTGCAACAAGAGTAGCTGATACTTGATTCCATGAGATTACATTAACATCACAATTATGAGCTTTAACCAAGATTTAAGCTTATTTATGTTTTCCTTCTCTTGTATCAACAATACATAGAGTTCCATCAGTAGAACATGAAGCAAATACAAAACTTTCAATTGGTGAAAATTATAAATCTTCAACACTTCCCTTATGATATTCATAAGCTTTATTTTCTCTAATCCAATCATTATTATTTAATTGATATAAATAAATTTTACCATCAACTGAACCACTTAATAAATCACCTACTTTTAAACGACTCCAATCTAATGCAAATCCTTCATGTTAATTTTTAAATACTTTATGATGTAATTATGATAAATTAAATTAAGATTATTAATTAGATTAAAGTTTTTTATATAATGGATTAAGATCTAAAATATTAACATCTCCATTTTCATTCCAATAAGCAGCAATTGCTTAACCATTCATAGTTTTAATTCTATTGACTCCACATTTTAATCCTGTAACACTACTCAAATGTACTTAACCTTCTTCATCATTACTAAGATTATCATCTTCACTATCTTCTTCTGATTAAGATGCTTCATCATCATCATATTTAGTTTTATGCATTTTTGATAATTTTAATAAGTATATTTAATTTTTGGTTGGTTATGCTGCTTGAGTACCAGCAGCTAAATAAACACTATATGGATATTTATTCATTTTTTGATATTCCTTATTTTTATATTATTATTATTCTTCTTCAGTTAATACAAAATCACAAGATAAACAAGGCCATTCAGTTGTGACTCTATGTAACATATTATAAGCTCTATTATCAAAATCTAAATTTTCAGCTTCATCATAGAACCATACTCTCTTTTGATTTTCTTGATTCTCTTATTCCATACCCTTCTTCTTTCTCTTGAGTTTTGATTATTATTATATGGGTTATTATTATTATTGAGTTTATTATGATTATTCTTAAGATTACTCTTCCTTTTCTAATATTTCTTCATCTTCACTATCTATATTGATTTCTCCTTCTTCACTCTCTAACTAAATTATTTTGATAATTTACCATATTCATCATCAAATTCATCTTCATATTGAATATGTTCATCTTCCTCCATTTCACTAACATCCTCGTATTCAGAATCTATTTCCTAAGTTACATGAGCATTGTCTTCTATTTTACTCTTTTTTTGAATGCATTATTTCAATATTCTTCTTCTTCTTTATGAACGAGATTGCATTTATAAATATTAATATCACACATTAAATTTTAATCTCTAAATTGCAAACATTTTTATTGTAATAAATTGATGAATTAAATTAATAATATATATTGATAATCATTCATTCCAACTTTTATTGATTAAATATAAATACAATAAGTTAACATAAAAATCTTTATATTATTATGTTAACTTATTATAATACTCCAAATTAACTATATCAATTTTTANTTAAGCTTATTTATGTTTTCCTTCTCTTGTATCAACAATACATAGAGTTCCATCAGTAGAACATGAAGCAAATACAAAACTTTCAATTGGTGAAAATTATAAATCTTCAACACTTCCCTTATGATATTCATAAGCTTTATTTTCTCTAATCCAATCATTATTATTTAATTGATATAAATAAATTTTACCATCAACTGAACCACTTAATAAATCACCTACTTTTAAACGACTCCAATCTAATGCAAATCCTTCATGTTAATTTTTAAATACTTTATGATGTAATTATGATAAATTAAATTAAGATTATTAATTAGATTAAAGTTTTTTATATAATGGATTAAGATCTAAAATATTAACATCTCCATTTTCATTCCAATAAGCAGCAATTGCTTAACCATTCATAGTTTTAATTCTATTGACTCCACATTTTAATCCTGTAACACTACTCAAATGTACTTAACCTTCTTCATCATTACTAAGATTATCATCTTCACTATCTTCTTCTGATTAAGATGCTTCATCATCATCATATTTAGTTTTATGCATTTTTGATAATTTTAATAAGTATATTTAATTTTTGGTTGGTTATGCTGCTTGAGTACCAGCAGCTAAATAAACACTATATGGATATTTATTCATTTTTTGATATTCCTTATTTTTATATTATTATTATTCTTCTTCAGTTAATACAAAATCACAAGATAAACAAGGCCATTCAGTTGTGACTCTATGTAACATATTATAAGCTCTATTATCAAAATCTAAATTTTCAGCTTCATCATAGAACCATACTCTCTTTTGATTTTCTTGATTCTCTTATTCCATACCCTTCTTCTTTCTCTTGAGTTTTGATTATTATTATATGGGTTATTATTATTATTGAGTTTATTATGATTATTCTTAAGATTACTCTTCCTTTTCTAATATTTCTTCATCTTCACTATCTATATTGATTTCTCCTTCTTCACTCTCTAACTAAATTATTTTGATAATTTACCATATTCATCATCAAATTCATCTTCATATTGAATATGTTCATCTTCCTCCATTTCACTAACATCCTCGTATTCAGAATCTATTTCCTAAGTTACATGAGCATTGTCTTCTATTTTACTCTTTTTTTGAATGCATTATTTCAATATTCTTCTTCTTCTTTATGAACGAGATTGCATTTATAAATATTAATATCACACATTAAATTTTAATCTCTAAATTGCAAACATTTTTATTGTAATAAATTGATGAATTAAATTAATAATATATATTGATAATCATTCATTCCAACTTTTATTGATTAAATATAAATACAATAAGTTAACATAAAAATCTTTATATTATTATGTTAACTTATTATAATACTCCAAATTAACTATATCAATTTTTAATAATTTAATTATTGACATTTATCTATACATTAAAAATGAATAGATTATTAATTACAGAATTGGGGGATGCTATGAGATCAGAATTAATTCAATAAGAAGAACTTAAAAAGAAAAAGACTATTTTAATAAGTAGAGATTCACTTCCTGAAATCAAATAAACAGGAATAATAAATTCTTTATTACTAGACATAGATGATAATCCATTATATCGTAAGAGTCTTTCAGATGTTGCTTTATTGAATCTAACAAAAGCAGCAAATATATCATTAAATGGATCTCAAAGTAAAGATATCTTAGAAAAACATATAAGAGAGGATTTATAAATTCCAAAGAGAAATGATTATCTTAACCATTATCTTAATAAACAAGTCGAGAAAATAGTGGATGATAAAAGTAAATGCATTTGAATTTATTAAACTCTAGATTCCATGACTAAGAGAAGGAGATACTTATTAGGTGAATTAAAAAGGATCGAAATAAAAGAGACCAACCTAAACATTAAAAATAGAATATCAACAGATTAATCTAGATTAAGTACTATTGTTGAAGACATTGATAGAGAGAATAAATTGATGGCTATAATAAATACAGAAGGTAAGTTACTTTAATTGTAAAAGAGATATGATAAAAAGAAATAAGATGATGAAATCTTGAAATAATAAGTGAAATCTAATTATTTCAAATATAAAGATTTAGAAGAAATCCAAATTGAATCACTTCCAATATTAAATTAAGAACAATTAGAATAAGGGATTCAAAATTTGTATCATAATACTGATTAGTCTGAACATCGCTTTTTATAAAGATTATAAGACAAACACAAAAAGATTACAACATAAGTTTGGCAATAACATCATTTTCCAAAAAAACATAAAAAGTGGATATCAATTTCTAAAAAGTTTTGACTTGATATATTATTTATACTATAAATAAATAAACAAACTAATATTATATTTTGTTAATTAAATTAAAATAATAATCGAATTAATAAGAATATCAAAGTCAAGGATATCTCATTATATAAAAAAGTTAATGGATTAGATCGCATAAGAGAAAAAAACGATTGAACTGATTTGACTGCATAATTTAATTAATCAAAATAATTAAAATTCATTTGTTTAACTAGAAATGGTTACAAAAATAATTAATCAAAATTTTAATAAAACAACTAATAAAGAGACATAAACATCATTAGAAGAACAAGTTAATGAAATTCAAACTAAAATATAAGAAAGTAATATACCTGAATTATTAATTATCTAAACTATTACAACTTCTTAATAATCAACTACAGTTAGTTCTATGAAATTAGATACCTTTTTCAAAAAAAATGTAAAAACATTTGATCTATATATCATCAATTAATTTAATTGTTAATTATTATTTTTATGTTTATATGATAATTAAGATTTAATATAAATTATTAAATACCATAATACTCAAATAAGATTAACTTATTTAATATAAATCATTTCATTCTAAATTATAATATTAATTTTTTAATAATTAAACATTTCAATTAGAATTCACCATTATTAAGTATCTTTTTTATATCCAAACAATATTTTTGTATATTTTGTATATATTCTAACATAGACTAATTTTATTAAAACAAAATATATACAAATTTATCTATTTTTAAGTCAAATCAAATTAAGAAATTTCAAATCCGTTAAAAATGTAAACATTTCTATTTATTGCTAAAAATACTTAACAATTTAAGAAATTTCAGTGATAGTGTATATTTAATGTGTGTGATCTAATAAATAGTGATAATTATTAAAAGCAAATAAATAAGTATTAAGAATGAGCAAACCTAAATTCTTACTATAATTTGCTCAAAAAGAAGCAAGGTAATAAGAGGATAAAATTCTTGAATTAGAAGCTATGAGCAATGTTGAAAAAGAGATACAAATTCTTGATAATAACGAGTAAATTCAAATATATAAAAATAGTCTATGGAAATCAAAGCCTCTAAAGATTATTTAGAAAGTTGCTATTTTCATAACAAAAATGAAGCATTTTTCAACTTAATATAGATTTAGAATTTTGAATAAGGATATATTCAATTTGATACATGATCTTAGCAGTTCATTTCAATATTATCTGTATAATCATCTTTTGGATTCAAAACCTACTAAAGTATGATTATAATATATAATTCATACTAGTATGGTGAAATTAAGTATGAGGGTAAATAAAATAACTCATTTTGGTGGAGAATTTGGGCATTTCTTAAGAGTAATTAAACAGTTCTTTTGCCAGCAGATAAATTTCTATTTGTATGGGATGTCATATTAATGTTTGTGACAATAGTCAATATCTTATATGTTCCACTTCAATTGTCTTTTGATTTGAATAAGGATCAAATAGGAAATGCTTATTTATTATTTAGTACCTTACCAAGTAGTGTATTTTTGATGGAGTTAATTCTAAACTTCTTTAAGGGTTATTATGCAAAGGGAATTTTACACACTTCAAAGAAAGATATATTTTGGCATTATATAAAGGGAGAATTCTTTCTTGATTTGACAGTTGTATTACCATTTATATTATCATGGTTTGGATTTTAATTTGCAAACTATTTAATGTTAATAAGAATGACAAAAGTAAGAAGAACAATGGTAGTAATAGAGGAAATATCAAATTTTAAGGAAAAAACAGCAGTTATTTATTCTCTATTTTGTTTAATCTATTCTCTGTTATTAATATCTCATTTTTGTGCTTGTTTATTTCATTACTTTGCCATTTTGGAAGTAGATTTAGGTTATTCACATACATGGTTACATTAATAAGATATTTATGAAGCCAATGTGTATGTTAAGTATTTTACATCTCTTTATTGGGTGACCATAACTTCAATGACAGTTGGATATGGAGATATTATACCTGTTACTATTCCTGAGAAAATTTTGGTAACAGGTTTTACATTTGTAGTAGTAGGTACTTTTGGTTATGCGTTGGGTATGATTTAAAGTATCTTTTATAAATTGGCTGAATAATAAAATATTAATAATTCTAAACTTAGACTTGTGAGTAATCATATTAAATAAAGAGGTTTAAATACATAATTATAATTTCGAGTGAGAAAATATATAGAATACTATTTATAATTTAAATAGGAAGAAGAATTAGATTTAGATGAATTGATAGGATAATTAAATCCGAAATTAAAATAAGAAGTCTAAATTGCAATGTATTATAGTTATTTTAAATAATCAAAATTATTTGGATCAAATTTATCTGAAGATACATTGAAGAAATTATGTTTTTGTATACATGAAAAGACTTATGCACCAGAAGAATTTATAATTAAGAAGGATGATCATCCAGATAAAGTGTATATACTGTTAGCTGGAAAAGTGAAGTCAGTATTATTGGATAGGACAATAAAAAGATATACAAGTGGAATATTGTTTTGTGAAAGAGAATTCTTCTTTTAAGATTATATGTAATTTGATATTGTAGCATAAACATTTGTCTAAGTTGCTTATATAACTTAGAATGAATTCTTATCAATTTTATAGAAAGATAGAAGATAATATGAAAAATATAGACTTATACTTGATAAAACTCAATTTGGAGATAATACAAATCAAATAAAATGTGAAGCTTGTTCTAGTCATCATTAATTTAAACATTGTCCTTTAGTTTTCTTAAGGAAAAACAAAAATAAAGTTATTTCAGTATATAATAGTAGTGTTGATCATGGTAGATAACCATTTATTAGATAAAAGAAAAGAAAGAGATTTAATGTACTACTTATTAGAGAAAAGGCTTTAGAATAAATGCTTGAACATTAAAAATCAATACCTTAGGTTGATAATAAATTACTAATCAGATTAGGATTCCCAAAATAAGAAGAAGATGATCTCGATTTCCCTGAATAGACAATTGGATTACATTCTCATTAATAATCTCTAAATTAATAAGATATGAAGAATTTACTTAAGAGTAAATTTTTTCAATAAGTAAGCAATAGAAGTCTATTATTACCAAATACTAATAGTCTACATAATTAATTTAGTAACTAGATAAATAATTAAAATTATGAAAACCAAGATGATCTTAATCCATAAATATAAAATAATGATTTGAATATAGATAAAGTATCAGAATTTGAAAAATATTATCCTCACTTCAATATCACTAAAGTATCTAAATTAATAAATAATTCCCATGTTTATAATAAAGTCTTATAGATGATTAGAGGTCACAAAAGTAAATTTGCCCATTATATTGCTCGCTAAATTATGTATAAAATAATATGAGTGAGTGTAATTTTATAATGAAAAAATATGATCAAAAATATATATGTATATAAATTAATCCCATTCATATGTTAGAATTAGTCAATTCCTATTCTCTAATGACAATTAAATATCTTTTGTTAATTAAGAAAATTATTATTTAATTTAAATTGTAAATATGGATTAACTAGATGGATTTTAGATTGTTTTAGCTGATGGATCAGTTGGGTTTGCAGTTTAACCAAAGGAAGATTGTGAACATTTTAAATAGACAGATCTAAATGAATTGTAAAATATATTGTAAATTAATTTAGAATGAAGTATGTTGAACAAAATAGAAAAAATTTATTTTCATAACCATGTGTATAATGTGGAGATTGTAAAGAAAATTGGGTATGTTAACATTGTAGAGAAATTCATTGTTCTCGATTTGTAAATTGTAATTTAAATATTTATTAATTTTTAGCTCACATGGTTGAACATAATAAAAAAAGTGGACATCAAATTGTTCTATCATTAACAGATTTATCATTTTGGTGTTATGATTGTTCCTCTTATATTACTAATTATCTAATTTCGAAAGCAAGTAAATTGTTATCTTCAATCAAATTTAATAATTAAGAAGACAAAAATGATGAGACATAAGAAATTAAACAATTAATTGAATAAATTTCTAATTTAAAGGTTACTAATGAAGATGAATTCAATTATAATATATTAATAGATGGATTGAAAAATAAGAAATTCTAAAAAGTATGTGTATTGGCTGGTGCAGGAATGAGTGTAGCTGCTGGAATTCCAGATTTCAGAACTCCTGGAACAGGATTATATTCATAAATATAAAAATATAATTTGCCTAGTCCAGAAAGTGTATTTGAAATTGAATATTTTAAAAAAAATCCTGAAGCATTTTATTGTGTAGCAAAAGAATTCTTACTTAGTTTTGATGCTAAACCAACTGTAGCTCATAAATTTTTAAAATTATTGGATTCAAGAGAACAATTACTAAGATGTTTTACATAGAATATAGATGGTTTAGAATTAGATGCAGGAGTCACATAAGAAAAAGTCATATAAGCACATGGTCATATGAGATCTGCTAGATGTATTGAATGTTAAGAGGGAGCTTCAATTAAGGATTTCATGAATCATATAAAAAAGGGTGATATTCATAGATGTGAAAAATGTCCTAAGAAAGGATTGATCAAACCTGATGTTGTATTTTTTGGTGAAGGTTTACCAGGAGAATTCTTTTATAATTGGAATTGTTTAAAAGATGCAGATCTTTTAATTGTTATAGGAACAAGTCTTAAAGTGATGCCTTTTGCAGCTAGTGTAGCTAAAGTTGGTCCTTCAACTCCAATAGTATTGATAAATAGAGAAAATGTTTTACAAGGAAGAAAGAATTTACTACATCTTGATGGAGACATTGAAGAAAATTGTAAAAAGATTGTTTAAGATATGAAATGATATAAATAATTATAATTAAAACTAATAATAGAATTCTATATTTTTTAAACTTGTTCAAAAATGTATTTCTATTATCAATAAATAAAATAAAATGAATTCAAGTTAGGATATAATAAAAATTCAATCATATGAGATTTATAAAGACCTCGAGATTGGAAGAGGATAATTTGGAGTTGTATATTAATGCAAAGACTTAGATAAACCTCAATTAAAATTATGTGCAAAAGTAATTTAGTATATCATTATAGATAATAGAAGAAAAAATAGATGATGAAAAAACATTAAGAGAAATTCAATTAATGAAAATGATAATGACAGGTGCAAAAGGAAATAAAAATATTGTAGGAGTTGAATATGTTGATTTTAATACAGAAAGGATTGTACTTATTTTAGAAAAATGCGAATGTGATTTACAATCAATTATTGATAAAAAATAAAAAATAGAAAAGAAAAATTTTACACCAGATGAAGCACTAAATGTACTAAAATAACTCATAAATGGTTATAAAGTGCTTTATTCAAATAATATTATACATAGAGATCTTAAACCTGCAAATATATTGGTCTTAGATGGTTTTTATAAAGTAAAACAAATTACAATCAAATATTATAGATTGCTGACTTGGGATTGGCAAGAGTTTTTGAAGCAAATACAACTATGACAAAAGTGGGAACACCAAAATATGTTGCTCCTTAATTATATTTGGAAAATTTCTTTTCTAATTCAGCAGATATTTTTTCAGTAACATTTATTATATTTAATTTTAAAGCTAGGTATTATTACTTATGAATTAATTTTTGGGGGATTGCCATATGTTGCAAATAGTTAGCTATAAATAAAAAAGGCTTTGAAAAATTTAGAATAAAATCCAGTTGTAGTAAAAAGAGATCATCCTGGAGTAAAAATAATAAGTATTTTAAGATGACTAATGATTTGGCTATTTTAATTGAGAGCATGCTTAAATTTAAAGAAAATGATAGAATCAGTTGGGAATAATTATTTAAACATCCACTAATTTAATCAGAATCTAATGTTGTAATGAATTAATCAGGGTATTTAATATTAATTTATGACTAAGACTTATTCAAGATTTTCCTAATAAAGATGATGAGGAAGATGATGAACCAGTTTAAGAATAATAAAAACCAATTGAAGCTCCAAAAAATCAATCATAAGTTCCTTAATAATCTCCAACCTTACCTATACCAACTTTTAATGGACCTATGTAATTTCAATAAAATGGAAAACCAATAAATATTCCTCCAACAATGAATCCCCAATTCTAGCAAGGAAGAATTTCAACCCCCACTATGGTAAATGCTAATATTTTTGTTCCACCTGGTGTTTAATAACAGAGACAATAAATGGTATTTTAACCTCAAAGATTTTAAACAATAAATGCACCTATGATTCAACCAAATGGACCTATGATTCAACCAAATGCTCCTATGATTCAACCAAATGCTCCTATGATTCAACCAAATGCACCTATGGCTAACATTGGATAAACTTTTCAATTTTAATAGGTCCAAGCATAATCTGATTAATTATATTAAGCAGGATTTGCTATGGATTTAACATTAGATTTATTAGAAAGATTTATGTAATAATAATTTAATATATGATTAGAAACATGTAAATTTAATTGAAATAAGAATGGTTTGGATTAAAATTATATCTTCATTATTTTTCATAATGTTTCTTTGAACATTCAAAGGCTATGAAAATGCCAAATTAAAATTAATAAAATTTGAATTAACAATTTATTTATTAACTTAGTAATGCTGAATAAGGGATTGAGAAATAAAAAAGATATCATTAAGTAATATAATAAGAATTGGAAAGACATTAATTAATTTCATTATATCCTGTTTCGGATGTAACTCCAGATTTTAATAATTATCTACAAAAATTGAAATAAATTCTATAACCTAAAGGTGTGTTCTTTTATTAATCAGATAGAAAATATTATGTGGAATATTTATAGTAATAATAATAATAAAATTTTTTAGATTATTATATTGTTTAGAAAGACTAAAAGATCTGAATTCAAATAAATTTGAAGATATATATTCTTAAATATCTGATATCTTTAAGAATTAAAAGACAGAATCCATTATGATTGATTATCTCAACAAGAGATATAGCAACTGAATTATTCAGTAATTATAAAAAGTTATTTAATAATATATTCTGTATTTTAATGATAATCTAACCATTGCAATAATTAGTTTTCATAAACAAAGATAAAAATAATTTTTAAGGATTGAATTCCTAACAAAGAAATAATTATATAGATGTTCATTAATTTACTACAGGTAGAAAATACTAAAAACCAAAAAAATTTTAAACTCAATTTCCATAAATCATAAAAGATGATACATAATATGAATTTAGAATGTTTCATCATGTTTAAAATATGAAAAGTGCTCACTATTAATCTAAATATACATTATCTATGGGAAGCATTCCTAATCTAATTTTACATACATATTTTGATTAAATTGTATTTTATGATATGGCTAAGTTGAAATCAGAATCAACTAGAATATCACTAGAAGCAATAGGATTAGATGTTTTTGAGAATATTTGTGCTGTTGCTGGAATGAATGGAGATCTTTTGATAATTAATTTATAAAATGGAAACCTATATAAATAGACAATAAATTCAAAAAGACATTTTATCAACCATGTACATTTCTATCATAATTATCTTATCACTAATGATAATGGAGGATACATTAAAATATTTGATTATTAAAATGGACTCAAAGAAATATTCTCATATGAAGATAAAGCTTCAGTCAATCTTACAACTGTTAATGAGAATAAATAATTAGCATATTGTGGTGATAGACTAGGATTAAATGTTTTAGATGTTCTATCAGGTTAAATGATACATACATTGGATCCACATAATGAATTTGGTTTTGCTGTAGCATTTAATCCCTGTAAAAGTTATGAACTTGCATCATCAAGTGAGGATGGATCAGTTGTCATCTATGATTTGCGTTCTCCAAAACATCCTCTTTAATAATTTATTGGATCAGATTTCCCAATATACAATGTAACATATTAGCTCAATGGATCTCATTTATTTATGGCAGAATCGAATTCCTATTTGCATATATTGAATACGTAAAATATTATTTTATTAATTAGTACTCTTTATGATACTGTTTAAACTATTAAAGTATATGGAGAAGTCTCAGGAATAGTTAATGATGTTTATGATGAAAATAGATTCTATTTTAGTACAAGCTGTCATTATGGTGATGGAATTTGTGAATTTGCTAAATGAAATTAGTATTATGATAATTAATATTTGTCATTTCTATTTAATCATATCAATATTTATAATAAAAAACTTAATAATTATTTTTATATAAATTGATATTTAGAGATTTCATATTTTTAAATAGGTTTTTTATTTTTTAAAGTGATTACATTAATATTAACAATTCAAAAGTGAAATTAAGTACCATACAAGAGGTGATTTAAATGTTCTACAAGAAGAAATGAAATCGAATTGGCTAATGGCTTTCGAACTAATCTTGGACTAAGACCTTTAGTAAATCTAATAATAATTAATATAATGAACCCATATAGTCCTTCATTTTGATAAGTGCTTTTGAATCTTTCCATTATGGTCATTTTATCATGATAATAATTAGTTTATAATCTGGCTCTAAGAATTTCAAAGGGATGACTTGCACATGTTCCAACTAAACCAGCAGTCATTCCAGATAGGAAAGTAATTGATGGGGAAAAACCAGAATCAGCTGTTAAGAACATCTCATGCATCTTTCTATAAACAACATAATAGATCTAATCTTAATGTTAATTAATTACTCCTGCGAATAGACTATCTTTAATTGAGCATGTGAGACCTCCTTTAAAGAAGCTCATTAAACCTTCTTATTTTGCAATTGTTTTAGCTGTCTTCCATAAGGAAGTGTATTAGTACCCAGGAACTTCAGCACGAGTTTCAATTAAGAGAATTGGATTAGTAATGAAATTGGATAGTCTTTAATATTAGATATGTGATGTACCCTCTGGCAAAAAAGGAAGCAAGAAAGTCTTGTGAAACATTACGGTTTACGCTTGTAGCATAGGATAACATTTGAAAATATAGGAAGCCAGCGCTCATATTTCTAACTAATGCAGGGCCTTATGTAATGGAGGAAAATTCTACGCAAGCCGCGATAAAATCCATTGAGTCCTTCATTGATAAGTATGTATTCAGCTGATCCATATGTACTTGTTAATCTATAGTTTGCTGGATTAGATTTAACAATCATGACCATTTTGATAACTTCTAAAGGTTAGACAGCAAGTGTAGATATGAGAGAAGCAGTGGCACCAAGTAATCCTTAAAAATGGACTCGTTACTACTCTACCATTAATATTAAATTTAATAGTGATCATTTGAAATAAACACAATAATGTATATTATGTTTGACGAGTTATTTATAAATTAATTTCTAGAATTTGTGAGAACACGTGTTATTATATATATGTTGATGTAGTTCTTACATAGAATCATAAATATTTTTAATGCATACTAAATAGAAAGCCTTTGGGTTATTGTTACTCTTTATGCTTTCTGGTGTTTAAGTAATGACACAAGATTTGACTGAAGAATAAAGAAAGCTTTTGGAATAATCTTAAGAAACACATGAATTTTAAGCAGAAACAGGTAGATTGATGGATATCCTTATTAATTCTCTATATACTTAAAAGGAAATCTTTCTAAGAGAATTAATTTCGAATGCAGCAGATGCACTTGATAAAATTCGATTTTTGAGTGTAAAGAATCCAGAAATTTTGGGTGATAAAACTGAATTAGCAATTAGAATTGAAATAAATACAGAAGAAAAGACAGTTTCTGTTACAGATAGTGGTATTGGTATGACAAAGAATGATTTAATATCAAATTTGGGTACAATTGCAAAATCAGGAACCACTTAATTTATTGAAGCTATTAAAGGAGGTAATGTAAATTTGATTGGTTAATTTGGTGTTGGTTTTTATTCATGTTTCTTGGCAGGTTAAAAGGTTACAGTTGCATCAAAAAATACAGATGATGAATAATATATATGGGAATCATAAGCAGCACATTCATTTGCAATATCAAAAGATCCTAGAGGAAATACATTAGGTCGTGGTACATAAGTTACTATTCATTTGAAATAAGATGCTGTTGAATTTGCAGAAGAAAGTACAATTAAAGAATTAATCAAAAAATATTCAGAATTTATTAATTTCCCTATTTATTTGAAAGTGACAAGGGAAGTTTCAAAATAAGTAGAGGAAGAACCTGAATAATAAGATCAATAAGAAAATACAGATGATGATGAAGTAAAAGTTAAAGATGATGATGATGATGATGCAGATACAAAGAAGAAAGCTACTAAAACAATTAAAGAGAAAGTATCAGAATGGGTTTAAATTAATGAAAATAAGGCTATATGGTTAAGACCAAAAGAAGAGATTTCTGATGATGATTATAAGAAATTCTATAAAGTATTATCAAAGAATTCAGGTGAAGATCCTTTTAATTGGGTTCATTTTAAAGCAGAAGGAGAAGTTGAATTTACATCTCTTATTTATGTTCCAAAGAGAGCACCAAGTGATATGTTTGATAATTATTATGGTAAATAAACAACAAATTTGAAATTATATGTTAGAAGAGTTTTAATTAGTGAAGAATTCGAAGATATACTTCCAAGATATTTAAGTTTTGTTAAAGGTGTTATTGATTCAGATGAATTACCATTAAATGTTAATAGAGAAACACTTTAATAACTTAAAATGTTAAAGGTTATAAGTAGAAAGATAGTTAAGAAGATTTTAGAATTATTTTAAGATGCTGCTTCTTATGATGATGAAGATGAAGAAGATACAGAAGAAGGTGAAGAAGATGATAATATGGCAGAAACTACACCTGAAGAATAATAAAGATTGAAAGATGAAAAGAGAAAAAAGAAGATTGATGAATATAATGAATTTTGGAAAGAATATGGAAAGAATATTAAATTGGGTGTTATTGAAGATTCTTCAAATAGATAGAAATTGGCTGAATTAACAAGGTATTTTAATATTTTATATTTATTAGATGGTACTCAAGTAAAAATTCAACTGAATTAACATCATTTGATGATTATATTGAGAGAACAAAACCAGGATAAGATTCAATCTATTATTTAGCTGGTGAAAATAAGGAATAATTATTAGCTTCACCAATTATTTAAGGATTATTAAAGAAAGGATATGAAGTATTATTATTAGATGATCCAGTTGATGAATTTACATNGAAGAATCCAGAAATTCTAGGTGATAAAACTGAATTAGCAATTAGAATTGAAATAAATACAGAAGAAAAGACAGTTTCTGTTACAGATAGTGGTATTGGTATGACAAAGAATGATTTAATATCAAATTTGGGTACAATTGCAAAATCAGGAACCACTTAATTTATTGAAGCTATTAAAGGAGGTAATGTAAATTTGATTGGTTAATTTGGTGTTGGTTTTTATTCATGTTTCTTGGCAGGTTAAAAGGTTACAGTTGCATCAAAAAATACAGATGATGAATAATATATATGGGAATCATAAGCAGCACATTCATTTGCAATATCAAAAGATCCTAGAGGAAATACATTAGGTCGTGGTACATAAGTTACTATTCATTTGAAATAAGATGCTGTTGAATTTGCAGAAGAAAGTACAATTAAAGAATTAATCAAAAAATATTCAGAATTTATTAATTTCCCTATTTATTTGAAAGTGACAAGGGAAGTTTCAAAATAAGTAGAGGAAGAACCTGAATAATAAGATCAATAAGAAAATACAGATGATGATGAAGTAAAAGTTAAAGATGATGATGATGATGATGCAGATACAAAGAAGAAAGCTACTAAAACAATTAAAGAGAAAGTATCAGAATGGGTTTAAATTAATGAAAATAAGGCTATATGGTTAAGACCAAAAGAAGAGATTTCTGATGATGATTATAAGAAATTCTATAAAGTATTATCAAAGAATTCAGGTGAAGATCCTTTTAATTGGGTTCATTTTAAAGCAGAAGGAGAAGTTGAATTTACATCTCTTATTTATGTTCCAAAGAGAGCACCAAGTGATATGTTTGATAATTATTATGGTAAATAAACAACAAATTTGAAATTATATGTTAGAAGAGTTTTAATTAGTGAAGAATTCGAAGATATACTTCCAAGATATTTAAGTTTTGTTAAAGGTGTTATTGATTCAGATGAATTACCATTAAATGTTAATAGAGAAACACTTTAATAACTTAAAATGTTAAAGGTTATAAGTAGAAAGATAGTTAAGAAGATTTTAGAATTATTTTAAGATGCTGCTTCTTATGATGATGAAGATGAAGAAGATACAGAAGAAGGTGAAGAAGATGATAATATGGCAGAAACTACACCTGAAGAATAATAAAGATTGAAAGATGAAAAGAGAAAAAAGAAGATTGATGAATATAATGAATTTTGGAAAGAATATGGAAAGAATATTAAATTGGGTGTTATTGAAGATTCTTCAAATAGATAGAAATTGGCTGAATTAACAAGGTATTTTAATATTTTATATTTATTAGATGGTACTCAAGTAAAAATTCAACTGAATTAACATCATTTGATGATTATATTGAGAGAACTAAACCAGGATAAGATTCAATCTATTATTTAGCTGGTGAAAATAAGGAATAATTATTAGCTTCACCAATTATTTAAGGATTATTAAAGAAAGGATATGAAGTATTATTATTAGATGATCCAGTTGATGAATTTACATTTTAACATTTAAATGAATACAAATAAAAAAAATTAGTTAATGTTGGAAAAGGTGATTTCAAATAACCAGAAGATAATGATGAATAAAGAAAGAAATAAAAGGCTTTAAAGAAAGTATTTTAACCTTTGACTGATTGGTGGAGAAAATTATTATCAGAAAGTGTTGATTCAGTTATTATTTCTTAAAGATTAATTGATGATCCAATTATTGTTGTTTCATCTGAATCAGGATATTCTGCAAATATGGAANTAATATATATGGGAATCATAAGCAGCACATTCATTTGCAATATCAAAAGATCCTAGAGGAAATACATTAGGTCGTGGTACATAAGTTACTATTCATTTGAAATAAGATGCTGTTGAATTTGCAGAAGAAAGTACAATTAAAGAATTAATCAAAAAATATTCAGAATTTATTAATTTCCCTATTTATTTGAAAGTGACAAGGGAAGTTTCAAAATAAGTAGAGGAAGAACCTGAATAATAAGATCAATAAGAAAATACAGATGATGATGAAGTAAAAGTTAAAGATGATGATGATGATGATGCAGATACAAAGAAGAAAGCTACTAAAACAATTAAAGAAAAAGTATCAGAATGGGTTTAAATTAATGAAAATAAGGCTATTTGGTTAAGACCAAAAGAAGAGATTTCTGATGATGATTATAAGAAATTCTATAAAGTATTATCAAAGAATTCAGGTGAAGATCCTTTTAATTGGGTTCATTTTAAAGCAGAAGGAGAAGTTGAATTTACATCTCTTATTTATGTTCCAAAGAGAGCACCAAGTGATATGTTTGATAATTATTATGGTAAATAAACAACAAATTTGAAATTATATGTTAGAAGAGTATTAATTAGTGAAGAATTCGAAGATATACTTCCAAGATATTTAAGTTTTGTTAAAGGTGTTATTGATTCAGATGAATTACCATTAAATGTTAATAGAGAAACACTTTAATAACTTAAAATGTTAAAGGTTATAAGTAGAAAGATAGTTAAAAAGATTTTAGAATTATTTTAAGATGCTGCTTCTTATGATGATGAAGATGAAGAAGATACAGAAGAAGGTGAAGAAGATGATAATATGGCAGAAACTACACCTGAAGAATAATAAAGATTGAAAGATGAAAAGAGAAAAAAGAAGATTGATGAATATAATGAATTTTGGAAAGAATATGGAAAGAATATTAAATTGGGTGTTATTGAAGATTCTTCAAATAGATAGAAATTGGCTGAATTAACAAGGTATTTTAATATTTTATATTTATTAGATGGTACTCAAGTAAAAATTCAACTGAATTAACATCATTTGATGATTATATTGAGAGAACAAAACCAGGATAAGATTCAATCTATTATTTAGCTGGTGAAAACAAGGAATAATTATTAGCTTCACCAATTATTTAAGGATTATTAAAGAAAGGATATGAAGTATTATTATTAGATGATCCAGTTGATGAATTTACATTTTAACATTTAAATGAATACAAATAAAAAAAATTAGTTAATGTTGGAAAAGGTGATTTCAAATAACCAGAAGATAATGATGAATAAAGAAAGAAATAAAAGGCTTTAAAGAAAGTATTTTAACCTTTGACTGATTGGTGGAGAAAATTATTATCAGAAAGTGTTGATTCAGTTATTATTTCTTAAAGATTAATTGATGATCCAATTATTGTTGTTTCATCTGAATCAGGATATTCTGCAAATATGGAAAGAATTTCAAAAGCTTAAGCTTATTCAAGTAAAGGTGGTTCACATTAATTTGGTAAGAAGATTGTAGAAATCAATCCAAATCATTAAGCAATCTAAGAATTATTATAAAGAGTAAAAGATGATCCAGATTAAGAAACAGAAGAAATGGCTAGAGTATTATATGAAGCTGCTTTAGTTAATTCAGGTATTTAATATATATATATTTTAGGTTATTCTATTCCTAATCCTGAAAAGTTTGCTAGTAGATTCTATAAATTATTTAATTCTGCTTTGGGTATTGATAGAGATGCTCCAGTCAAAGAATTTGAAGTAGAAATCGAAGAAGAACCAGAAACTTCATCAGAACCACCTTAAAGTGAAGATGGAACTAAATGGGAAAAAGTAAATACAGATGATGCTCAATGGGAAACTGTAAGTAATGATAAAAGAGATGACTTATGATTCATTAATACATATGTATTGTATAATTTATTTCTATATCATTTACTTTTTGTTAATTCTTTGTAAACAATTGCAAAATCTTTCTTTCCATAATGTTCATTCAATTTATTATAAATCTATTAAGCATGTTATCCTAATTATGTATCGGTTCCACTTTTCTTAGATGCTTCAATAGCAATTCCTAGATCTTTGAGCATTAATTCAACCATGAAGCCTCCATCATAATCTTTGGAACTAGGTACATTAGGCATAACACCTGGTGCTGGGTTATAAGTATCTACAGACCAACATCTTGAAGAACTGACAGACATAATTGAACTTAACATAGCTGGATCCATTCCCATATTCTTACCCAAAGCCAAAGCTTCAGCAACACTTATCATTTAAATAGCCAATGCCATATTATTACACATTTTAGCAATTTATCCTCCTCCAATCTTTCCACAATGGAAAATATTTTTTCCCATTTCTTTAAGAATTGGAGATACTTTATCATATAATTCCTATTCTGCTCCAACCATAAATGTAAGTGTTCCTAATTTAGCACCACCAACACCACCTGAGACTGGAGCATCTGTATATATGTTTTTAGTATCTTTAGCCATTTTAGCCAAATCATAAGCAGCATAAGGTGAGATTGTGGATGAATCAATCAATGTTTTGTTTTATTTTTTGAAGATTTCTTAAGCTACACTTTTGACTATCTTATCATTTGGTAACATAGTAATAATAGTATCTGCATTTGCAGCAACATCTGCTACTTAAGACACAGGTTTAATATTAGAAGATTCAATCTTGGATTACCATGCAGGACTAGCATCATATGCATATACAACTCGAGTTTTAGCTAAATTATGAGCCATACCAATCTATATTAATCATATGATATAATGATACTCCCATATTGCCCAAACCAATGAATCCAATTGTGTTACTAAATCCAAATGCAGAAATAAACTTACGCATTATTTATTTAATTATTAACCGTAATAAATAAATATTTGAAATACAAATGAACTCTAACTCTGATTAGTAAGATTTCATTTATAATTTACATAGTCATTTTCTATTCAAAGTATTGCTAATTGGAAATTCTGGTGTGGGAAAATCATGTATGCTTATGCGTTATTCTGTACTATTTCATATAATTTCAAGGAAAATTAATTCACAAACAATTTCTATAACACAATAGGAGTTGATTTTAAAACAAAAACTATTGCATTAGGAGAACACAATGTTAAATTGCAAATTGTAAATCATTATTTCATTATCTTAGTGGGATACTGCAGGTCAAGATAGATTTAGAACAATTACATGTAGTTATTATAGAGGAGCTTAAGGAATCATTATTGTTTATGATATTACTGATAGAGAATCTTTTGAAAATGTAAAAACTTGGATGGCAGAAATAGATAAGTAATTCTTTCTAAATATATTTTAGATATGCATCAGAATCTGTAAATAGATTATTGGTTGGTAATAAAGCTGATATAACTGAAAGAAGAGAAGTATCTTATGAAGAAGGATTAGAATTATGTAATATTCCTTTAATAATATTTTTAGCAAGATTATATTAAATTCCATTTTATGAAACCAGTGCTAAATCATCTATCAATATTGAAGCTGCTTTCACACATATCACAAAAAACATATTGAATAGAGAACTTCATAATACAAGGGCTGTGGTTAGGAAGACATCTAATCTTAGACTTCAAAATAGATAATAATAATAATAACAAGAAAAGAAAAAACAAGAAGATCTTTGTTGTTGACTTTAATTATATATATATATATTAGATCTATAGATAATTCTATATATATAAAGTATATTAAATCAACATCTTGCATATTTTAATCCAGAATTTCCTATTCCATTCTTCTATTAATGTACCAATTTTAGATGTAAATTTTTAAGTGATTATTCTGACAAATTTTAATTGTCTGCACTCAATCTTCCTGTTTAATCTGGTTTTGATCCAGATTTGTGATATGATTTTATTTACTATTTAAATGTTGTAGTATTCAAAGATCTCTCATTTATCAAATCACTTAAACCTCCTCCATTCTTTCTTGCACTCATTGGAGTTCCATTTACATACTGTCTCATTCTATCTATTGTGGAATCTTCAAATATAATTATAAATATCTTACTACTTTAAGTATTACTATCCAAATTAATCACTACTTTTGGAGTATCATATTTACCTAAACCTAATTTACCCATGAAACTTTAGAGTTCTTCTTTTCTCTTATTAGTTTTACTATGATCTTTAACTTCAACTTAAAAGTTCATATTCTAAGTCACCTTAGAAGTTACTGATTAATCAGGTCTATAGTTAAATTGATTACCCAAATTTGGACTTTACAATAATTGCTTTTAGGCTGAAGGTTTCTTTTAAAAGAATGAAGTTGTTCTATTTCCTGAACCATATTCAAATATTTCTTCTTATGATTTACTTGGTGTTTTGTATTATTAAATTTGGGTTTCAGCCTTTTTATTTCTTCTAATATCAATATTAGAGAATGCATCCTCTAATTATTATTGAGGGGCAGCTTATTCAACCACTTTTCTTTATTATACTGTATTAAAGAATAAGTTTAAATCATCTAAAGAGGAAGCACTTCTAAATTTTTCCAAAATATTTTAATAATTGGAATGTTACTCATTAACAACAGGTTTTGAAGGTTAATGAGATGAAGGCAATTTCAAACCAGGTTCAACTCTTTGATCTAATACACCTAAAATCATTTGTCTATGTTAAGCAATTTAAGCTTTATGTTCTTATTCACTAGCAATTGGATCTGGTACATGAGTATCAAATTGAATTTGATTACTTGTTGTAGAAGCTTTTTTGGATCCCAAAATATTCCAATCCCATTCTTTAGGAGATTTAAGTATTTCAGCATCACTTCTCCAAATATCAGATTTTTCTGATTTTTCAATAACAGATGGTTCCATTGCTAAAGGTTATTAATCCTCAGCCAATTATTTGAAGGCATTAAATTTACTCTTGTATTATTCAATGAGGTCTTTTGAGGATTAACCAAATGAAGGTTTTGGTTCATGTTTAATTTCATACTTTAAATCTTTGCGAGGTTCAGGTTTAATATCTGGGAGACTTTCCTCAAATTTAGGGAGTTCGAGAGTATTCTCTTGAGAAGTAATATCGATTTCAGACATGCACAGGCAATTTGTTATTTTTTTTATTGTTAATTTTTATTCAATACTTTCTGTTAAAATATATATATAATATTATGTAAAGTATTTTAAATCATGACCCCGTTGTTTTTATTTTGGACTCTAATGTAGCAAGCATAGCTTATAGTTCCTCATTATTATATCGAATATAGAGTGATATTTACGGAGAGGCACAAGCACAAATACTTTAATGACAAATACATCCCTTCTTTATACATCTAAAGAAATTTAGGAAATTAATACTTCCCACAAAAAATGTAACTTAAAAACATATAATTGGAGCAGATCTTACAGACACTTCGATCATACTTCTCCTACTTATTAACAAATTCAATTATCTTAACATGATCATACAAACTTAGTATACATTTACGATTGTTAATTTCTTAATCCATCATTTGTTTGAATTTCTCAAATAACTTAGAAGTAATTTAAAAAAATATACCTTTTACCAAGATTATTTAGTAAACCTTATCTCATCAACCATCAAAGCCACTTTACATAGTAACCATTCCAAAGGGAAACTAACCTAAATAAATAATCACTTATACAAATTACCTTCTTTAAATTCCCATCCATACGGTATTCTTAGGTTGCCTTATCAAACTCTTTAAGCCATTAAGTTGGAGCCACATTTACAGCTTCACTACAATTGAACCCTAATTTTTATTTAAATAAATACCATGAGAAAAACCTGCATGGTAGGTAGCTCCCAAAGTTAATATTAGTTCACCTGGTTGTTAATCAGTTCTTAAAATTTAGATTCCATTCTCAACCAATTCTACAGGTGAGATTTGACAAGTGATGTCGTACAATAATCGTGGATTCTATTTCCTTTCATTCTCATATGCTTTATTGAAGTATTAGAGGAATTTATCACTGTAACTAGGTGGAATAGCATACCTATATGATTATTTAATCAAATAGAATACCATGTCTTTGCAGCTCCAGCATGCATATAATTCATTGAATTTAAATTAAGATCCTCCTTATGCCAACAAAAATTTGCATATTTCATGCCCAAATATAACCATGGTACTGATATTCCACTCATTTCATTCTTATCTTAAAGAACTTAGAAAATCGAATTCCTATTTTTATTTATTCCACTGAGATTCCCTAACTAACCATCCTAAAATCCAGTGGCATATTTAGTTGCTAAGAGATCTGCTGCATATTCCACTTCAATATCTTGATATTTAGTTGGATAATCAATAATTGACCAGAACTCTATTTCATTCTATCGAATCTGATTAGAAACTTCCCTCATCCCTTGTAATTTATGAGTACACTCAAACTTATTTGCAAGGTTCATGTATTCCTATATTGTAAATCCAATAGAGTTTGAACCAAATATCTAAGCTAATAAATCAAAATACTTCTCCAGCTCTTTGGGTGTTCAGTGTTTAGATACGAGTTTATAGTCTCTTACCCTTAAGCTTAGACTCTAACAAAGAAAAGAATTTCTTATTTGGAACCACTAAATCTGGAGGCAGAATCAATTTAACAATTCCAAATTTTTCATAACCTTTTGCATATAGATCATCTATAGTTTTGAATGGATCAGCAAAAAAGCTTTGATCTATAGTCAATACAGGAACATCTTTTAATTAAAAATCTTTTGTTGTGTAGGGGAAACGTTCTAATAATAATTTTGAATGAGGCTCAGTGAAATCATCAGAGTTCTTAGACTTTTTGGTTTGTTTAGAATGTTTGTTTGTACGTATCATTGAATGATAAGTTAATTTAATTTAATAATTTTAACTCATACCTAACTTGTTCTGCTTTAATCCTGATTGATTTAAAAGATACAACTGTTTTAAATCCCCAAAAATTATATAATTAAAAAATATACCCGTGTCAGGTTTAGAATCTGATAAATTCTATTCAAAAATACATAAAATATATAATTCATTAAGAAGTTGTTTATTAATCTTCCTTTTTTATTTCCAAATAAGCCTTATAATTTGATTTTGGTGGAAATGGTCGTTCTCCCAAAACTTCAATTATTTTTTATAAGTCGAGAGTCTCTTTTTCTAACAAAGTAGAAGCCAATCTAAAATATAATCAAACAAAAATAATACTTATTAACAAATTCCTTTTTTTCAGTAATTAATTATCTAGTTCTTTAAGTCTATTCTTCAATAAGCTTTCTAATTTCATCATCAATCTATTTATTAGTGCTATCACTATATGGTTTTTAAAACTCTCCCTCTTAAAATCCAATATATCCAATATTCTCATTCATACCAAACTTTGTAACTATACTATGAGCAACATCATAAGCTTTCTTTAAATCATCATATGCTCCAGTAGTAATTTATCCAAAGAAAATCTCTTCAGCAACTCTACCTCCTAATATACAACAAATTCTATCCAATAATTCTTATTTAGTTTCCAAACTAGATTCATTAGGTAAATATTAAGCATAACCTAATGAACCCTTACTTCTAGGAATTATAGTTAATTTAAGAAGTGGATGACCTCCTTATAAAAACCAACTAGCTACAGCATGTCCAGATTCATGAAATGCAACTGTCTTCCTTTCTTCTTCACTAATGATTTTTTTCTTTTCTAAACCAGCCATAACTCTTTCTGATGCCATCTCAAAATCATGAGCATCCACATATGTCTTATTAGCTCTTGCTGCCATTATTGCAGCTTCATTACAAAGATTGGCTATTTCTGCTCCACTAAATCCTGGAGTTAGAGTAGCCAATCTCTTTGCATATTCTTCCATAGTCTTAGATGGATCCAACTTTAAAGGAGTCAAATGAACCATAAATATTTATTTTCTTCCTTCAATATCTGGTAATGTAATATCAATTGATCTATCAAATCTACCAGGTCTAGTAAGTGCTGGATCAAGTAATTCTTTTCTATTTGTAGCTGCCAAAACTATAACATTAGTATCTGTTCCAAATCCATCCATCTCAACTAATAATTAATTCAATGTATTATCTCTTTCATCATTTCCACCTATTTTTGCATCTCTTTTTCTACCAACTGCATCAATTTCATCTATAAAAATAATACTAGGAGATTTTGCTTTTGCTTATTTAAATAAATCTCTAACTCTACTAGCACCAACACCTACAAACATTTCAACAAAATCTGATCCACTTACAAAGAAAAATGGAACACCAGCTTCACCTGCACAAGCCTTTGCTACCATAGTTTTACCAGTTCCTGGTGGTCCTGCCAATAAAGCTCCTCTTGGTAATTTAGCTCCCATTTCTTTATATTTTCTAGGTTTCTTTAAAAAATCTACAAATTCTTTAATTTCTAATTTAGCTTCATCTAATCCAGCCACATCTTTAAATTTGATTTTTACATTTTATTCAAATCCAAATTACTTTACATTTGATTTACCAAAACCAAATACATCATTTCCACCACCACTACCACCAGGTCCTTTTCCAATATTTCCCATACTACCTTTAAGTGATTTAAAGATATAAAAGATCAAAACAGCTGAAACTCCATAATACAATAAATTCAATGCTCTATCAATCATTTTTGCTTTATCTATTTATGTTTCAAATGAAATTGGAATAAATTACTCTGGATAAACTCCTTTTTCAATTTAAAAACGTTCTAGATTTTCTAAGAAATGATCCACATTCCCTAATATTAATTTTTTAGATTCTCCTCTAGTAGTTTTAATAGAAGCTTAATTAACTTTGCTATTATCATTATTATAGATTGTAATTGAACTAACTTAATTAGTTTCTAAATAATTCTTTAAAAATTCAGTATAAGTAATTTACTCTTCCATATTCAAATAAGTATAAATTGAAGCTAAACCACTTACACCTAAAAACATATAAATATAATTTCGATTCTTTGGATTCTTTATATATTCTGTAAATTTGCTAAAATCAATTTCTGGAAATGAAAATTTTTTCTTTTCTGATTATTATTATTATTATTGTTATTATTTTTATTCTTCATCTTCTTCTTAATTTTCTTATTTTTCTTATTTTTCTTATTTCTCCTCTTCTTTATCTTTTTCCTCCTATTAATCTGTTTTCAACTTCTCTTTCTTCTAATTCTCATCTTATAAGTTAAAGGATTTAGGATCATATGTAAATTGATATTTCTTTTTCTATGGTTTTTCCACTATTACAATATATGCAAATTAAGATACCTTTTGGAGGTAACTCTTCTTCTTATTACTCATCTTAGATGATCTTCTCTGCTTCCTCTTAATTGGGTTTTTCTGAAACCTTTTTTTCTTCTTTTTGTGTAATAGATTCTTCTTGCTATAATTTGGATTTTCTTTGAAATTTTTGAAAACCTAAATGTCTAGAACAATAAAAATACCTTTAGGAGGTTCTTTATCTTAAGAAAAGAGCATACAAGGTTTAGAGTAACGAAATCCACTTCTTCTAAATAAGTTTAAACTTAATCTTAACATCACAAATAAAATAATTAATGGACTATCGAGACCTAATTTCAGAGAAAAAGGATGAAACCCAACTTTTAAAAAAGCTTGTACTTTATCCTCTTCTTACAGGATTTGTGTATGGGACTGGTCACTTCCTAGCATACTTAATTGTGAACTAGAAGTTCTTCATTCCTTTGAAGAGAGCAACAAAGTGAATTGAATTATAAAATAATAATATTCATGCACTTTCCTTTAACTTTAGAATACCCATTGATGCTTTATTCTGAGATATCAGAAAATTAAGGATAATGGATAGAAACAGAGTAATTGGTTATTAGGATACCTAAGAGCTGGGATCTAGATGGAAATGTTAATGACTATAAAATTTTTGGAATGGGAATGGGAGCAGAAGAATATAGAGAAAGTGAAATCAATAATGTTCAATATATTGTAGCCGATCATGCAACTGATTTACATTACTGTGCAAAATTTGCTTATTTTGCTAAAAAGCCTTTTTTGCTTTAAATTCCTTAATTCAATGTAAAGTCTTATGAATATATCTTCTTCAAAAAGAAGGATTAATAAGATAATCTTTTATTAGACATAATAGGATTATCTAAAAGAGAAAGTAATCTTGATCGTAAAATATCATTCCTCTTATAACAATTATTATATGAATCTAGGTATTCTGAAATTGGAATAAAGAAGCAAGTTGAAGATGCTTTGGACAATATATATTATAAGTCTCTAAAGAAAATGATTCAACTTATTGGAAAAAAACATCATATAGAATATGAATCCATGTATGAATTAACTAGAAAAGTAGTGCGTTGTAAAGATTTAAGATTGAACCCCTAAGATATTGTTTCTATTGTATACAAGACATTTATCAGTGCAAGTCTATTTCCCTTTTATTGTGAAATTAACACAATGAATGATAGCTACATAAAATTAAAATTACTTAGTTTATTCACTAATTCTGAAATTTTACCTTGGTCTCCAAAATTTCATGCATCTTTAGGTATATATTATTCTATATAATTTAAGCCTTAGGAAATTATCATTATAGTTTTACTCCTAATGATCTATTCAATTTGAGAACCCTAAATACTCGTGCATTTTATAAAGATTACTAATATATAAGACTTAGAATATTAGATTTTTTTCCTTTAGATTCATGGATTGAAGATGTTTCTAATTTCTTTATAGAAAATTTAGAAACTATGCTTAATTATATTTAGACTAAGATGCCTTAATAATAGAATCAGTCTTCTCTTAGAAAATAGTCTTATGATTCTAAATCTAATTCTAGTAGTTCAATTTTAGATCTAAAAGAACCATTAATGAGAGAAGAATAAAAAGAAACTGAATTGATTTAAGATTCTTGTAATAATAGTTAATAAAGTTTTAATGTATTAACAAATTGTTCAGAATTATTCAAAATATTACTTAAAAATTCTATAAGAAAAATAGAAAATGTAAGAGAAGTTTTTGGTATTGTTATACATACACCATTTATTGTATAAGTTAAAAATCGTATAGCTAATGAATTTTATGAGAATTATTCATCTGAAATTAATAGAAATGGAATTTTAAGTTAATTTTGTTCTATAATAACTGAAACTGAATTAAGAAGTTATTCTACTTGTGCAAATAATTGTTAAACTCCTGTAGCTGCTTTTATTTATCTTTTATGTGATACATTTAGACCTTTTTCAGAAATGTTATGTGAGAAAACTCATTTTCTAAAATCTCTTTAATAATGTGGATTTAATATTCGTAATATTAAACATAATTAATTTGCTTCAAAAAGTAGCTTTATTGATACAGACAATAAATTATTAACTTAATATTTGTCAACTTATTGTAAATTTGCATCAATTAATGAATTTTAATTATTAGGTGAATTATTTATTTAACCAGCAATTTTAGAATGTAGTTTAGATTATTTTGGTTTTTATAGTGATGAATTATCTGCACGTTTTCTTACATGCATTCAAAAAATTGATTTTGATCCAGAATAATTTTAATAAATAGAACGAATGTATCGTCCTTATCGTTTTTCTAATTCTTATCTATTTAATGATACTGAAGCTAAGGAATTTGTTGAGGCTTTTGATAATTGTTCTAGAAGTACAATTTATTAACATGAAAGTTAGAAAGAAGAAAATTTAGTTGAATTTCTATAAAAATTCTAAAATAACAACACTAAACAATATACTAAATCTAGGTTTAATTTACATTATTTGCTATAGTTTTTTTAAAATTAATTAATTAAACTAAAATAAGAAGGTTTAAAGCAAGTAAAAACTAAACATAGGATTCAAGATTATTTAGATACAGTCTACTATTTTTATTTCAATTCTATTCGCTTGTAGATTGTATAAAAGCAGCGTCAAAATACTTTAAGTTTAATAGGATTTGTTATTGCTAAAGATTTAAATTAGCTTCATTCAACCAAACCTTAAAATGTAGAACTTCAAATTTGATTTTATTATATTTTATTTTAAAATATTTGAATGAAACTTTAATTCCCCTTAAGATTAGAAAATCCATTTTTCATCTATAATGCTTAAGAAGATGAATTCTAATAAGTAGAAAGATTTGCTTTTAAAACTCCTAAAGTCATGAAACCCAATATAGATAATTTAATTGATTGGGAAGTTTATTAAATCAGTTGTATTGAGCCTGAAGAAACAGATTTAGAAAGCATTTTCTCAATTTACATTGACTAGAACAGAACAATTCATAGAAAAAATAATCTATAGTATTTAATTGGAAAATATAATATCAATTGGACAAATCCTTTTATAATGCAAAATTATGATTACCTTTTTGTAATAGAAGAAGGTTTAATTAATATAATTGCTTTTGAAAAATAAGAAGCCCTAAATGAAATATTTGGATTCATTTTGGGATAAGTTGTATATTCACCTAGATATTCAGAAATTGGTATTCGTTTATAAATAGATAATACTTTGGATTGGATATGTTATGTTTCTTTCAAGAAAATAATTCAATTAATTGGTTTGATAAATAATATTGAATATGAATCAATGTTTGAGTTAACTAAAAAAGTTCTATAAATTAAATAGATTCAGCTTAATAATTAGGATATCTAATCAATAGTTTATAAGACTATTATAACAACAGGTTTATTTCCTTATTAATGTTAACTAAATACTATGGATGATTTTTTACATAAAAGTAAGCCGGTAATGTTTTTATTCAATTTAATGGGTTCTGCAGTTGTCCCTTGGAGCCCAAAATATCATGCATGTTTATGTAAATTCTATTATAATCATTAGCTATTGGAAATATTCGTTATAGCTATGTTGATTCATCATTATTTTTACTTCAAACAGTAAGGGGACGAACTTTCAGGAATTTGGATTATATTAGTTTAAAAATGCTTGATTTTTTTCCTTTGAATTCTTGGGTAGAATCAATCGGTAATTTTTTTATTGAAAACTTTACCCAAATTTTAAATATAATAAAAGATAAAATACCTTCATTAAGAGTAGAACTTAACAAAATTAAATTTAAATAATCAGGAAGTGAAGAAAGCAGTTCTTTTAAAAGCCTTGAGAAACCACTTCTTGAAGAAACTGAATTTACGTATAATTTATTTTAGCTTTAGGGAATAGTAACAGATTGATAAAGAATATCTTAAATTATTCAAGAATCTAATTAAAAATTCTATTTAAGATATTTCTTATGAAAAGACCATTTATGGATTTACAAAAAAATTTTCTAAGATAACTGAGATTAAGGATTAAATTACTAAAGAATTTTATGATAATTATCAATCAGAATTAAATCGATCAAATATTCTTGACCATGCTATTTCAATCATAACAGAGACTGAAATGGAAGGCTATTCTTTATTTACAAATAATTGTTAAACACCTTTATCTGCTTTTATTTATAAAGTATGTGAAACATTTCGTCCATATTAAGAGATATTAAAATAGAAAAAGAAATTAACAAATGCTAATTTAGTAATTAGAAAATCAGTAAATAGTTTGAAAATTGAAAATAATAATGAAGATAGAGATATTCACAATTTAAAATGGATAAAAACTTATTGTAAATATGCATCAGTATTTGATTTGGCTATGCTATCTTAATAATTTATTCTGCCTGCATAATTAACTCATAGTTTAGATTATTTTGGTTATTATAGTGATAAATTATCATAAGAATTCTTAAATGATATAAGAAAATGGAATACGAATGTAGATGATTTTCATAAGTCTCATCATCATGAAAGAGCTTTTTCAACATAAAAACATTGTAAAAGAAAACCTGAATAATAGATCAAAGCTTTTGAAAGTCTAGTAGATGAAGGAATCAAAGTTGGTCTATTTTAATATTTGAATATCAAAATGAAAAATTTAGTTGATGAAATAAAAATTTTATAATTATTTTCAAAATTAGATTTTGAATAACATGAAGATCTAAAACTTGATTTACATTATTTAATGTAACATTATGAAATATAGATTATTAATACTAAGAAACCTAAGAATAAAAATAAATAATTATAATTAAAACATAGATTATAAATTTATTTAGACACAGTTACTTATCTATACTACAATTCCATCAGATTGTAATTGAATTTAAAAGAAAGAGAAAATACATTAAGTCAAATAGGATTTGTAATTGTTAAAAGTGAAAATAAAGTAGAGAAAGGATAACCAACAAATATTGATTTATAAATTATCGTATGAAATTTATAAAAAAATTATTAATATTTTATATTCACTATTATTTAATTAATAATAAATAAGTAAATTTCTTAAGCAATTTTATTACAATTATAATAAATAATAATAATTGTATTTTTTGGTTAAATTTAGACATTTATACAATCTATTCTTTATTAAATGTTCATCATATAAATTAATTAATATGCTATATAATTTATAAATTGAAAGAAAAGAAATTAATCAGGATTACTAATATGAATGGGTTATTAGAAATGCTGATTTTATAAATATAGAAAAAAGGAATTCCTATGCTGATAATACAGAATAAAGTTAGAATCGAGATTAAGAAATGGAATACAGAGTAAATCATTTTTGATCAAACTCTTAGATTTTAAGAATTCTTACAGAAACCTTATATATTTGATATACATGAGATGAACATTATATTAAAATTAATTATATCACAATCAAAACCTTTATGATTTTCACCCAGACATTCTTAAGTAAAATAGATATGACAAACATCATTCCTTATATGATTAAAAGTTATCATAGTTAAAAATTTAATTGTCAAATTGAAATGTGATGAAGAAGAGAACTATACTGATTGTATATTTAATTTTAATACTTGATATATATAAATGTGAAAATCTAGATACTTATAAAATCTCCAATTTTTACTTAAATTTAATAAAGTTGGATCTTATTCTGTTTCACTAATGCTTTTTCAAAAACCAATATAATTTTTATTACTTATACTTTCATAGTTTATCTCACATTCTAAAAATACAAAAAAAAATAGAGCAGAAAAATAAGTAACACATTTACAATGGTGAGAATGACCAGATTAAGGAATGCCAAATCATTATGATTTTAATATAATAAAGGAATTGCTAAATACAGGTATAGAAGAGAACAGGAACACTGATATCTTTAATCAACTTTATGATTATTTTTACAGCATATAAATTATATATAGAAAATGACAATACAAGTATAAAATACCAATTTTTATAAAAATTTATTGATGAAACTATAAAATAAATGTTTTAGCAATAGTAATGATATAATAATTCTTATAATCATTGCATAGGTCTAAACATGCTAGCACTTACTTTATGTACTTGTTCATACTTTTTGTCAAGTTCATGATTTTAGAGAGCAGCAAACTATTGTACCATGTGAGTATGAGGAATAGGATTCTCATTAAGATATGAATAGTTGGTAGTTGTAGTAAAATTAGTATGTTTATATAAATGGTTTTATTTTTAAATATCAACCAATTATACAGTTGATTATGATTGATAAATCTTTAGTTTACTATTTTGCATCATAATATCACCATAAGATTATCTTTTAGTTTCATATGGATATACCCTATTATTAAGATGATTTGTGTTGATAGTGGTCAATGTATTATTAGGTATTAAAGGTTAATAGTAGATTTCTTAAGGGTTCATTTAAAGAGTAGTAATAGTTTTAAAGCTTTTACTTTTAGCAATTAATGTCATAATTTATGATACTGATGATGAAATCTTTTATGCACTTATACCAGTCAGACACTATAATTATTATGACCAAATATTGAGTAATCCTGCTTTCTTTCTTAAATAAGCTACACAAGATAATGCTAAGATAGTTTGATCTGTTTCGAAATATAAATGATCATCTAATAATAATTACATAATTAATTATACCTTTAATGATTTGTAATGCTATATCTACATATTTAGTTTCAACCTCTTTTACATAATATAATATTTGATTTTCTTAAAGATCTCTAAGTTTTATATGTTATTAATGTGAAATATCTTTATTTTCTTTTTATTGTTATTGTCCCAAACTATCATCATCATCTATAACTCCAAATGATAAAATAGCTTCTATTCTATCTAATAAGGTAACTCTTTATAATTTCCATTCCATTGTCTAAATTAATGATCTTTCTGCAAATTTGTATTCTTGAATTGAATATTGATTTATTTCAGGATGATTTGTCATTGAAGCATATCTTTTCAATTTACTAATGAAGGGTACTCGTTCATCAAGTTCTTAAGCTTTAGCTGCAAGCATTAAAGCAGTTGCTACAAATAAATAGGTTTAATTTTCATTGATATTAATTTTACTGAAATATTCATCAATGTAGTTAATAGCTAAAAATGATGTATTTAATGATAGATTTAATCTTTCAGAAGCTTATAATATGAATTCAATGATCTGTTAGCGATGTTTAGCAGGTCCTTTTGGTAAACCTTCAGATAAAATACTTTATAACACTTTAATTGGATTGAAATAAGCATTAAATTTCATTTTTAATGTTTTATATACTCTAGTATTTGGCTATGATTGATAATGAAAATTAATTACATTATTTAAAAATATACCACATTCTTTGCATATCACTTTATCAGAATAATATTGTCGATTTTAATGAAAACATCCAAATACCTCCTAATATTGATTACTATAATGATGTTCAAATGGTTCCAATTGACTCATATATACGTTAAATTTTATTAAATTATTTTAATAATAAAATAATGTCAAATTAAACGGATTTCTTTTTTCAATTCTAAAGTTTACCTAACATTGGCTATAGTTTCCAGTATTTCTATACATTCCAAAATATATTATACTTCATATTTATTCTTTTGATAATCATGCAATCTACTTTGTTTTCTTTTTAAGTATTTTGGATCCTTATAATAAGATTCTTCAATTTCTTTATGTCTAGGTCTTTCAAAATTACTATCATATAATTCAATTTATCTTTGACTATATAATTTTTACTGTCTCAATATTTCTTGAATGTGCTCATAAGGTAGATTCAAAATACAATACTTTCTAAGTAAATTCTCTTTTCTTCAATTCTATCTAATAATTTTCATGTAATTTATCTAGTTTGGATTCTATAACAGTCTAAGTGATTTATTATTGGCTCTGATTAATTGTTTAATAAAATTCTTATATTTTATTCTAATAAGTCTAATTTGGTGTTTCAACTCTCTAAATTTTATTAGCCAATCTCTCCATCAATCTCTAATCATAAGGCTTCTTTATTTTAGTCTTTAAATGACTTTTATTATATATGGTATCTTTTTGTCTCATTTAAGTATTTTACTTCTTACTTTGCTTAATAAAATGATTAATTTCCTGTCTTAATTAGACCACTAGTCATCTCCATAGACTTGTCATTTCTAAATGTTCCATTGCTATTTTTCTTTGGAATAGGGGACATACTCCTAGTTTGTTCACGAATTGCAGTTCTTAATTTCATACCTTATTCTGAGACAATTACGAAATTAGGCCTACTTAACAATTCTTTTATTGTCAAATTATATGAAGGTAATAATTATTACATTTGAAAATAATATTAATTGTTTAAATTCATTCATCTTAATATCTAATTAAAGTTGTCCTTCTCAATTTAACTCTCTCTTTAAAGATTCTTTTATATTTTCGTATCACTTTTTCAGGGTTCTCTTCTTAAAAGAAACAATCATAATTGGCCATATGATCAATACTAAATTAGCTATCTACATCTGAATTAGGATTATCATTTAATTCATTCTCAACTTTAAGAGGTTGATTGTTACTTTAAGTATTTTAAATATAAGTCCTATTGTAAGATTTGGCTATGTTACCTCAACTCATCTATTATTAATTAGACTTCTTTATTTCTAGGTTAAGCAATAGATAGAAATTTCATTTTTCTTATCAATTCTTATTTCTTATTTTCATTACTCATTTATCTTTCAGGAGATGGTATTTTATCAAATTATTTATCATTTATCTCATATCCTTAAATTACTTTACTTTTCCTTCTTTATATTTGAACATTATTTGGAAATACAGTATTTTATATTTTTGAAACTTTTTTAATTTGTTCTTAAATTGGAGTTAAACTAGACATTGATGAAGTTCTAACTCTTTTTGGTAATGGTAATTTTGCAAAACTTTAAAACTTTTTCTTTTTCTTTACTTTCCTTTATTCTTCTTCTGAATTCTTTATATTTATTGAAGATTTCCTTAAACCATCTGATAATTCTACACTTTAATTATCTTTATTTTCATCAATCTTCATTTCATAATTATCATCAGCTAACCATTTTCCTCTCTATCTTAATTATGCTTTTTCCTTTTCTTATTCAACAATCTTTTTAATATTTTCAATCTCTTCTTCATAATCATCTACATCTGAACTATATTCATCATCCTCATCATTAGAGTCCAAATTAAATGTTGTAATCTAAAAGTACTTCTTAATAGCCAAAGCATTAACTTAAACATCTCGAATATGAGATAAAGCTTTGAATTATTATTTAACTATTCTTCTTTTATAATTAGATTCTCTTTTATTTTAAACATTAAATGTTTATAAAATAACTTATTCTTTGATTGGAAGATATAAAGACTTTTTACAATTAATAGCTAAATGACTTCTACTTTCACAAATATAACATCTTAATTTTAAGTTTTAACAACCAAAATTAAATAAAATATTGTGTCTAATCTCATAGAATTTTTATCTATCATTTTCATATTTATCTAATAATTTAAGAAATCCAACTCTAGAAAGTTTATAAATAACAGAATAAGTTAGACAACGAGCAGATGCTGTTCTTTTATGTCCAGTGATGAATCCTATTATTCCAAATATGCCTTTCTTCATGATATGTAATTTGATTCTTTTCTCACAGTCTAAAAAGATTTCAACTTATCCTTTATCTAAAAAATACAAAGGAAAATCATCTATTTCTTCTTTTTCAAGGAATATATTTTCTTCTTAGGCATAATATTGTTATTATATTTATTATGACAATTCCATAAGAAAATCTTATGAAAAACAAGAGAAGAAATTACTGTGTTTGAGCATTTTACCTAATGTTTAATATATCAATTCTTCTCTTAATGCAGGTGCTAATTTAAGGATCATGGCTTATTCTAATTCATGATCTCTGGCTTTTTCAGTTTACCAAAGATGAAATAAATAAGCTTCAATTCTTGCCTTTAATTTTCTCTCTATATTATGTTCTACCATAAATCTTTAGATTGCATTCACATACTTTCTATAAAGAAATAAATGATAATATACTGAAATTTTTATTTGCTTTCATTTTGAGAATAAATCATTTCCCATATAGCATTAACTGAATAAGCAAACACAATACAAGAAATAAATTAAGTAATGACTGTCACAAATACTTCCCAAAAATTCATTGGAGTTACATCACCATATCCTACTGATATCATTGTTGTAACAGCCCAATAAAATGAGTATAAATGTAATTCAGAAATTGGCATTTCTTCATATCCTCCATTAAGAATAACTACATTGCAACTACTTAACCATGAAGCATTTTTTGGTTACTTGTTAAGCTATAGTCTTCCAACAAAAAAAAATAAACAAGCAAATAGATGACATAACCATATGATTGTTAACATTACAGTAAGCAATCTATACCAAGCATGTTTTGAAGAATCAAGTTGTAAATATTCTTTTATCATATTACTTGTTTTATTCACTTCATACACTTTTAAAATAAACAAAAACTGCTCAAATCCCAATTTCTTCTCATCAAATAATAAACATCTATATTCAATCAAACATATTAAAGGAATTAAATCTAAAAAGAAATAAGTCTTTATATAATTAATGGCAATCTATTTCCTATTACTTATCAATTATCCTTATTTGTAGAAGGCTATATTGAAAGTCAATATTATGTCCATCATAAAGATTGAGATACCTACATATAAGGAAAATTCCTCATAGTATTGATAATGGTAAGCCTCTTTTTCATCTATAAGTGGTTAGTAAGCAAGCATAAATGGAATTTAAAAGAAGAAACAAACTACAAAAATGCTATTTAGAACTTACCAATTTCTATAGAACATAGAATCAGGTTCAAATACTTTTATTTTACAAATATATGAAGACAATCCAGTAAGTAATCCATTCTTCTTTGTTTGATAAGCATAATCCTTAAATATCTCTTTTTGTCTTAGATTTATTATTTAAGCCATTGTAACCTGATTTGAGGATTTTTTATTTTTAAAGCATCTCTTAAAAATATTGGGCTTCTTACTATTAGGCTTTTCAAGTGTATTACGATAAAATATTGTTTCATTAGCAACAAATGGAATTACCTTCACCTAATTATCCTCTTCCATAGGTGATGTAGATCCCCATTCAAAAACACTATCATTAACAATTTATTCCATATTCATTTCTGTGCCTGAACGATTTCCCAATATGATATCATTAACCTCTTCTTCTTGTATTAAAGGTTATTAAAGGGAATCTTTTTAGCTCATTATTAAATTTTATAAAAATTAGCAATGGTTCTTACTCAAGGAAAGAAGGTAAATTAAATAAGATCTACATATAATATTTGTTATATTGAGAATGAAAATTAATTTTTGAAATGCTTTAAAAATATATTAATTACTAGATTTAATGCTAATGGATAAATTATTATGATTTACAATAGGATTTTGAACTAAAAAATTGTAAATAAAGAGTATTTAATTATTTGTATGATCTGATATTAATGGTTCCAAATTAATAGAAAATAAGAAACTATATAATTTTGAAATGATTCAAAATTTTAAATGTGATTAAGAAAAGCAAACAAATTGGAATACTGAAAATTATTTAAATCTATTGATATTGATTTAGTTTATCAGAATTTAAATAATAAATATTTAGTATTTCTATTCAATATGAAAAAAGACATTAATCAAATATGATAGTTGAATCATATCAAAAGAAGTGGATATCATACTATTAATAAATGTAATCAGTGAGTAGGAGATTGCTGATGAAGTAAAAATATTTAAAAAAATTAATAATTGATTTGGAAAGCATGTAATAAGAGTCATCTTATATTAAATTTGAGAGTGTAGATATATATATATATAAAGATTTGAAAGTATATATATATAATTATACATATAAATATTAATAAATTTTGTATAAATTTAATTATTCATTGATTTTTTGATTCTAGAATAATTAGATGTATAATCTATTGATGTGTTAATTAGAGTACATTACTATTATTAAGTATGATTTAAGTTTAAGAATAACAAAAAAATAGATTGATTATTTTTAAAAGCATTTGAACCTTTTTAATTTTCACATTTTTTGGTTAATGATGCGTATGTAAAGTATATAGATGAAATTGTGTATGTGAATGTATAATTATAGAATCACGCTGCCTTATTAAATACAATGGTCTCTCTATACTTTTCAACATGATCTAGTAATTCTTCTAAATCTGCTCCACTTACTTCCATGTCCTATGCAATGTTTTTGAGATGCACTTTAAATTTATCGAACTGCTAATTTGTTATGTTCAAATTTTTATGAACTTCAACCAAATCTCTAATACTTAGATAAGAGTATGATACCTGCCTGTGTATTGAGTGTTTTTATCACCCATCATTTAGGAAAAGAATCTCTTCTATTAATATCTTACACGACTCATGTCAGCTTTGAGAAACTTATCTCTTAATAATTTATCAAAGAGGACTTTATAATAGAATTGATCAATGAGTTCAGAAACTTATTGATCACCTCCAAATCTCTCAAATAAGCATTTCTTATTGTCCATTTTTATTTAATTAAAATCTTTTATTTTTATTAATATTTATATACAATCAGAATCTCAAAATAAAGACTAAATTAAGTTGATTTCAAGAGTTATTGATTTTTTAGTTCAGTCTCTATAAAATCTTAATATTTTCATTAAATTATATTCAATATTAATTAAAATTATATAATTAATATAAAAATTAAGTAATGTCTTTAGGAGTACCACTCAAAATTATGCATGAAGCAGTTCATCATATTGTCACAGTTGAACTTAAAACTGGTGAAATGTTTACAGGATATATGGCAGAAGCAGAAGTAATCAATACAATATATATATTAGGACACAATGAATGTAAGATTAGATGAAGTGTAAATGGTAACAAGAGATGGTAGACCCATGTCTTTAGAATAAGTATATTTGAGAGGAAGTCAGATCAGATTTGTAGTGATCCCAGATGTATTTAAATATGCCCCTATGTTCAAAAAAATTAGAGCAAATGCTAAAAGCAAAAATATGTAATAAATAAGAGAGAAGGCAAGATAAGTAAGAGGTAATTCATACATCTATTAATTAAATAGAGGAATTAGTACCACGCATTAAACAAGGTTTAGAACAATAAAAAAAGTGATAAATTATTAACCTATATCATCTATGCAAATAAAAATTATACATATAATAAATTCTAAGTATTTTTGTTATTGAAAATCAATGCATTATTATAATGTTAAAGATTAGTATATTACAAATCAATGCAATTTATTTTTAGGCCAACCAATTCAAAAATTGTATAAACTATTTTTCTTAATAAAATTTCTTTATTTATTAAATAAGATGTAGTTTACTTCTCAAACCATTTAAATTGCATAATTATTATTCAAAAATAACAATTAACCTCAAATAAAATAGTTCTTAAATTGATTTCATCATATATTTTTATGAGCATATAATATCCTTATAAAAGGTTTTAAAGAGTAACTAACTTAGATATACAAATTAATTAAATAAACAATTTAAATTCTACATTATACCATCATAAACTATAGGAATTAACATCTACTTCAAGTAATAATGACTTATAATATGAGACTTTATCAATTTTATTTACAAAATATATCAATAATTAATTGAATATTCTTGATTCTAAAATAGTTCTTTAATTCCTATTTTAAGATTTCTTTGATTTTTCAATGAATACCATAATATTTTTGGAATCAATGAATTGAATTCTTTTTTTTTGAGCTCTTGTTTCAATTTAGAAATTGATTTATGTTCATTTTTAATATATGACTAATAAACAAAAAGACTATTGGACAAGTTTTATTTCAGGTATTGATTCTTAATCTATAAAAAGGTGGTTGTGCTGGAGTTTGTGCCAAAACTGTCATTTCTCCATTTGAAAGAATCAAATTACTTTATTTGGTATTGATTTGTTATCATATATACGATAGACTAGATCAACTTAATTCACATATAAAGCTGCTATCCAAGATGCTATATATGTGTATCAACATCACGGTTTCATCAATTTCTGGAGGGGTAATCAAGCTAATGTGTTAAGAATATTCCCTCAATCAGCTATTGTAAATTATATTCAAAACAATAGAATTTTTCAACATTTGATTATTTAAGAAGTAGATTTGCTCCTGATAGAGAGGATAAGACTATTATAAGGAAAATTAGATTATTTTTATGCGGATTAACTTCAGGGATTATTGCATAAAGCATAGCTTATCCTTTTGATTTTTTACGAACAAGATTAGCAATGCAAAAAGATGCTTTCTTATATAAAAACATCTATGATGCTGCAGTGAAAATATATAAAATTGAAGGATTCATGTCTTTCTATTCAGGATTACCTATAGGAATTATAGGAGTAGGAATTTATCATGGGAGTGGTTTCTTCTCATTTACATTGATGAAGGAGTATCTACTTGAATAATATCCATGGATTGCTAAACACAAAAGTACAGATTTTGCTATAGGGGCAAGTGGAGCCATCATTGCATAAGTTTTAGCTTATCCATTTGATATTGTGAAGAAAAGAATGTAAGGTTAGAATGTGTTACTCTAATAAGGAGAGATCTAAATGATGACGTACTTTTTATTTTATAATAATTTAAGATCCACATGGGTACAGATAAAAACTATTTATAAAGTTGAGGGAATCATTAAAGGATTTTACAAAGGAGTATCACTCAACTTTATTAAAGCTCCATTATCATCAGGCACTGCTTGGACAGTCAAAAACTCAGTCAACAGGCTACTTAATAAAAATTATGATTTCTGAAATAAATATGTTTATAAAAAATACTTATATTTATTATATAAAATTTATAATAAATAAGTTAATAAGCCAAGTATTCACAACTTGAAATTAATTTTAAAGTGCTCTATTAATAAATAAAATATCAATCTCCTTATATTTCTGTTATTTCTTATACAGAATCAGGTTATAAATGAATTAATCACAAATTACTTAATATGTCCGTGTGGCGTAATGGTAGCGCGACAGCCTCCTAAGCTGTAGGTTGCAGGTTCGACTCCTGCCTCGGATGATTTTTTTTATTTAATATTTATATTGATTATAATGCTTTAAAGCAAATTATTTAATTATTTCGAATTTCCTACATTCCTGATTAAATTTGTATCCTTCCACATTTAAATTAAAATATATCTCATTATTTACATTGATCTCTTATACTTGTTGTTTTAGTTTGTATTAATAAATACAGATGAATGAAAATGTAGACATAAAGGGATTACTCTTTGTTTATTTCAATTATATTGTTAAATAATTTAACGCTTTTAGAAGTAAATCAATGATAGATGTTCAATCATAGTAGTTAATTTAACTAGAGTGGATCATTTTCAACTTATCAATGAAATTAATTTAGTCATTTAAGTAATATGACCAAAAAGAGTGCTAAACTTTATTTATCCTTTAGGAACGTAGAGATATACTTCAGTTTTTAAATTTATTTATTAACTATTGAGACCACTTAGCACTAATTAAAATGTGTAAAGATTTTCTTATTAAAATATAATATTAGTTTATATATTAATTTGAATAAAACTTTAACAAAAAATAGCTATAAAATAATATTATTAATTAAATATTAAAATAACTCAATTGTTATATCCACATTCTATAGAGAAGGCTAGATATTATACATAATACAGTATAATTCTTATTGATAAATAAAATACAATTTTACTTGAGATACAGGTAGACAAAATAATATCTTAATATTGATAACAAAAATTTAATGATTTAAATAAAGTAACCTATAATTATATAATCTTATATCATAATATTTGGCAATAGATATTTGTCTATTTTTAGTTTAAATTAAGTTGATAGATAGAAATAAATTAATTGAAATATTTTTATAAAATTTAAGAATTCAATTTCACTTAATTTAACAAAAATGAAACTGTAATAATGTTATATATAAATATAAAATTAAAGAATGCAAAATCATTAATATTTAGAATTTAAATTTGGTTGTTTGTTAGGCTTAAAACTTTATAAATGGCTAAAATCGTAAATAGAATTATTTTCTTTTTTATTTTATTCTTGTAATTAACTTGATTATAAATTTCTGGGTTAACGATTAAGAGTTTATGATGATGGAATATATTCATTAAAGTCTAGTGTCTTTGCACTTTAAGTAGTTAATTTAGATGGCATAGGTTTATTTTCAGTAGTAATGAAATCTAGAATATCATCTAAATCATTGCTATCTTCATCTTTGATTTTTTATTATAATTATTATTTTTGCTAAAACTAAGTTTGAAATTCATCCTTTTAACTGTAAGATTTGGCTTTGTGATGAGATTCAAAAAATTTAAGTTCTTCTTTTTATTTGCTTTATTCTTCAAAAATTAAAGAGGGTGCTATTTTTTCAATATTATAGAAAAAGGGATGAGTCAACATTTATGCAGCAGTTATTCTTTTATTAGGATCCCATCTAATCATTTAAGTTAACAAATTTATTGCTTCTGTACTTGCATTTGGTATCAATTATTATAGTTGTAATGGTTAAAATTAAGCAAGTGCCAATCCCATTTAAGATACTAATCTACATCCTTCTGGCCATTCTTATTGAGTAAATGTTCTAATAGATTTATATATAATAATATACCCTAGTGTTGAGAGAATTTTATTGAATTATTCCAATTCTGAATTACCTTGAAATAGAGGTCTATTCAAAAATAATTCTGCCATTATACAACCTAATGCAAAAATGTCAACAGGACTATTGTAATTTGCCTACTTTAAAAGTATTTCTGGAGCCTATAAATTTTAATTGAGATTTTACACGATACCATCTAGTGGAAATGTAATCTGTATATGGAGGTCTAGATCTTATTTCTCTTGCACATCCAAGATCAATAATTTTAACTATTCCATTGTTAGTGAGTAACATATTTTCTGGTTTAAGATCACGATGAAAATAACCATGTTTATGCATATAACTTAGACCATTAGCAACTTAATAAATAATAGATTTGATTTAATCTTCTGAAATAATTTTACCCTAAAATTAATAAATAAATTGTACCATTTCTTTTTATTAAGTGTACATTTAGTAAATACTTTTTTCTACAAATTCAAATACTAAACATAGAGTATCATTATCAAGGAAAACTAATTATTAATATATTATACTTTCTTTGAGTTTAACAATATTTGGATGATTTTGAAGTTTTAATAAAGCTTTAACTTCTCTCAAATTAGTACATTCATCAAAATTATGATATTTTTATTTCATCTTTTTGATTGCAACTAAATCATGAGTTTATGTATCTTCTGCTTTTATTACAACTCCAAATGTTCCATCACCTGTCTTTTTCAATTCCTTGAATTTTTTCATATATATATTTTTAGGAAATTAATTTATTTGTTTTATTATATATATCTATAATAAAATTATTATATATATTTATTATATACATTAATAACATGAAATTCTTAATTGAGTAGACTAAGTTTTAGTTCTTTAATGTTATTGAATCATTATTGTTTTTATATAGAATTCTAATAATAATTATACATTTAAATATGTAGTAATAATAATAAGGAAATTAGAAGAAATTATTATATATTTGTTTATAATAGGAAATAATTATAGATTTATTATGATATATAGATTATTATTAATTTTTACTTTTGTATTGTAAATAATGATTGTAATAATATTTGAATTTTAAATTATTTGACAGATCATGTTACTTATTCAATTTTATTTGATTAATGTCACTATTAATTTTAATTTAGTTTATTAAATATCAATGAGCCAAAATTCTGTTGAAGATTAAGTAATCTTTGTTGATATTAGAAAAGTGTGGTCAATTACTTGTAATGACAGTGTAAATTGATGATAAAAACACAGCAAGGATAGATGTATTTGAAGATGATGAGCCAGAATTATTGGCTATGAATTTCTGCAATTAACATAAATTAAATCAACGACTAGTACCAATATTAGCTGAAAATATTAAGAAGAATATGATAGTAGCTTAAAAAGAAAAATAAAACATGACTCAATATGTATATATATATAATAGATGATATTAGTTGTAAAAATTAAAAGAAAGATAAATTACATAAGAAAATTAATAAGAACAAGTGACATAATAAAATTTAATAAAACAAATTAGTACTTAATCTCCAAAAACACCTTAAGGAAAAAAAGATGGAAATGTTTTTGATAGATTGTATTAAAGTGCTTAAATAAAAAAAATGAAAATGTAAAGACAAGACTCTGAACGCTTATAATTATCTAATTAATTAGTACATAATTAAGAATCAGATATTAATTATGGATAATTATTATATTAAAGAGGAATGTCAAAAAAAGATGAGTTTATTTTAAAAGCTGAAATGGCATTATTGGAGAAATAATAATAATAGATGATAGAATGCACTCATAAACCATCAATTAATCCAATATCATCTAAAATTGTTCATAGACCTTCAGAACCAATATGTCTTTATTTGAATTAATTAGCTAAAGTTATATCTGAAAAGAAAGAATAAGCTTAATTTCATAAAGTTGAAGAATAATAATAATAATGCTCTTTCCATCCATAAATTGATAAATAGTAATATAATTAAATTAATTAGATCTTAAGCAATTATTGAAGAAAAGAAAAAAGCTTCTTAAATTTAAATTCCTCATTATGAATAATTATATTAAGTTAATACAATACGATAATTTAAATTGAATTAAAAAGATTAAGAATACTTTACTGAAACACATACATTTCATCCAAAAATAGATTAATTATCAGAATAACTTGTTTCTGGATAAACATTTTAAGAAAGATAATAAAAATATTTAACTTCTATTAAAGATAAATAATAATCAATTGATGAATGTTTTAGACCTAAGACAGGTAGACCTCCTGAATCTCGTCCTGATAATTTATTTGATTCCCTTTATAATTAAGCAAAAACATTGGCAGATAAAAAAGCTTAACTTTTATCATCAAGTATGGATCAAGCACTTTTTTAATCTTAAGTCAAAGCTAGTCATCAATCTGATAAGATTATTTAATAAGCTATTTAAAATAAACTTTCAAATATATTTGATATCTTGGATTCTGATTAAGATGGTGAGATTGATTCATTAAGAATTGATATTACAAATTTAGATCCTCAAGTTCTTTAAGCAATTACTCCATTATTATAAGAAATGGTATAAGGAAAATATTCATTAACTAAATCTGAATTTATATAATTAACTTCTCAATTGATGACTTTAATGTCCAATAAAGAAAAACATGATTTGCTTAAAAAACCATAAAAAAAAGACCAATCCTTAAATGTAATTAAAGATAGATCTCCTAAATCCAATATTAAAAAAAATTGAATTAAATTTTATCGATTTTTTATATTTATTTATAAAATTTATAACAAAAATTATATAAATTATCAAAATCTTGATCCAGGAGCTGTTGTTGTACTTAAATTACTTTAAAATAGTTTTTGAGATGCAAATCTTTACCTTGTTAATCCATCAGTATGGATTCTTTGATTAGAATAATTTACAATACTATTTTAAGGTTATGGGATTTCACTGTCCTCTATAAATATATATTTAATATTCTATACATTATAATTTTAATAAAATTTATGCTTATTTTTATATTTATGCTTTCAAATTGCTTATAGTATAATCTTTCTCTGGACATAATTAACATTTTTTATATTTTTGTTAATCATATTAATAAGTATTAAATTATTGTATTTCTGATACTCTACTTTTTATATCAGTTATTAAATTAGACATTACAAAAGCTTCATTTGATAATGTATAATGTTGAGTATTATTTTTTAAATTAAACCAGATCTTTTATTATTCACTTAATTAACTCCATATATCATTAAACTATCTCTTAAGTGTATTGTATTAATTTTCTTGAGTCTATAGATTCATAATTAATTGATTGGAAAAGTTAGTTAATTTTTATATTTCTATCATTAACTATTCAATCTTATAAAACAATTATTAAATTATTATCTACTCTAAAAGTATTAATAAATATATTTACAATTCTATCCTAAACCATAATTGTTCATTTTATATCTAAATAATATAATTTTATTTAAAGAATTAATAAATTTATTTTCATCAAAAATATAATATTTAGTTTTCTATTTGTCAAAAAACTATTTATGTAATTTCATGTTTATAATGATAATAATAAACTAAAAAATATATTAAACATCTATTTAACATAAATTATATATATCCTCAATATTTTTAATTTGACTTTATTACTATTTATTGTTTTTTAATTATTTAATTAAGATATATTTTTGATATCATTTAATAAAAATTAATATAAAATAATTTATGTGGTTAATTAAGATTTGAATTCTTATAATTACTTTCTTCATAGATCTTATTCAATGTTGTTTTTACTTATTTGATCAATATATTCTTAACTTGTTGATTGAAATAATAAAATGAATTTCAAAGATATTTTAATAACGATTTAATCATTGATTGCTATCATTTATCTAACCATTATTATTATTAATCGATGAACGCTTTTAGTTTGGAGAAGAATAGATTTCATCAAAAGGCTTGTGAAAAGAAGAAAAAAAGACAGAGTGAAAACTTTAACTCATAAACCAAAAATCAATAAATAGACAATTACATTCAATAAAAGACTTAATCTCTATATGTGGACCTGGATTCATCTTATACAAAAGCTTCTGATTAGGACAGTTTTAAATTAAACAATATACCTAAATCCGTAAGAGCTAATTTAATTGGTTAACTTAACAATAAATATGGAAGAAAATCACTTCAATGAATATATGAATATATGTAATTCTTGTATTAAATAATAAGTATTCATCATTATTGAATACATATTAAAAAATTATAGAAATCCTAACAATAGAGTTTTTTAAATTCATTAAGAAAGCAAGAATAATAAAAATTAAATTATTACTCTCTTAAGGGGAAAGATAATAGAACATTGATATTGCTTCCTATATAATAATAATAATTAATAATTAGGTATTGTATTAACAAATATAAGATTTATAATGGAACAAATTTTATTAATATTTATATTGTATTTTAATTAATGAATTCTTTTCACCTACTGAAAGATTAGTTTATGTAACCTGTACAATAAAACGAATAGTTTAGATCAATTAAAATGATTTTTAATCCAAATCTATTTAATTTTAAACTCTTTTATATTCTTTAAAAATAGATTATATATTACAAGAATATTACACTTCTTAAAAGTCAAAAAAATTATTAAATTTGTTAAGTAGATATTTGGTATTAACTCATTACTTTAAAATAAATATAAACACGTATATTCATTTAATATAAATTTTTCCTCTACTATTTTTAAATATTATCTCTACAAATTTAGCCTCTATGACTGTAAAGTTTTATTAGTTTGATATTATTATTATTAAAACTATTTTTATATATATATTCTTTGTTTTTTTTAATTTTTGATATATTTATTAATCAATCTAAATATTAAATAATGATATAAATACATTATTTATATCTTTAAAGTTATAAATGTTATAGATACACTTTCTAAACAGTCATTTATCAGCAAAATGATAGTCTATATCTGAATTTATAAATATTCATATATTTTATTTATTCAAATTGATAACGTATTATATAATAATACAAAATTAATATTATAAAATAATTTTTAATCATTTTCTCCTAAAAATTCTTGTTTTTCACATATAATAATATTTAAAAAAAAAAATATAAATAAAATTATCACTACTATTACTAATTGTGACGAATTTTAGAAGGCTAATACTAAATACTATTAAAATGGAGCAATTTATCATATAGACTACCTTAAATGAACTCTTTTTCTACTCTGTCTAATCTGTCATCCTCTTTTGTAGATTGATGCAATTATGAATTGGATTAATAATAACTTATATTGAGAATATTATTTACCTTTAAGTAATATCTACTGAATTTTCAATAATAGTAGATAGAGACTTCCCTCTTTACACTTAAAGATATTGATTTCTTTAATGTCTTGTACCCATTTTTATAAACCAATGATGATTGAGTGCCTAAACAGCTGATAATCTTTTAATTGGTTCTTTATTCAATAATCCCTTTAATAAATCCATTCCAGAATTTGAAATTTTTTTGCATATTTTTTTTCTAATTTAATTAATATGTATATAAATACTCTATTTTAAAATCTATTTCACATTTTTCATTTGATCTTAGTATTTCTTCTTAATCTTTACCTTCAAATGGTAATTTTCCATAAATTAAAAGATAAAATATTACACCCAAAGAAAATAAATCCACTTTACTTGTATAATTTTTAGATCGAAATATCTCAGGTGCAACAAATCCAGGAGTACCACATTTTTTATATTATGATTAATCTGTTGTTTCAGAATAACAAAAGTTACCTAAAACAACAAACGGTAAACGTTTCTTTTCTGGTATAAATAAGTTTTCCATTTTTATATCTCTATGAAATACTCCTTTTGAATGCATATGTTAAATTGCTTACAAAATCCCATAGATTATATCAGCAACTAATTTCTCTTCTAATCCTTATGTTGATTATTCTGCCATTTAATATATTTAGGATTCCTTTATGTATGATCTTAAATCAATTCCCAAGTAGTATTCATATAGTATATATACATTTTATTCATCTTCAAATACTTCAACAATATAACATATTTATGTATGACTCAATTTTCTTAAATTACTTAATTCCCTAAATAAATTTTGTTTTTATGCTGCCATAATTACATCTTTCTCTATTACCTTCACAACATGATATTCAGCATCTTACACTCTGACACAAGAAAATAAACATTAACCAAATACAGGATCACTGTGTTTTATTTTACCTAAAACTTTATATTTCCTTGCAAATTTATCCATTATACAAAATCTTCTTAAAAATTAAAACCATTTTTTGAAGATATCTGCATTTTCACATAATAAATGAGTTAGTTATTATCCAAATTATAGTCTAATACCATATCTATAATTAGGCATTGTTGGATCAAAATGAGTAAACTTTTTTAGAAAACATGCTTATAATTAACAATAAGATGTATAATCCTCAGATCCCACTCCTTTTCTATATAATTTTTCAGGATGTAGATTTAATTAAACTGATTCCCATTGACTATCAACTTTTAAAAGTAACCTGCCTGAATAATTTATTCATCTATACCTTAAAATTAATTATTTCCATCAATAGTATTTGATTATACCCACATTGAAGATTACCTTAAAGCCTCCATAAAAATAGATGTATAAGGAATAGTTTTTAAAAAAGTGTTTTTCTGGTTTTATTGACGCATTTTATATAAAAATAATAAAAAAATTTAAATCTGAAATTGTATTCCTTAATATGATAATTACATTCAAACTAGATAACTTGTATCTTATGAATTATTTAATATTTTAATCTATTAACTTATAAATTTATATTCTATCTTCATCATTTAAATTATAACAAAAAAGGAATTCAATTATTTCAGAATAAATTACAATTATATTCCTATAAAATAAACAACTAAAAGATGATTCAATTAAGATTTTCATATTAATTATTTAAATTATAGTACATATAGATTTTAGACTACTTTCTTCATCATTGATTTTAATTAATAAGATCTTCTTCAATAATTTTCTAAATCTAAGTCCAAAAAATTATAATATACATTCTTGTTAACTATATAAAAGATAATTATGATCTTTGATCTTTATAATGAAGATCTTTTTAGAAATAATAAATCCTATAAATAGAAATTCATTTTGGAAGATATATATATATTCTAAACTTAAATATCTTTAATATATCTTAGTATAAACTAATCATATACAAGAAAATAAACTTCAGACTAGGTTCATCTTAAATATTACAGTTCTTTAATGCTATGTAATCTACATTTTTAATATTTATATTTTCTCGTTGAAACACTAATTGTTTACAAGTGATTTACTTATTTAGGTATCTTGAGCAGAAATGTATATAGGATCATTGATATAGATGTATATGTGATATATTATTTAGAAATAGATAGGAAGTGTTATTTATAATGGAATTAAAATGAATATAAATAAATAATTAAAAAACGGGTTTTTTTAGTCTTCTGCTTGGATGTGATAATAATTCATTAATAATTTTAATATGGCTAGAATCATTCCTGTTTTGACACTTATCTTGGCAGTGGTAACTGCTAGAGTAGCAAAGAGTGAAAGTCCAAAGGAAGTGTTGGCATAAATCAACAAAGATTCATTTGGTAATTCTGTATTGTCAGTCCTCCAACTCTAATTGGCAACAGGAGGACCAGTTGGAGAAATCTAAATCCTTTTAAACAACATTGCTTCATAACTCAATGGAGATTAAAAGAAAGCTGACAAAGTTCATGAAAGTGACACAGTTGCCTTCGAGAAGGTATAATTAATAATTACAATTTTAGATCATTGCTGACTTAGAATAAGAAATTGCTTATCACTAAACTTAAATTGTTGCTCTTTCAAACTTAAGAGATTCAACAACTGAAGCATTGGGAGAAGCTGAAGCTGAAGTTAGAGTTGTCACATCTGATATTGCCAATAACGAAAAGAGTTTTGCTGACGAATCTGCTACAAGATAATCATAACACGAAACATGGGTTAGAAAGGATGCAGAACATGTTGACTAAATGGATGCCATTGATGAAGCTTCAAAGATTGTTTAACACTTATAAGCAGGTGTTGCATTTGCTCAACTTAAGAGCAGATTTGAGAAAGTCTAAGCTAAATTAATGGAAAGCAAACATGCTCTTTTCAAAGTATAAAATATCATTCTAGACTATAGCCACTCATCAATGCTTTGACATAATTAGCCTCAAAGGTTGATAACAAGAGCATCATCAAAATTTTAGAACTTTTGGCTTAAATTAGATAATAATTAGTTGCCAGCAGAGCATCACTCCTTGCAACAGAAGAGAGATAAGCTGCTAATTGGGAAGTTTAAAGTGGTCACTTATAAGAAGAACACAAGAGATTAGTTGAAAGAAAGGCTTTCTTAGAAAATTCAATTGTTTAATTCAAAGTAACCATTTAAGAAGCAGTTGAAGACTTAGAAGATTAAACTGTATAATTTTGAATTAAAACATAGTTATTCCTTGAAGATGCTGAAGATTCATTGGCTATTTAAGAGAGATGGGCTGCTGAATAAGAATCTTAATATGAAGCTTAAACTTTTGAAAGAGAATAATAATTGGAAGTCGTTGAAAGATTATAAGAAGTTCTTACTCAAAAGATGAGTGCTGCCTCAGAATTCCTTGAAATTAGAGAAGAGGTCTTTTGATTAATGAATTATCAGCAATATTAATATCAATACAATATCTACATTTTTTAATTGTAAAATAATCTGTTAAAATAATATTTAATTTAAATTAATGGAGAACATTCAAGTAGTAGTTAGAATTAGACCATCAAATATTTTAGAGAAAGACAATAATGACCTTGAAATTTGGTCTGTTTAGAATTAAGACACAATTACAATTTCTAATGATAGATTTAATGATTTAGTAAGAATGCGTAAATTTGTACCTGGATAAAGAGTAGAATTTACCTTCAGTATAAATAATCAATCGAATATTTAATAGATTAATGTTTTGATACTAAACACACCACGAAATTTATTTACTAATAGTAGATCTAAAGAATTACATTATCATCATTATAAGGTATAAATGGGACAGTATTTATGTATGGTTAAACTGGAAGTGGTAAGACTTACACAATGATGGGATATGATTAAGAAGAAGGAATTTTAAAATAAGCACTTAAAGATCTTTTTGGAGAAATTGAAAAATAATAAGACAAATAATTTTTTTTAAGATGCAGTTATGTTGAAATATATACAGATTAAGTTTATGATTTACTATCTACTTAAGAGAGATTGAGTGAAACATTATTAATAAATGAAGATTTTAATAGAGAATTTGTTATTAAAGGAGCAGTAGAAGAGATAGTGACAACAATAGATGAAATAATGGATATCCTTTAATTTGGAGAAAGTAATAGACATTATGCATCAACTGTTATGAATCATTGTAGTAGTAGATCTCATACAATATTCAGATTATATGTTAGATGTGTTCCAAATACAATAGGACCAAATTCAGTGATAACTGAATCAATACTTAATTTTGTAGATTTGGCAGGTTCAGAAAAAATTAATATACATGATTCTATGCTTAAAAAAAGAGGAACTTCTGCAGGAGGGAGTGGTACACAATATAAAGATAGATAGAATGAATCAAAACATATCAATAAAAGTTTATTTTTTTTAACTTAAGTAATATCTTTAAGGGCTTAAGGAAGAAAGTAATTAACTTTACAATATATAGTGATCAACATATACCATATAGAAATTCACCTTTAACAAAGATTTTAAGATCATCTTTAGGAGGTAATTCTAGAACTGCCATAATATTATGTGTTAATCCATGTTATAGTTAATTTGAATAAACAGTATCTACTTTAAGGTTTGGAACAAATGCTAAGAAAATAGAAAATAATGTATCTAAAAATATTGTTGGTTTTGATAATGATGAAAGTTTAAATAGGGTAATAAAAGATTATGAGTTAAAAATTGAGGAATTGTAAAGAGCAAGAGTTGATGATAAGCAATAATAAGAAATGATGTAGAAAATAATTGAAAAACTAGAAGAACAAAGAAAAATATTTAAAACTCAATTTACTACTTCTGATCATATATAAGCAATGATTAACAAAGATATACCATATTAATGGATTCATTTACACTATCATGGTGTAGGAGTTTTATGGGTTCCTGAAAAAGGAAGTAGGGACATTGAAGTTAAATAAGATATTATTGATTCATTTGGAATAATTAAAAAATATTAAAATTTAGAAGAAGAATATATAATTTTAAAATCAGAAAAATAAACAATTGAATCTTAATTGAATGAAATTAAATAGAAATAATAAGAAGTTGTTATTTAAACTAAAAAGAGATATGCAAATTAAAAAGCTAAAACTAGAAAATATAAATAATTAAGTAAAGATCTATAAGATGAAAGAAATAAACTATAAAAAATTGCATTATGTTATCATAATATGATAGATGTAGATGAAATGATGTTATTAAACAATGAAACATTAGATTAAATGTTAGAAAATATTTAAATTATGATGCAAAACATATATAAAATTAAATTAAGAAAAGAAATCAAACTTAAAGAAAATGTAGATATCTTAAAATTAAAATCATCAAGACCTATTAAATATCCTAAATATTTATTTGACACATCAGCTATTAATGTTTAATTCTGGGATGTAAATGAAAATAAGAAAATTGAAGAGACTAATAAAAGTGAAATAGAATCCTTCCAAAGTTATTTTTAATCTCAATTAAATTAAAGTAGTCCAACATATATTGATATGCAAAGTAGCATATAATAATTTAAGGAACCCTTTAAACATATATGTTCTCATGAAAAAAATGGACCAAATAAATCTGGTAAAGAGAATTATGAACCTTCATTCAAAAAGAATTTAAGTATGGAAATAGCTGATGAATTAAATTTCCGTAGTTATTTTAGATGAAATAATTAATATTAATGTTTTCATTATTGTTTTTAATTACCACGTCTTATGCTACTGATAAAAATTGTTTATGGCATGATGCCTATGGATATACATATGACATCTCAAAATTACACAATATCAATAATTATCAAGTACCTGATACTGATACAAGTAAAATTTTCTAAATTAATATATATAAAGGCATGGGAATGTTTAATATGGTTTATGAATTTAATTTTTGTACAGGAGCAGTCAGATGTTAAGGTAGAGATGTGGCTGCATTTGAAGCACTTGAAGTAATGGGGAAAGTAACTGAAAATTGTGATGTAATATTATATTATTATTTTTAAGGTATTAGGATTGAAAGAAACTCAAGAATTTGGATATGTTAATCCAATTTATCCTGAATTAGGCATTTCTATAACTTATAAATAAGGTTTTATTATTATATTTATAATAAGGTGATATGTGTTTTGATGTTAAAGATGATGCTGGATTACAAAAAATACTTGCAGATAATGAACAAATGTAAATGACTCCAAGATCTGTTACTTTTGAAATAACTTGTGGAAAAGATGAACCTAATTTTAGAGTTATTGATTCTAGTAAATGCAATATTAGATTGGGTATTTAACATTCAGCTGCTTGTAGATCAGGATCATCACCTAGTAATTATTAAATTTATCATAGGTGGTAGCAGTTAAACATTGCTTTTATATATTATTTTAATTGCTGGTCTCTATTTTGGTGGTGGTATAGCTTACAATAAAAAATAATACTAATTGAGTGGAGTAGATGCATTACCTCACTCTCATTTTTGGAGAGATTTTCCACATTTGGTTAAGGATGGAATTAATTTCACTATTATCAAACTTTTTGGAATAATCAAAAAATTTAGAGGACTTTCAAATGAAGGAGGATATGCTGTTATTTGATGTAATTTTAGTAATTATAAAAATATATTTGTCTTTTCTTAAAATTTGATTCTTTTTTGTTTATTAATAATCTATATTCTTGATTTAACTTTACTTTTTTAGTTTTTATCTATAAAATTATTATTAACTTTTTAAATAACTAATCTGAATTAATACTAACTATTTATATATTTTTATAACTCCTTAATAGTGATATATGATTTTATTAATATATTGAAAATTACATTTTATTATTTCTTAATCAGAGGATTAATTATTAATATTATTGAGTTTTTAATATTGATAGATTTAAAAGAAATAGTAATAATTATAATTTATATTATTTTAATTTCAAAGATTAATAACTCCATTAATACTTTAAGATCTTTCTCTATCTTATTTTAGATAGAATTAGAATTTTAAATGATAAAATTATTATTAATATAAAAATGGAATCATTATAAATATTTTAGAATAATTGTAAACTAACTTTAAATTTATATATGAAATTTACAATTCAAGGCAATAATTGTTTTTCGATTTATAATGAATTAGAATTCTTAAAATATTGAGTTAAATGAATAAGTTAAATTTTTTATTATTAACTATTTTTGTTATTTAAAATACCCTATAATCAAATCACACATCTATTCATATTTTCTAATTTCATTTGATGATCTATAACCCCTGTAAACTATAGATTATAATATTATAATGTACAATATGTGAGTTTACATATACTAAATTGAAATTTTTCATTACTTTAATTTTTGATTATTCTACAATTCGATTAATAATTAGAATGATATCTTATTAGAGATAATAACACATTTTATTATGTAATTAAATATGTATAATAAAAACTTAAACAATATGGAATTATAAAATGTATATTTTTGTCAAATTGACAATATAAATTAGATACTTAAATCAAATATCAGAAGGATATTATTAAAATTGAATAATTTAAAGTCCTCCAACTTGAGGTACACATGATTTTCTTCTCTATTTAGGGCTTTTTGGACTACAATTTATTTATTATTAAGAATTTAAATTTGATTATTACAAATCAATTAGATTGAGATTATTTTCTGCTCTATAATTTGAGAAAATCCATTATTCTATTATATCTACAGAGAGGCTATTAATCACCTAAGCAATTAGATAAAAAGATAAAGCAGCAGAAAATCCTGATAATAATGTTATAACAGCTACAATTCCAAAGTTTCGAAAACCCACTAAAACAGCTAAGATAGAAGCTCCAATTATTTATAATAAAATCAAGAAAAATAGGATTAACCAACAAACTTTTTAGTGCTTTGGAATAACTTTAAAAAGAGAAAATTAAACTTTATCCTAATATGTTACCTTCATATTAATTTTATACGAACAAACTTCACAGCTAATCTGTTAATTAAAATATAATCATTATTACATCTTTTTTAAGTACTTTTTCAACAATATTTTTTGTTAAAATCCAACTTTTAAAGCATTCTTCATGTACATATTATGATGATCCCTTACATTTACAAGGATATATAAATCTTGAGGTTTCCTCTTCCATCATGCAAATTCTACATATTCCTTTTTTTCTTAAATTTTTATACTTCCTTTTTTAGACATTTCTAATTCAGTTGCATTCATTTAATATTAATAGATGTGACACCATACAGGCTTTTTTCTTTCATTATCCTATGATTAAAATATAAAAAGAATATTTTACTCTTAGATAGTGAGTATTTTTAATGTATTTTTTATATTTTTCTTTTCTTGGAGAAGAATTAAATCCCTAATTTGTTATAGGTAAACATTCTTAAGGGATTAATTATTGTGATTAATTTAGTCTATTAAATTTTTTAGGAGATGATGAACCAACTATCCCAAAATCAGATTTATTCATACACCTATAATATTTTTTATAAATTCTGAATAGTAACTATTATCTAATTGATTATTTGATTTTGCATATTATTATATAAGTGGAAAGTGGAATTTTGTACAAATAACATATTTAATATTGAAATAAAAGAGTATTTTGTAATTCTATTATTTTCTAAAGTAACAGTAATCCATAATCTTAATATTATATAATTTCGATATTATCCATTTATAAACTATTATATTTTATTGTTTTTAATGAGCAACCTAAAATCTCATGTTAATTAATATGATATCTATATTTGTTCAATATTTATTAATAAATGGAATATTTATAAGTCAATAACATCAATCTTGAATTTCAATTTTTTATAATCAAAAAGTAGCTTAATTTAATTACAAATTTTTATTTTATAGAATTTCATAGTAAATAGTAAATAGTCAATTAGAATTCAGGAATTATCTTAATATATGATCACTAATAGGGACCTCGCCTTATTGGAAATTACTATTTGTATTAAATTGCAAAATATCCATTAATTAAAAAAAAACTTAACTTTTTATTAATATTATAAATTGATACTTTGAGTAATAAGAGAATAATTTATTAATATCTAAAAATATAATAGTTTACTTATTTTTTCATATTTATAGTTCTTTTTGGAATTCAATAATACTAATTATCTTTTAAATAATATCAAAGATTATTAAATAATAGTAGCAACTATATCAATTATACATTAAAAATATTCTATGATTTGCTTCTATACTTTTTTTATTCATTATTTGGGATTTAATTTATATACTTTTAGAATTTCAATAATTGCGTTGGTTTTTCATCATAGATTTTTCGTTTTTTTTAATGAATTTATTAAGATAGAATGAGTAGATAATTAAATTTACCTATTAAGTAAAAGTTTTGAATTGTAATATATTATTTACATTAATTTTTATAGAAAACTGTTATTATGATAAATAAAAAATTTGTTGAATAAATATATGTTTTGATATTTTAATAAAACTACTTTATTCTACATTCAAATTGTTAATTTATAAAAATACAAAGAACAGTTACACTATCTGGTTTAAACCATATAAGGAAATAAAGAAGAAAAGATTTTAGAAATAAATAAGTAGAGCTAATGTAAACTAATTTTGAGTAATTCTATATATAATTATTAATATTATGAAATCTTAATAAATATATGATTAGCTTATTAAACTTTAATTATTCTTATCCTATTATCGATAATTATAATTATGCTGAACGAAAGTATTTATCAATAAAAAAAAAGAATTTTATGGACAGATGAGGTAAGAAAAATTAGTATGGTAGGAAGATAAACTCTTAAAGTAATTAGTAAATAAATACTAAAATGAAAGACTTGGCTGGAAATAAATTTCAAAAGCTCTAAGAAAATAAGGCTATGAAAGAAATACTAAGGCTTGTAGGGAGAGATTTTTCAATTATCTTGATATTTCTTTCAATAAAAGTGAGTTGACTCAACTTGAACTTGATAAACTTTTTGAACTTGTAAAAGTTTATGGAAATAAATGGGTAAAAGTTATGAATATTTAAGACTTGTATTGCTGAAGAATTAAATCATCGAACAGATTAAGATATTAAGAATAAATTTTATGCACATGTTAAAAAAGTTTTCAGACGATTATTAAAAGCCTCATTTAAAACAAATGAAAGTAAGTATTTTCAGATTTATTAAAGGTTCATTAATTACTGCTAAATTACAACCTCTATTGATTTCTAGTATATTTTGTTAGGAGAATGAGATGGATCAAAAGTAAATACATATCAGAGATGATATGAAATAACTTTTTAAAAGTTTGATTACATAAAATAAATCAATTTAACAAGGACATCAAATAAATGAAGAAACTAGAGAAAAAGTTAAGCTAATTTCATCATATTTAGAGAAAGAAAAGTATGTTTAAAAATAATTTTAGTTAAATATATCTATAAAATAAAATAACAAGAAAAGAAAACAAATTAAAAACAAAAATAAAACAAAGAAATCAGAAATTCAAGTTTATTTATAACGAAATTGAACAATAAAATATACTGAATAAAATCTAGAATAAACAATCGATTTTTGTATTGCCAATCAAAACTATAGATTTTCCATTTATGGATTGTAATACAAATTTTGAGAATGTCTATAATCAGATACAATAAAGTAAAATTTTTGAGAATGAATCACAACATTAAATTATATTGAGTACTCCTTTTAATTGGTAATATCCATCTTTTAAAATCGATTCATTTTATGTAAAATTTATGTTCAAATTTTTAGTAACCTGAATTATTCTCATAAACCATCCACTCTGATTCATACAATTATTAGACTATTTGGAACGCTTGAGAATTTACATATATATTTATAATAGATAACAGCTATATAAAGGTTCTAATACATAGTTTTTTATATATTGAACAAATTTGAAACGCCGAAAATAAATCATTTTAAATTAATAACCCTTCTCTTCATTACAAGCAACACTCTAATTATGTCAATTATAATTTAATCTTATATAAATAAGTTAAAAGATTGGTTTTTTGGTTGCATTGTGTTCTAAATCATAAACAAGACTTTGAACAATAGAATTGGTCGGATAAAAATGGATTAATATTAATATAATAATTTTAGAATTAAATAATACAAATAAAAATTAATAATGGTTGTTCAAATGAATCACTTTATTATTCTGTCATAATTTTAGCTTATTATAGAAAAGTAAGATTATAAATTAAACTAAATTATTTCACGATTATAATTTATCTATCTTAAATCGATATATAAATTTTACAAAGTAAATTTAAAAGTTATTTAACATCTTAATATTGTATTTCTGAAAATAGTTTAACCAAAAAACATGTATTTTAAATTAAAGTAGATTCTTGTAAATACCTTAAAATTATTTTTATTATTTATTAAAAATGCTATTTAATTAATTATTTTATCATTATATATTTATTCAATATATATATTAATTATATACATATAATTATTTCAATTTTAAATAAGACTAATATAATTGATATTCTTCCATTCTCTTTTTCATTTAATAACAATTTATTTTGATTTATTAATATTTCAGGAAACATTCCATACAATCTAAAAAAATAGGCTAATAGGATATGTGTCTCCATAAATCTTGAATTTCATAAATATTTAAACTTATTATAACCTAATCTAATTTAATCAATTTACAATAGGAGCTTTTTTAGTATTAGAATCTAATTTTTAGTTTACTCAGAAATCCAAATTTTATTTTAATATTATTTCTTTAATTTTATTTATATATAATTAAAATTATATCAAAAAAAATTGTAGACTAAAATAATTTATATGGATATTTACCTAAAAATTTTTGAAATTAAAAATTAAGTGTGATTATTTCTAATTTCATAATTATTTAGTTATTTTTCATTAGATATGAAAATCTATTTATTTTTAAATTCTCAAATCTCATACTTATATAATTGAGAATAAGAAACTATAATCATATTAAAAAGGTTTATAAAACAATTTTTAATAAAAAAAGTAATAATGGAAAAATAATAATATATATATGTTAATAATTTGTAAAACACCTTAGAAATTTAATCAATTATAAAAAAAATTGAAAGAACGTTTTTCTGTCATACCAACTGATGGACTTTTGACAGAATTGAAACTTTTTTCACTTGGAATGAAACTAGGATGAACAGTCAATTAATGAGCATTCTTTTTCTAAGATAAACCTCTACTAGATTCAAAACTATAAGATGATTGTCTTTCTTTAGATAATGTTGGTTATCTTTCTTTAGAATGTGTAGTAGTATGTCGTTCATTTTTAGTAAGAATTTTATCAACTTTAAAAAACTAAGGTTCTCTCTGTTTTGTTTAAGCATTTGTAGTAGTAAAATAATTTGGTTTAGGAATAATAGCCTAGATTAAGAATATAAATACTTTAGTATTATTTTATTTGGAATTATTTTTAAGATGAGAGAAATCAAAATAAAACTATTGTTTAATTTAACTAGTAGGAGTAATATAAGACATATTTTTAGTGATTGTATTGAGATCTTCTAATAAATCATCTGGTAATTTATGTTTCTTTTTGATTTCTTCATTTTCTTAATTTTATTGATATTTTTTAAACCAAGGGTAATTTAATAATTCTAAAACAGTTGGTCTTTCATCTGGATCAATGGTTAACATCCCATATAATAATGCAATAGCTTCTTTGGATATATCATGAATGATAGTAAATTCACCAGATTAGATTCTACTATATAATTCTTAATCTGTGTCTCCTTTGAATGGAAATACACCTTAAAGCATTGTAAATAGCACTACTCCTAATGCCCAGACATCTGATTTATCTCCTCTATATTCTTACCTTGTAACTATTTCTGGTGCCATATAACTTGGAGTACCACAAAACATTTTGACTTTCTTTTCAATAGGGAATGATGTTGAAAATCCAAAATCTATTAATTTAGGAGTAAGTCCTTCTAATAAGATATTTTCTAATTTAATATCTCTATGTGCAATATTTTTGGAATGACAATATTGAATTGCATCTAAAATTTATTTGAATATTCCTTTTGCAATTTCCTCTTCTAATCTTCTTTCCTAAAGATTAGAATTAATTTTTACCGGTTGTTTTCTAACTAAATGATGTAATGAACTACCACTAACATATTCTAATATTATATTAACATGATTATTTGATTCTACAGTATCTAAAATTTTAACTATATTAGGATGATCTAACTTTTCTAAGATTTCGATTTCTCTTCTTACTCCTTTTCTTCTCTATAAATCTTTAATCTTAGTTTTTTCATATATTTTAATGGCCACCTTTGTATCAGTTTCTATCTATATTGCAACTCTCACTGAAGCATAAGCACCTTAACCAATACGACTACCCACCTTATATTATGCCTTAAATTATTCAGTTTTATTAGTTTCATCATCAGGTTGATTGATTAAGAATTTTACTCTATCACAAATGTTCTATTATTTGAAATCAAATTTAAAGTATTCAACATTATCTCTTTTTTCTACTTTACAAAATTTAGATTATAAAATTTGACTAATTGCATCTAGATTTCTTAGTTGTTGATTCTTTAAGTTCATAAGTAATTCCTATTGTAATGGTGCTCTGTACTTGAGAGCATATTGATTCCCAATACATTTTTCATTCTCCTTTTAATTTAAACTATTAGCGGCTGCTCTATGCTTCATTGCAATTTAAAATAATTAACAGTCTCATTATAATTAAATATTGTATATAACTATTCTTTTATTTTATTTTATTGTTATATAATATATGTGACTATAATGATAATTCATATGAAATTAGATCCACTAATACAATAATATTGATCTTATAATAATACTTAAAAAAAGAATCTATAATAATAATGAAATCATTTTATTAAAGTATTTTTGCTTAGAAATACTTTAATAAATTTTATATATCTCTAATACTAACATCTAAATATTTGTAAAAATAATAAATCAAAAATTTAACATATCTATACTATAATGAAATAATTAAATATTAATAAATAAAAACTAGAACCATTAAATTTACCAGTTTATCATTAATAACAACATCAATATTCACTTTAAATAAGAAAACCAACATATAGTTTACATGAACAAACAACTTCAAGATAGAGTCACTAAAGAAAAAAGTAGAAATAAGTAAATATTACTTAAAATTCACCTCCCAAATATTAAGATTAACAAATTTTGGTTGATAAATTTGGATTAAATGAAAGATTTCAATACACAATTAAAATATCAGTTAGAACCAAATAAGGAATGATAATAGGAAATCCAACAAAATAAAATTAAGATTCATATATCCTTTTATCAAATATCTCCAACAAAACTTATATGCATTATTTCTTAGTATTTGATGGACATGGAGTTAATGGACATCATGTATCTAATTTCCTCAAATAATAATTTCAACTTTACACTAATCAATTTTCATCATTATTAGAAAATAAGTATATAGATAATATTTATTAGTCCATAATTTGCTATATAAACTATCTTTACTTATGTTTCTTAGGCCTTAAATCAATCAGGTATAGACTTGAAGTATTCTGGATCTACAGTAATAGGACTTTTTATGCTACACAACAAAGTATATGCTCTAAATAAACCCAGATTTATTGTTCAAATTTGGGAGATTCAAGAGCAATCATGTTAAGTCGCCATAATAGATGGATACTCAAATACTTATCTAGAGATCACAAACCTTAATGTGCTGATGAGGCTTAAAGAATTATAAATTATGGTGGCAGGATTGATTCTTATAGAGATTCATAAGGTCTATCATATGGTCCATTGAGAGTTTGGAGTAATGCCAATGTTCCTGGTTTAGCCATGACTAGATCTATGGGTGATTAAGTAGCAAAGAAAGTTGGGGTGATTGATAAGCCAGAAATATTTAATTTTACTATGGATATTATGGATAGAGCATTGTTAATTGGATCAGATGGACTTTTTGAGTTTTTAACTTAATAAGATATATTTGATGCTATCACTCCATATTTAAATAATATTGAGATGGCTTGTAATCATTTATTAGAGATGGCTCATATAAGTTGGTTATAGAAAGGATCTAAAATGATAGATGATATAACATTTATTTTAATTTTTTTGTAATATTGATAATTGCTTATAAGAAATGTTGTTATTTAGTTAAATTTGTCTTAGGTATGCATATCACAGTTGAGTCTATAATATTATGATATTCTAGAAATTTAAAGCTATATTTAATTAATCTTGAAATTTCTAAGTATTAAGTATCATCTATTTGATATTTAAACTGATTATTAATTAAACTAATGAACAATTTGGGCATTTAAAATAATCGATTTCATCAAAAGGCTATTGAGAATAGAATGAAGTCTGAATGTAACGAATTCTACATGCTCAATAGACGAACCAAGAAATAAAAGAATGAATACTATGAAAATTGGCTTAAATAAAGAGAATAAGAATCCAACGCATCTACAGAAACATGTTTGGACATCATTACTCCTAATCTTCCTTAAGCAAAGATTCCTAATACTTTTTAAGTTAAGTTGATCAATGATATATTAAAAAATCATAAGCACTCATTGAATTATTGATTTATAATATGCCTCATAGATAAAATCATTTAATTAAATATATATTTCATATAAATTATTGAATCTGTATCTTAAATATCTATAAGTTCATATAAACTACAAAATAATAATTAATAAATGAATTAAACATAAGTATTTCCTTTAAAAAAACGAAACAGTCATCCTGAATAAGAAATTAGAAACATTCATCTTAAAGCATCAGAATATTAAACAACACATAAACTTTAAAGAAAATAATCAAAATCATAAGTATAATTAGAATGTTATTCTGGTATTCTTAATAATATTTAATAGAACTTAGATAATGAAGAAAACTTGGATGATTACCAAAGTTAAATTGAATACAATTTTAATACAATGACTAGTTTCAATTATTAATAAGTACCATCTTTAATATCTATCTTAACATCTGAAAGCAATTTAAGTATTGAAGAAGAATTTGAAATTTGGGATGACAAATCAGATTTAAGAGTATTGAAACTAATATTGGATGAGTAGAAACCATCAATATAATAATTTTTATTATTGTACAAAGCTAGATTTGGGTATATATAATAATCATGTTAAGAGGATTTCCTGGACAGTAATAATGTATAAAAAATGAGGAAGTGATAAAAACTGCTGTGACATATGCATCCAGTAACAAATAACTATTTAAAAAATATTTTCCATCTAAAAAGATAGTTTTTGAAGATGATATTGATTATTCAACACCTTATAAGATAGAGGATGATCATCATTTTTAATCTTTTAATCACTTTTTTAAGTTTTAAAAAACAAAAACATTGGTTGAATTTTGAATATTGATTGTAATATACTTAATGTATTTCATACTTTATCAATTAAATTTTAAATCTATTCAGGTGTTCTCTATGTAAATCTTTTTTCTACTGTTGTAATTACTGCCAATTCTACATTTTTATTATTTATCTAAGATGATGAGTAAAGTATGTTACTTTTTCTTCCATAACATTCTTCAAACATAAAATTGCTAATCTTTCAGCTTATTCTAAAGTTAAATCCTTGTATATTTTTTTTATATTACTTATTTGTATTATTCTTTCAAAATACTTTAAATTCCTTCATCTGCAGCACCTATTCCTTTGGCTTGATATTCTATCATAGTTCCAGTAGGATCTTTTCAGTCTATAAAGTATATTACCTGTCTAATAAATTTATGGTCCTTAATCAGAAACTCCTGCAATTAATAATGCTACTCCATATGGTCTAGACATTCTTGTTTTATTTTTTGAATCACTTTCACCAAAATCAAGTGCTAAATCACAAACTATCTAAGTAAGTGCTCTAACATTTATTGATTCACCATAATTGAATTTATGATTTTGGGATTCTACTCTTGCATGTTCAACTAATGTTCTTGCATCAGGAATAAATCCAGAAGCAGTACATGCAACATGAGTATCAATTTCATATATTTTTTCTATACTCTTTGGTTCTAAGAGTGTTGAATTTAATTTTCTCTCTCCTGCCAAAACTACACCCTCATTCACTTTTATTGCCAATGCACTTGCACCCAATTTAATTGCTTATAAGGCATACTCTACTTAAAATAAACGACCTTCTGGAGAAAATGTGTTTACACCTCTATCATAATCTGTTCTATTAGATATTCCAATATATAGTACTTATTTTGAAACATTAATCCCAATCTGAATTATTTATTTTAATAATAATAATCATTATTTTGGCAATACATATGTATGTCCTGTCATAAATATTTAATTTCCACTACTAGGATCAACTTACACTTATTCCAATTACTAATACAAAGGTCTTGGATCATTTTGTAAATCTATATAAATTATAATTTAAATAAATTACTTCTTCTCAAATCTACATCTGGTGTTTAGAGTCCACTAATAGATCTACCAGGAAGACGAGTATCTGAATCTCCAAATTGATATGATGAATTATCAAATTATTATTCTTATCTTTATTGAGCTTCAGGTGCTTCCTCTTCTTCTTATTCTACTTCACCTTCATCCTCTACTTCTTCTATTTTACCCCATAATGATTTATCTACAGGTGCATCAGCTTATAATCCTGTTTTTTATGATAATTCATTTAGATCCTCTTCATCATAATATTTAAATGTAGCATAAAGTCCTGGTTAATCTGCTTTTTTGCATGAATCTTCAATCACTTATTTTACAGAAGTATGATAAGAAGAAGGTTCAGCAAAAATACTAGCCATTCCAATAAATCTCATATGAGGATAACTTGGAGGAGGTCCATATCTTTACATATTTGGTAACCAAGGAGGTGCTTAAAAATCAGTACATCCTAATGCACTTCTCAATTCAGCACTCATTTTTCCAGGACAAAAGTTTTTTGCTCTCATTTCTTCTTCTTTACCTTCAAAATAGATTTCACCATGTTTTGTCATTATTGGTTTTGTCTAATATTTAAAGAAAGCATCATGTAATATCTAATAATCTATATCTAATTTTCCTTATTTTGGATTCATTCTTTCTCTTAATTTCTATCTAACCATCTTACCTCCATCTCTATCTACAAAAGGATCTCTCAACTTTGCAATTCCTGTTTTTTCTATATAATCTGGTAATTAAAATGGTTCTTTCAATATTCCTCTTTTATTTTACAAATATTTTCTTTTTTATGACCAATGTCTAGGAACAGTTACTGAATTACGTACACTTTTCAATTAAATTAAAAACATAGGATCTGGAGATGTGATATCCCAAAATTCGACAAGATCTGGTCTCTTTACTTTCTATTTTAATTCTGCTACTTTTAACCATCTTAATTATTTTCTTTATTTTTTTGATAATTTAGCTTCTTTCTTTTTTCCCTATTATAAATAATTTTAAATTGTTTAATTTGGTTCATGTATTTATTATTGAATTTATTATTGTTATTATTATTACTACTATTCAGCTGCTTATTATTCTTCTTATTCTTTTTCCTTTTCTTTTTCATTCTCATAAACCTTTTCATATGTCTTCATCATCAATCTTTCAGTATGTTAATTGAAATTATCAAAAACCTGTTTAAAATTGTCATAATGTTTCCCTGTAATAAGAGCATCTATCTACACTATTCAATCTGATATATACTTCTATCTCTTGAAAGGTCTCTTCATCATATATAATCTACTCTTCATCACCTTTGACTACCTCCTCTATAATTTCTTACTTTTCTTTAGTGCATTTCTTTTTGCTCTTATTGTTCTTTCTTCTCTCAGCTCTTTTGAATTTCTCATACTCTTCCTTAGACAATTTGCTCTTGGTTACTTCTGCCTTCATTATTAAAATAATTAATATATATTAAGAATAGTAATAATAAAAGATAAGAATATAATAATAATAAAATAATAAATATATCAACAATTATACACATATAATTTATTAGTCGATCCTCCAAATAGTATTTTATTATCTATCCATGTACAAGCTAATGCTTTACCTTCTCCATTTAATTAATACAATGGTACTTCTCCTCTTAAATCCCATAAGTATGTATTTCCATCCATAGAACTCTATAATTTGATTAATAAATATAATACCACTATANGAAGAAGGTTCAGCAAAAATACTAGCCATTCCAATAAATCTCATATGAGGATAACTTGGAGGAGGTCCATATCTTTACATATTTGGTAACCAAGGAGGTGCTTAAAAATCAGTACATCCTAATGCACTTCTCAATTCAGCACTCATTTTTCCAGGACAAAAGTTTTTTGCTCTCATTTCTTCTTCTTTACCTTCAAAATAGATTTCACCATGTTTTGTCATTATTGGTTTTGTCTAATATTTAAAGAAAGCATCATGTAATATCTAATAATCTATATCTAATTTTCCTTATTTTGGATTCATTCTTTCTCTTAATTTCTATCTAACCATCTTACCTCCATCTCTATCTACAAAAGGATCTCTCAACTTTGCAATTCCTGTTTTTTCTATATAATCTGGTAATTAAAATGGTTCTTTCAATATTCCTCTTTTATTTTACAAATATTTTCTTTTTTATGACCAATGTCTAGGAACAGTTACTGAATTACGTACACTTTTCAATTAAATTAAAAACATAGGATCTGGAGATGTGATATCCCAAAATTCGACAAGATCTGGTCTCTTTACTTTCTATTTTAATTCTGCTACTTTTAACCATCTTAATTATTTTCTTTATTTTTTTGATAATTTAGCTTCTTTCTTTTTTCCCTATTATAAATAATTTTAAATTGTTTAATTCGGTTCATGTATTTATTATTGAATTTATTATTGTTATTATTATTACTACTATTCAGCTGCTTATTATTCTTCTTATTCTTTTTCCTTTTCTTTTTCATTCTCATAAACCTTTTCATATGTCTTCATCATCAATCTTTCAGTATGTTAATTGAAATTATCAAAAACCTGTTTAAAATTGTCATAATGTTTCCCTGTAATAAGAGCATCTATCTACACTATTCAATCTGATATATACTTCTATCTCTTGAAAGGTCTCTTCATCATATATAATCTACTCTTCATCACCTTTGACTACCTCCTCTATAATTTCTTACTTTTCTTTAGTGCATTTCTTTTTGCTCTTATTGTTCTTTCTTCTCTCAGCTCTTTTGAATTTCTCATACTCTTCCTTAGACAATTTGCTCTTGGTTACTTCTGCCTTCATTATTAAAATAATTAATATATATTAAGAATAGTAATAATAAAAGATAAGAATATAATAATAATAAAATAATAAATATATCAACAATTATACACATATAATTTATTAGTCGATCCTCCAAATAGTATTTTATTATCTATCCATGTACAAGCTAATGCTTTACCTTCTCCATTTAATTAATACAATGGTACTTCTCCTCTTAAATCCCATAAGTATGTATTTCCATCCATAGAACTCTATAATTTGATTAATAAATATAATACCACTATAATTTATCCGTTAGCATTAACAGCAATACAAGTCAACTAAGACAATGAGCTCTTATATATTTTTATTAATTATTCACTCAAACTATCCCACAATTTTAAATAACCATCCTCATGAATAGATACAATTTATTAATTATTTTCTAAATAACATAATCCAATGATAGCTGAATCTTTAGCAAATAATTATTTATTAATAGTTTCTGTTCTCTTATTGAAAATACAAATGGAATGATCATATGATCCAGTCAATATAGTGCTATTTCTAATCCATTAACAACATGTTATTTATTATTAATGAACTTTAAAGTTCTATATCATTTCAATTACCTATTATTTTACTGTATTAAGATCAAAGAAAATAAGTTCTCCATTAGAAGTACCAACACAAAATTCATTAGTGTTCTTTTTATTGATACAACTACATTCTCCATATGATGGTAAAGAACCTTATGCTATCAATTCCAAATTATCTGTAAGTCTTTAAATTCTAACAGTACAATCCCAATGAGTTGAAATTATAAGATTATCAAAAATAGTAAAACTCTTTGCCATTTTAGTTTTGTATGTTTTCAAAATTTTACCTTTTTCAGAACAAACAACTATATCTCCATTAGATAAACATGTTAATATTTGATTATTTAATTTACCTATTGATATGATCCAATCATTCATATTTATAGTTTGCTTAAGTTTAGGTTCTGGTACAGCAAATAAATATTCTATTTATAATGTTTTTTCAGTTGCAATTTCATTTGATGTAATGAATTCATGTAGAGTAGATCTTAAACTGATTCCATTAATAAAGAAATCAAATAATTAATTATATTCTTAATCNTTTCCTTTTCTTTTTCATTCTCATAAACCTTTTCATATGTCTTCATCATCAATCTTTCAGTATGTTAATTGAAATTATCAAAAACCTGTTTAAAATTGTCATAATGTTTCCCTGTAATAAGAGCATCTATCTACACTATTCAATCTGATATATACTTCTATCTCTTGAAAGGTCTCTTCATCATATATAATCTACTCTTCATCACCTTTGACTACCTCCTCTATAATTTCTTACTTTTCTTTAGTGCATTTCTTTTTGCTCTTATTGTTCTTTCTTCTCTCAGCTCTTTTGAATTTCTCATACTCTTCCTTAGACAATTTGCTCTTGGTTACTTCTGCCTTCATTATTAAAATAATTAATATATATTAAGAATAGTAATAATAAAAGATAAGAATATAATAATAATAAAATAATAAATATATCAACAATTATACACATATAATTTATTAGTCGATCCTCCAAATAGTATTTTATTATCTATCCATGTACAAGCTAATGCTTTACCTTCTCCATTTAATTAATACAATGGTACTTCTCCTCTTAAATCCCATAAGTATGTATTTCCATCCATAGAACTCTATAATTTGATTAATAAATATAATACCACTATAATTTATCCGTTAGCATTAACAGCAATACAAGTCAACTAAGACAATGAGCTTTTATATATTTTAATCAATTATTCACTCAAACTATCCCACAATTTTAAATAACCATCCTCATGAATAGATACAATTTGTTAATTATTTTCTAAATAACATAATCCAATAATAGCTGAATCTTTAGCAAATAATTATTTATTAATAGTTTCTGTTCTCTTATTGAAAATACAAATGGAATGATCATATGATCCAGTCAATATAGTGCTATTTCTAATCCATTAACAACATGTTATTTATTATTAATGAACTTTAAAGTTCTATATCATTTCAATTACCTATTATTTTACTGTATTAAGATCAAAGAAAATAAGTTCTCCATTAGAAGTACCAACACAAAATTCATTAGTGTTCTTTTTATTGATACAACTACATTCTCCATATGATGGTAAAGAACCTTAAGCTATCAATTCCAAATTATCTGTAAGTCTTTAAACTCTAACACTACAATCCCAATGGGTAGAAATTATAATATTATCAAAAATAGTAAAACTCTTTGCCATTTTAGTTTTGTATGTTTTCAAAATTTTACCTTTTTCAGAACAAACAACTATATCTCCATTAGATAAACATGTTAATATATGATTATTTAATTTACCTATTGATATGATCCAATCATTCATATTTATAGTTTGCTTAAGTTTAGGTTCTGGTACAGCAAATAAATATTCTATTTATAATGTTTTTTCAGTTGCAATTTCATTTGATGTAATGAATTCATGTAGAGTAGATCTTAAACTGATTCCATTTATAAAGAAATCGAATAATTAATTATATTCTTAATCTGTATTCTCAGCTGACAATAATTATTAAATTAGAGAACTAAGATCACTTTAATTCATATCTCCTTGAACAGCTATTTCATTATTGCTAATTTAATATTCTTATGGCAAACTTGTGACAAATTTCACTATATATTCACTATTGTTCATTAATAAAAAATTTTAATTACTTTTCTTTATATTAATTTCTTATGTTTTTTCTATTGATTTGATACTGAATGTAATTTTAATCATCTTATAAACTACACCCATTAATCAATTTACGAATAATTAGAATTTAAAAAAAATAGAATGTAATTACATCTAATTAAGAAATTTAATTATTATTGAAAACATTATACTCAGATATTATTCATTAATATTAGGATAGTAATTAAGTTTACTAAAAGTAGAAATTCCATTTTTGATTATTTTACTTAATTAGGTATATCATATTCAAATGAGATGAAAAGTTTAATCATAAAATAAATAATATTTCTATTAAATCTATTTACAATTAATTGTATTAAATAGATATTTGTAGATCAAATTTTTAAATATTGTAATTTAAAGTAAATTTATAATATGATTAGATTTATATTTTTTAGAATAATTTATCACTAAATTAGGATTACTTTTTACAACTAGTTATATTTGTATTTAATTTAAAATATATATTATGTTAAATTATATTATTTATTTATTAAATAAGTTGTCTAGAAAAATAAAGAATCACTTTTTATTATGAGATAACTTCAATATAATTAAAAATTAAGTAGATATAAATTAAACAGTAAAAATGAAAAGTAGTTTAATTATATTTAAATTTAATTTATGATATTTAAAATGAATTAATATATTTCATATAGAATTAATTGATTATCTATAGATATATATTTCAATTAATAATAGTAAATTTGATAATTCATTTAAAGTAAAAGAACATTTTAACTTGAACATATAATATATTATTTTACCTCTAGATATTAGATTTACATGATTATTTACTTTATATTAATTAAATGATAAACTGTCAATAAAATCAACGATAAAATTTTTACAATATAGTATATGGATATAATAAAGAACACAGATCAACGTCAGTGAAAGTTGAAAGATTGAAATAAATAAGTGCACTTAATGAAATAAAGCAAGATTATTATAAAGGATTGTAATTAGGTAAAATGCGTGAAAATGCATTAAGAGTCATTCATATGAAATTAGAAAAACATAGATTTAGAAAGAAATCATTTGAAACCAAGACGGAAGTAGAGGAAGAACATTTTCCTTAAGTTAATTAGGTTTCAAAACCTCCTTTGCCTTGTACATCAATCCTTGTCAATAAGGAAAATATTATTCAAATGCCAAATATATTATATAAATAAATGGGAATATCAAAATAAACATAGATAAAAGGAAGAAGATTATCTTAAAGAATAAAATTGAAAAATAGTGAGCCTACCTTAGAATTTAGTCCTTGGGAGAATTAAGAGAATTAAGAATTTGATTTTATTTGAAATTTTTATGATTTTAATTAAAATTTCATGCAATAATAATATTCTAATAGTACAATATAGGATTTCAATATACTTGAGAAATTGGGAGAAGGATCTTTTTCTTCTGTTTATAAGGTAATATTAAGAATTGATATCTATAGGTTTAAAGAAAATCAGATAGTTAATATTATGCTATGAAGAAAGTGAATATTTCATAATAGAGTTTGAAAGAGAGAGAAAATGCTTTGAATGAAATCAGAATATTAGCATCTTTGGATTCACCATATATAGTAGAATTTAAGGATGCTTTTATAGATTAAGATGGAAGAATTCTTTTTGTAATAATGGAATATGCATCAGGTGGAGACTTAAATTAAATTTTAAAGTAAGGTAAATTAGAAGGTGGAATTAAAGAGAATGAAATATGGAATATATTAACATAGATAACACTAGGAGTGAAAATATTACATGATAATGACATATTGCATAGAGATCTTAAATCAGCCAATGTATTTGTGTCTAAAATTCCATAAGGGAATATATATAAAATAGGAGATCTAAATATTAGTAAGGTAACTCATGGAGCAAATGCTAAGACATAGACAGGAACACCATGTATTGATATTAATTTAAATAATAGATTATGCTGCACCTGAAGTATGGAAAGGTGAATAATATTCATGGCCTTGTGATATTTGGTCAATTGGTTGTATAATATATGAATTAACTACATTTCAACCTCCTTTTAGAGCTGCAGATCTTTAGTCATTAAATAAAAAGATTTAAGCAGGTTTGTATGATCCAATACCTTCTAAATATAGTTAAGATCTATAAGATATATTAAGGATACTCTTATAAGTTAATCCAAAAAATAGACCAAATTGTGATTAAATTCTCATAAATCCAAAAGTCATTAAAAATAGTGGATCATTATTAGTAGAAGTCGAGAAAAATGGTGTTAAATAAGCTAAACTATTATAAACTATTAAACTCCCTTTTAATTTAAAGTAATTAAAGGATAATTTACCAAAGTCTAAATATGAAAATAAGATTAAAAGATCAAATTCTTAATAAGGACTTAAAATTGAAACTGATACTCCTATATCTCAATAACCTCGAATTAATATGGAAATATAATAATAATAATAATAAAGAAAAAAATTAATCAGTGTCCCATCATAAGGTGCTCCAATCAAAAGCAAACCTCCTTTAGCCAAACCTCAAATTGTATAGCCTTAAAAACTTTAATAACATCCTTAAACACCTTAATATTAAGGATAAAAAATATAATATAAGGATTAAAATTCATAGTATTTCTATATTATTTATATTAGAAATTAAGGACAGTAATATTGTAAACCAACATTCTTGCAATAAAATTATGGAATTCGGGATATTTCACCAAGGAATCATAATAATCCTTATTTACAATAAAGAGTAGGACAACATAATTAATAAAATATAGGAAAACCAACACAATAGAAAAGACTGTATAGTGCAGGTATATATGGAAGATAATAAATATATAAATGAATCTATTCAATCATTTATATATTTATAATATTATTATTCTAACTAATAATTTAGATAAATGTCTTATCTTATAATACAATATTTTAATATTCTCTAATTCAACTATTTTTCATAAATTTCATCTTAACATATCTTTCTTAAATTTTGATCTTTTATTATAGAGATATTATCTATAAATGAATATAATTACAATAATACTAATTTTTTTGATTAAATTAATTTCTAAATTGATTAATATTTTGTAAATTTGACACACCAATAACATTATTATACTAATGAATTAAGTTAAAGATTATTTTATCTTTTACAAATAATACATTATAATTATATTTCAATTATTTATTATAAAGAAATGGTGAGGTTACTAATTTAATTATGTGTTTTATTAAAGAATCCTCAATATTTAGTAAATCTTATTAATATATAATACTATATCTTTTAATAATATATATTATAATATAATTTTATTTTATATGTGTCATAATCTAAAATTATTTAATGAGTCTCATTTCAAAGCATTTGTAATTGCTTAAGCTAATTTCACAAGTTCACTAACATAACTAAAAATTGATTATATTTGTATACTTTGCAGAGAGCGAATTTCTATTTGAGTATGATGATTCGATCTTATTTCTTAAAGATACAATTTCATTTAATTATAGATTCTCAACTAAAGATCTTTTTTATTAAGTTCTGTAATTTAATTCAATAGGTTATTATATTATTGATTATTGTCTATAACTTTGAATGTTATTTCTAAAGCCCATAGAACTAAGACTCATTAATATAATACCTTATTGTTTTTTTAGGAGATTAATCATCATACTTTTTATTTGATGTAATTTTAGATTGAAGAGAGGATGTAGATTAAAGTCTTGTATATGAGAAATCTCTTATTTTAGCTTATAAATTGTCAAATGAAGGAACAGTAGGCAAGCTTTCTTTTCTGGTATAGATTATCGTTTTACCTAAACGAATTAAATTATTTGGATCCAGAGTTTGTATTGTATTAAAAAGGAGGTACTAATTTATCTTTTACTTGATTCCTTATGGTTTTGATATCAAAATTGATATCAAGAGGTCTTTTAGGTATTTCTAACCAAGTCTTTTACATAATTAATATTAACAATATATTTATTTATTTAAATTAATAAATCATAAGTCTAAAAATATTGACTTATTAAATTTAATACTAAAAATTTCTAAATTATCATGCTTTCATTTCTTAATTAAGAGATTGTATATGATAATTAAATTGATAATTAAAATATAAATATAATTTCTCACCGTTTAATATTATTTTAATAAAAGTATATAAATAAAGAAAGACTTAATGAATAATTAAATATAATACATAAATTTATGATTATTGAAATAGATAGAATATTCATTTAAAAAATGATTATTTAATTTATAATAATAAGACAACATTAATTATATATGCAAATATATTAGTAATATATGAATGATTATTATTTATATTGTATGAATTGTTATTTTATATATAAATACATATATTCCGCAATAATTTCATTATATTTGACGATGAAATTCTGATAAAAAATTTGTAAATAGTCTTAAAATTTGATATCTTATAATTTAATAATTTTTATTACAATAGTAAAAATGTCGTATGATGATTATTATAACTATTTTGATATCGAAGGGTGTAACTAACAAATAGATATAGAATAATTGGGACAATTTGATAGAGAACAATAAAATTGTAAGTTGAATGATTATTTAAGCTTAAAATGGGCAATAGTTTATTTAAATACTCGATCCCAATAATATTGAAGATTCAGGATTTGTGTTTTTGTTATAAGAAGCAAGTACTTCCCAATTAGAAGAAGCTATGTTGTAAGATGTTTCCATGTTTTTTAATCGAGAGGCTAAGCTTTTTAATTACCTTGCTAATTTATTTTAATTGACAGATTTAGATATGCAAGGTACATCATCATATACAATATTAATTAGGTGCCCCTGAATATACTAATTAATTAACTAAGTTATTGAAGATGTTCTTCCAAATTCATGAAATTGGATAACATTCAGATTTTTCATATTAATTAGCATAATAATATGGTTTAAAAGATTTTAGGACAGGATATCCATTTGGATTTATTATTAATAGTGATTAATCATTAATACTTCTCTTATTGAAGATTATATTAAGTGAAGAGAACCTAAATAAAGAAAATGATTTCTTCTCTTAAATTAGAATGTATTTACCAAGATATTTAATATTTTCTATAAATCCACCAAAACCATTTGTAAGTAGAACATAAGTCAGATCATTACAAAATTCTATAATTAACAAAATCAATTATGAACTTTTTGATACTAATTTTGCAAAACCTTATAAATTAGATTTGTTAGCATTATCATATTTCTCTGATCCAGGTTTAAATTTTTAATTGTTCAAAGAAACTATTGAAATACTAAGATCTACTCTTGAGAGGTAATTCTATTTAATATATTAAATAGTCTTTTGGAGTAGAAGAATACTTAATAAGATATAAATCGTGAAATCCAAAATCTATTATAATTTTTTTTGGCATTTACAACAAATTATGAAATATTGAAATCCTTTTTTTAAATTAATTTTCATAAGACACTTTATAATAATCTAAGATAATGTTAAATTATATTTGGATGTAATAATCCACCACTATGGTCTAAAGAACCTATTATAATAGAATAAATAGTAAGTTTGATAGTTAGAATTTTAAGTTTTGATTAAGTTGATAAATAATTTATAGATATTTTGCATGAAGATTTCATGTTATTATTGTAACACTAAAAATTAGATCTTATTTACAAAGTCTTATTGCCAATATTAAATAGTGAATAAGTGAAATTAGTAGCTGTTTGTTTTCATCCAAAATTGAGTGTATCTGAAAGTAAAGCTGAAACAGAGAAATTCTTATCAAATTAAACTAAAACTATGGCAGGATCAACAAATTTAGTAACTGAATTACTTACTAAAAATTAATGTGATAAAATAACATAATTAGTATAAGAGAATTTAAATAAAAGTATTTAAAAATAATAATAATAATAATAAAATGTAAATAAAATTTAAATTGAAAAATAATAGATGGAATTAGAATATAATGATTAAGCAATGTATGATTTATTTTCAGATGATTTTTAAATAGAAAAGATATAATTTGCACCTGTTAATTTAATTTAATAACAATAAATTATACCTGTTCAATAAAATATAATAAATGAAAATTAAAGATAAATTATAGGTTCTTGGATTCATTTACATTCATTTAGTCCATTTAATCCTCATTTTGATTCTTAAATTTTAACAAAAGTTTTAGATAATAGAACTAATGTTTTATTTATTTTTGAAATGATGGTAGGTTAAGAGAATGTTAAACTTGTATGTTTTGTTAATCATTTAATTTAAGATGGAAGAAGATAAAATTATGTATAAGCAAGATCAAATGAATCATCATTTTATTTGATGATGGTTTAAGATGAACATTTTTGGTATGTAAATGCATTAGATGGCAAACCTCATGTATTATTAGATATACAATAACATATGGTTTAAATTAGTCATCATAATGAACCTATTGCATGTATAAATTTTTCAGATTTTTAATAAAGTAAATTTGGATTTCCATTTAAAAAATTATAAGAGAAAACACTATTAATGGATCAAATTAATGCTGCATTATAGGGTTTAGAATGTTATTTGTTATAGATAGCAATATATACTTTTGATGTTAATAAAGATAATTTATTTGAAGATGATGTTTAATCATTAAAAAAGAAATATGAGAAATAGATGAATTATTATTATTCTTAATTAAGAATGTAAACTATTTAATTTATTCCTAATACAATAAATGGATAAGATTTAAGTTAATTATTAAATGAAAATATAGAAATTGAATAATTGAAGGAGAATTCAATTAATGATATAGATGTAATTAAACCAGTTACTTAATAAATATAGATTAAAAATAAATAATAGAAATCATTATTAACTTATTTTGAATAAAAGATAGGTGGTATATTTATGATATTGGATTATGTTAAGAAATATTTAGATATAGTTTAAGCAGGTTAATAATATAAAGATTTGATATTTGAATTAACAATTTTATGTTAGATTGAAGGATTTTAAGAATAGATTTTATAAAGTGAAGGATTCTTATAATAATTATTAGCATTAGCTTATTTAAATAAGAAATAAGAATGTTAAGAGATATATTAAAAAATTAATTCATTAATTTATTCATAATTAGTTTAATTAATATAAGAAAAACCATTTCTTAAAATAGTAATGTTATTAGAACATAAATTATTAGAAAAAATAGTAAATAAGACAGAATAATAATTAAATTTAATAAATTAAAATACTCAACCATAAGCATAAGTAAAATTTGAATAACCAAAGATGTAATTTTTTAAGAAACAAACAATTAATTAAGGAAAACCTAAGGGTATTGGATATGGAGATATAGAATATAAAGGATTCAAATATATTAATGAATAATAATAATTTAATTAAAAATAATAAAAAGAATAATAAGAAGTAATTCTTAATTAATTAGATAAAAAATAGAATAATCAAGATATAAATTTAGAAAATCTATTAAATTGTTTAATTTAATTATTAGATCTTGAATTTATTAATGTAAGAGTATTAGAATCTATTCAATAATCAAATATTATGAATCTATTAATTAAATATTTATAGAATGTTAATATAACAACATTGGAAGGTTCAAAAACATTTAATAAAATATTATAGATAATTGAATGTTTAGCATAAAGAGAATAAACATTATAATTATTTATATCAAAAGAAAATACATGTTTATTTAGATAATTAGAATCATTTAATTAATAAGTAATAATATTTATCAAAACATTTAATTCAAAAATAGAAGAACTAAATAAATTTATGACATTGTATCAATATGTGGAAAATTGTTTATATGCTGCAAAATTAATAACAATAAAATATTTATCTT